GTTCATAATTGAAAATGTATTTCCTAATTGGATCTTTGCTCAAAAAAATTTAAGGATGTTTTATTTGTATTTGTTTTAAGCACAAAAATATTTATGCAAAATTTCAATCCATTTGGATAAACCCTCGAAGAAAAAAGTGACAAAATTGATTTTGACTAGGGTCGCCACTAGTCCAAAATTGAAAATGTATTTCCTACTTGGTTCTTTAGTCAAAAAAATTTTAAGATGTTTTATTTGTATTTGTTTTCAGCACTAAAATATTTATGCAAAGTTTCAATCCAAATGGATAAAACCTCGAAGAAAAAAGTGACAAAATTGGTTTTGACTAGGGTCGCCCCTAGTCCAAAATTGAAAATGTATTTCCTACTTGGTTCTTTGCTCAAAAAAATTTTAAGATATTTTATTTGTATTTGTTTTTATCACTAGAATATTTATGCAAAGTTTCAATCCGTTTGGATAAAACCTCGAAGAAAAAAGTGACAAAATTGGTTTTGACTAGGGTCGTCCCTAGTTCAAATTGAAAATGTATTTCCTACTTGGTTCTTTGCTCAAAAAAATTTTAGAATGTTTTATTTTTATTTGTTTTAAGCACTAGAATGTTTATGCAAAGTTTCAATTCATTTGGATAAACCCTCGCAGAAAAAAGTGACAAAATTGGTTTTGACTAGGGTCGTCCCTAGCTCAAAATTGAAAATGTATTTCCTACTTGGTTCTTTGCTCAAAAAAATTTTAGAGTGTTTTATTTGTATTTGTTTTAAGCACTAGAATACTTATGCAAAGTTTCAATCCATTTGGATAAACCCTCGAAGAAAAAAGTGACAAAATTGATTTTGACTAGGGTCTTAGAATATTTTATTTGTATTTGTTTTCAGCACTAGAATATTAATGCAAAGTTTCAATCCAAATGGATAAAACCTCGAAGAAAAAAGTGACAAAATTGATTTTGACTAGGGTCGTCCCTAGTCCAAAATTGAAAATGTATTTCCTACTTGGTTCTTTGCTCAAAAAAAATTTAAGATGTTTTATTTGTATTTGTTTTCAGCACTAGCATGTTTATTCAAAGTTTCAATCCAAATGGATAAACCCTCGAAGAAAAAAGTTACAAAAAAGTTACAAAAAAAAGACTAGGGTCGCCCCTAGTCCCCTAAAATTGAAAATGTATTTCCTCCTTGGTTCTTTGCTCAAAAAATTTTTAGGATGTTTTATTTGTATTTGTTTTAAGCACAAAAATATTTATGCAAAGTTTCAATCCATTTGGATAAACCCTCGAAGAAAAAAGTTACAAAATTGATTTTGATTAGGGTCGCCCCTAGTCCAAAATTGAAAATGTATTTCCTACTTGGTTCTCTGCTCAAAAAAATTTTAGGATGTTTTATTTGTATTTGTTTTAAGCACAAAAATATTTATGCAAAGTTTCAATTCATTTGGATAAACCCTCGAAGAAAAAAGTTACAAAATTGATTTTGATTAGGGTCGCCCCTAGTCCAAAATTGAAAATGTATTTCCTACTTGGTTCTCTGCTCAAAAAAATTTTAGAGTGTTTTATTTTTTTTTTTGTTTTAAGCACAAAAATATTTATGCAAAGTTTCAATCCGTTTGGATAAACCCTCGAAGAAAAAAGTGACAAAATTGATTTTGACTAGGGTCGCCCCTAGTCCAAAATTGAAAATGTATTTCCTACTTGGTTCTTTGCTCAAAAAAAATTTGAGATGTTTTATTTGTATTTGTTTTCAGCACTAGCATGTTTATTCAAAGTTTCAATCCAAATGGATAAACCCTCGAAGAAAAAAGTTACAAAAAAAAGACTAGGGTCGCCCCTAGTCCAAAATTGAAAATGTATTTCCTACTTGGTTCTTTGCTCAAAAAAATCTTAGAATGTTTTATTTGTATTTGTTTTCAGCACTAGAATATTTATGCAAAGTTTCAATCCATTTGGATAAACCCTCGAAGAAAAAAGTGACAAAATTGATTTTGACTAGGGTCGCCCCTAGTCCAAAATTGAAAATTGATTTTCTATGGTTTACTTTGGTCAAAAAAATTTTTTGGATCTTTTATTTGAATTGACATAATTCTGACATAAATCACATACCAATATTACTTTTTGTAATGCATAGCTTAAAAAAATCGAAATCTAAAATTTCGACTACCTCATCTGAATTTTGTTCATACTCTTCACTGTGGAATCCCGAGGATGACAAAATTCAAACTAAGTGTTTTTGTAGCTGACATAATTATGACATAAATTAGGTATAACTTTTGAACTGTGTCGATATGGGTCTCGGCCGTACTTTACACCCACTTTCCTCACGAATGTGTACTCGCATTTATAATAATAATTTTCCATCTAGATATATTTATAAAATTAAAATGAAAGTTGTTTGAGGAGTTGTTCATGAATGGTGTCCATTAAATAGCTTTCCATACTTATCAAATACAAAATCCACTTATAGATTTTAATATCTATTTTGTTTGCATATCGATCAGTCCTTTAATTCATTAAGCTCTTCCTAGAACTCACTGGCTACCAACTTCACATTCAAATGAAATGATGTCACTACCAAAAGTCTTCTTCAATCATCAACCAGACAAAAACAATGAAGCAATTACAAGAATTTGAAAGATTTAGAACAGTCATAGAGCCAAAATGCATTCACAGATATTTATAAAGCCAAAATAGTAAGCTGTATTATAGACTCAGTGCTCTTGTCATTCATCTATTCGCACAGTAAACTTGCTGCTTTAGCCAGCAATCTTGTAAGTTTCATAAGATTCGATAAAGAACCTTAATAATGGAGGATAAGAATATCCTGGTAACCAGAACCATTTAAAATTTGGTTTAAGAAAGCTTTAAGCAGTTTTCAGCTAGTCTTCATGAATTCAGCTTTGCTATAAGCTTGCATAAAATTAACTTTTTAGTCAAAATCAAATAGATTACTGAGCATTTCTTGTTACGCTTCTTTCTTCATTCTCAGCCCAAAAGTATAAATTTGCTAGTTTTTCACTTAGAGAGTCATTTTTTAGCTTGAAGTTTCCTAACCCCTCAAATATTAAACATCATCGGTGAATGACATCATCTGCAAACTATTACTTTGGATGAACAAATATGAATTATACATCCTAGACTAGAGAATCTCTAGGTAAAAGGTGAATAACATTGCAATGAGCTAAAACTGTTTGGCGTCTCACATCTTCTTTTCTCTAATGCGTATGCTCTATGTCGCTGCTATTGCTTAGTGAATATCACATCTATTTTTCTTTTTTTTTTCCTTTCTCTTTTAATGATTTTTTCAAGGGTACTAAAATTTTCTTGGTACATTAGATTCTGCCTCGTTGATGCTCGAATAAAATGAAGAATGTAGCATATGCTATTTTTAAGATCAACAAATTTCTTTCTTTTTTTTCTTCAAAAACAAAATTCTATGCTGCATAAAATGAGCGGTGGCACAAAAGATTTTCATTTTTAATTCAGTTTAGAATCATACCCAAAAATAGATCTTCTGCTTTTATTTGATTTGACACTTTAGAATGCTTGCATCGTCAAGTGATTAATCTACAAGTCGTATTAAATTTATCCAATTAAATTAGAGAAAATTAAGACAGTTGAAAGTGAATTAAAAAAAATTGCGCGATTGAGTTTTAAGAAAAATTCTATCACTAGAATCGATTCATTGTTCCTTGAAAATTACATTTTAATGGGACAAAAAAAAAATTTGAATGTTAAAAATAAAGCAAATTCTATTGCGAGTCATATTAACATTTTAACACAGCAAGAGTGTAACAAACTGGTCTCGAATCGACTGAGAAATAGATGGAACTAGTTTACATTTCAAATCTCAGCAGACTGTTTTGAGAAAATCAGTTTATATCCAATAACGTATGCTTAGTCATGCAAGTTAATAGAGATCTAATAACCTTTACGATAATCATGCATTAAATTGATCTCTGTAATTAGAAATAGAAGGAAAAGGAAGCAGACTTAATTTATGTACAAAACCTTATCGATTATTTTTTATTAAACATAGCAAATTGAGACATAGACAGAGTTCAAATCTTTCTTTAAAAAATAATTAAGTTTTACGGTTAACGATCAAAATGACAATTGCTTGACAATTTGCAATCATAAAGCTGTTTTCGATGCCTCAATCATCTCATTAACATTAAAAAGATCATGAGCATATTCATTAAGTATAAAATTTCTCAACGGCGACAGTTGTACGATCAGCCGGATGGGTCCTTGGATGCAACATTCAAAAACTTTTTGGATTAATTTTTTTCTTTTGTATAATAGTAAAGCTGTTGGAGAGTAGCCATAATAATAATAATAATAATAACAATAACAGACATGTTATAAACACAGACGTCATGACTTAAATTGAATTATTATAGTAAATTATTAAAATTAACCAATAATAGAAACTTGTTAACCTCCCGAATTACGAATCTTTTACATCTAAAGATCAATAATAATTAGTGTAAGATTATTAAATAATGATGAAGGTTAAGGCAAGATCGAGATGCTTTCTTGAAGCATCACCAAAGTAAATGAGGCTTTGAAAGTATTTTTTAAAACAGAAGCATTTTTGCTGTGACATGATTAGTATCATAGTAACTTTAATATTTCTACCCACGTGCTTTTAATTTGATTGACAATGTAGTTGTCTATCCTTGATGCATTATCATTATCGTTGTACATTCAAACTTTAGTAGCTCGAATCTTCTTATTACTGATTTAATCTTTGCAAAAAATTTCTTCTTATTTCCTAAGGGGCCGTTCACTTATTACGTTACGCAAAAAAACGACTTTTGTCAACCCCTCTCCCCCCCCCTTGTTACAATATGTTACAACTTACAACCCCCCCCCCCCCCCTGAACGTTCATAATTTATTTTATCATTAAAAAGGTGAAGAAATTTAAAAAAATGTTTTTGGTGTGAATTTGTAGAAAACTTCTTCTTGACACCCCCCCCCCCCCCCCCTATGTTACATTTTGTTACAATTTTTTGAAGCATCTAATCATTTTGAACGACATACTAAGCACAATTATATTTAGTAATCAAGCTGAGATACACTTATATTTTTAAATAAATTCATTACCAAAGCTTCTGATTTTGTCATCCACAAAAAATCCATGAAAAAAAATTATTTAATCAATTTTATTCTCTCAAAAATCTCTTGAAACAAAGCCAATCATTGAGTTTGTGATTAGAAGAATAGACTGACTTTAATGTCGAGGTCATTGTCTTTCTAAATATAGGCCGATTTAACTGTGATTAATAAATTAATATGAATGACCAATGTTTATACAAAATTCATGCAGATAACACAATAACAGTCTCAAAAATATATTATAAAAATGGAATTTCGTCATCAAAGAATCACAAAAACTTAATTGAGCTATCTAATAATTGCCATCACATAATTATTAATTCTAATTTCATTACTCTGCCTTAATTTCGCACGATATATCGTTCTCATTTTGGTCAAAAATTTTCTCTTCTATTTTACTCGCGCTCTTTTCAACTTCATCAAGAGGTCGTGTGACTACCACGGAATATGTCAGCTTCTTATTTTTAAAGTAGCTGTAGCTATTATCAAATACCACTGTGTATTTATGATTTGCATGACACGTAATGAATCCAGATTCTTCACTTTCATGTGCAGGCACTCGTCTCAATGCCACTTCGTTGACCTTTTCACCTGTTTGCTGATTCACAGATCTAATACCAAATTTGATGTCATGTATTTCTGTTTTAAATTCCCATCTGTAAACAAAAGAAAACTTAAAGCATTAGCAATTCAAATGCTGTCAATTACAAGGTGTAATTACTTTAAAAACACTCCAGAATCTTCGATCTCAAAGTGAAGCTTTAGTTTTGAGCCTTTTTTGACGACTGTCGTCTTATATGTTGACGTATTGTTATACGAATCCTCTTCAGATATGTAAAACTGCTTTGGAATTTTTCCTGGTTGTATAAAATATGCAGAAATATGAAAAGTAAGTGCTTGTCAATTTTAATAGCTGCATAAGTTTAAATAAATAAAATTTAAAATTCAAATGTCGAAACTTCCACAAAGTCATTAAGTAAATACAATGACTTTAATGTATGTTAAGTTTCTACTTCTCGTGCATATTCTAGGATGCATTTCAATCCTTGATTTTACTCTAGTACAGTGGTGGCAAACCTTTCTTGTGCTATTGCATATCTTGATAACCAAAACTGCACACGGCAAACGGTTCGTGAGATTTATCGATTTTTTCACGGCACATTAGTGTGCCGGGGCACATGGGTTGACCATCACTGCTTTAGTTCATACCACTAGACTTTGCTTAGCATGTGAACTTATATCCACTTATCTGAAGTTAATTGACAACAAAGTCAAGATATAGAACAAATTACCTCCCCAACAAATTTTCTCTAAACATTTTGGATTTCCATCTTTATCAGCCTGTTGACCACCAAAATAAACCGGCAGTGATGAAGCATCAACACGTTCTAAAATAGCAGGCAACCATTTATGTTTGTTATGTTTGAAGATACTGATCTTGGACAGCGTATATTCGTCTAGGAATTTTTTTATGATGTTGAAGCCAAATGAGAATATTTTTGGTGCTGTAATTAAAAACAAGAAGGAGTTATTGTAAATCAACAGTTGGTATTGACATAGATTTACCATTTATAATGAGACAGCATTTTAAAATTTCTGGATAGTTGTTTGAATACATTTGAAATGCGGTAATCACAAGCTCAGCTGCTGGTCGGTAAGCATATTGTTTCATTGAAAAATTGTCCATGTCAAAGATGACCAAGAACTTCCGTGCGTCAGGGCCATGAATCTTGCTCTGTTCATATGCCAATTTCATATATCCTTTAAAAAAGAGACATAACAACAATTTAGCTTCATTGTGTAGCATTAAAAATTTAATGTTAATTTACTTTCAAGAACTCGAATTGTATTTTTGATGATATCATGCTTTGACGCACTGTGCAATAATCCCCAAATATCGATTCCACTAAATGGAATAAAAATTACAACAGATCCATCTTTATCAAAGCCTGTCGATCCATGTGGTATGAAGTCTTTAAATACTGCTGGTGCTTCCCAAGACTCAAGATCATCAAGATTCCATTTCTCTCGCCATTTCATGGACTGTTAAAAAGAAGCATTCAATTTAAATTAATTGGTGTGCTTAGTGCTGCAACTTTGAGATTTTTGTGGCTCATATTTGCAGATTTTGTTTAAGGTCATGATGTTCTGAGGATGGCTTGCAAAGTTGAGCACAACTTAAAGTTTTCAAAGTACTACCCAAAAATGATCCACAGCTACACAAATCACCACGACCTTCCAACAAAAATTTAATATTTCTCAGGTCACTTACTTCTCGCAGCATCTTTTCAGCATTATCAGGATTCCATTGTCGTGCGCGCAACCAGCGAAGTAGAAAATGGTCATCATGCTCTGGTTTTAAGATATCTGAAACAGAGCGCCGAAACTGACGTAAAGAAATGACAAGAAAAAACAAATTAGGCACGCATAATTTCTAGTCTTGGCTATTTGTTCATGACAATGAGCAATGTCGTGCTACACAATTAAATTCATATTTTTTCACTGTCGTGTTGTGATTCCTCGAACTTGCTTAGTTGTTGACTAGAATGAAATGAGCTTTTAGACGAGATAATTTGACAAACGTGGATGGAATGCGTAAAATAATTGTCATGCGGTAGAAATTAATTGCAATTTCGTTTATTCATAATTTTTTGTTTGCCGAGCTCCAGTGTAAACTTTACATTATAATTTTGAGTCAATAACAAAGCATTTTGTGGACTCAGTGAGTTGACTATTAAAATATCAATTACGAATCAGGTTCTGAAAAGCGAAATGATAGGTTTAAGTAACGATGGCTATTACTGATTCAATAATTAACATTCCAAACGCATATCATTTAATTCCGTAATTAAATCTTTTTTTTCATTAAAAGCAAAAGTTAAGTCGTAAATTTTTTTTGTTGTTAATTCGCTTGTACTTCATTAGGATAATTGAGTTGCATGATTTTTTTACGGCAAGATTCTAGGTTTTGAGTGCAATTATTAAATCGATTTTTTTATGGGAGTTTAAATTTGTATCCCACAATCTCGAGAAAGAAAGTTCGAACCCGGACTCGAGCTATCTTATTGAACTAAGGACAGTAATTAATGTAATGACTTGTTATTCTTTTAAAACCATCATTTAAGTTTCATCAAATCGATTAGCAATACTTAATTAAAACATTAGCTACTGTAGCTTCTTAATTACAGTAAGCTTCTTATTACTAGGTTCAATAAGGCTTGAGTCTCTTAAATGATGCCTAAACCCAATCCCTCCTTATTTTAAAGTTTGACATCATTTAAGAATGTTTAAGAATCAACACCTATACCAAATAAATCCTAGACTAATAAAATCAAAACAATGAAAGTGATCAATATTCAAAATATTTAAGTACATGCTATTATCTCTCATAAACGTACTTTATTTGGTTACGCTAGAGTAATTTCAGATCAAAGCAAACTATTTACAATAAAATCTTCAAAATTGGTGTTTTCAATCTATTAAGTAAATAGTTCAACTGCTACTAAATTCAATAATCTTCCATTACGAAAGTCAAATAACGTTCAGTCATCCAAATCATCAAAAATCATTGTCTACATACTTAAATTTTTACTTCAATTCCTCTCCCTCTTTTTTTTATTGACTGTCATAAACAAATTCAAACAATCAAGATAATTTATTGTCAAAAAAAAACAGAAGTGAGTAGCTATAGTTGTTTATTTTACCATTAAGAACGAGAAAGACATAATTAATTTGTTTGGTTTTGAACGAGTTTTGCCACTAAAACAAATCTGGGTGAAGGCAAGTAATAAATGAACAGTAAATGCATCTAGATATCGACATTATGCAATATTTTTCTTCCTTCCTTGTCTTACACGCGTAATTGAAAATTGCTAAGCACTTAATTTATTAATTTCCGATTTCTTTTGGGTGCATCGTACGCAAAGCAAAGAATTATTTTTCATTTTTATTTATTCGATTTCTAAAATTAAGTTTATTTTGCAAAATTAGTGGCTCAAAGCAAAAAGCATTTTAGGTATATAACTTAAAATTTATTGTTTAAGCAATCATAATTTAAAAGTAGCACTTCCAATTCTAATTAATGCAAAAAAAATTGTTTGGAGTTATTCATGACCTTTGGTAATGATAGAGGATATTACTTTGTTTGGCAGGGATTTGGGAGAATCTTAATTGAATTAAAAGTAGCGAAAAGTTTTGAGAATCGTGCAGAATTAAATTCTCCTTTAGAGTAATAAGTAGTTAAAGTGTTGACTAGATGGTGCCGGCTTAAAAGTATAAAATTTGAACTTATTTATCAAATAAAATATTTAAAGATGCTTTCGGTCTTTACTTCCTTTTTGATTGAAATAAAAGTTACAAAAATCACAAGAAATTCTTAAAACTTCAGGTTTGAATTTTTTTGAACGCTTTAAAACCTTTTTGTCGTTTAAATATTCATAAAATTAGGGGTTTTTCCAGCAGTTGTTCTCAAACTTTGCTACATGTTACTTCAGGTGTTTCGTGAAAAGTTATATGACACACTAAACTACACGAGATAATTGCTTTAATGTGCACGTTAAGAATAGTTTGAAGTCTTGTCCTTAACATGTAAAATATGTTGTCTACAACTTCCAAGAATTAAGTGCAAATCTCAACACCACAATAAGTAATTTCGTGCTTCTTTTATTATCATAAACCAATTAATTAGCCAATATTCTTCAAATTTTATCCAACTCCAAAAAACCCTGCAAAACAATATTTTGTATACATACAACCGCAAATAATGACTTGAATGGAAAAACCAAACTTTAAATTTAGAATTAGAAATCATTGAGGTAATGGACAATGTCAATGGATGATCAATGTTTTTAATTGATATTTTGCAATAAATCAATCAGATTTTAACTGTTGCCCTTCACTTAACGTCATGTAAATTCTGTACTTAATAGATTTTTATCGATAGCTATAGATTAACATTATCGTAAATAATAACAACATTGATGTGTGTGTCACTAATGAATATTTTTCTTTTTATTGAATATATTAAGCTAGCAATAAAGTTCAGTTAAAGTTTTTTTATGCATGAATAGCAAACGAACCTTCATTAATGCAAACCTTTCGTCATCTTGAAGTGATGGAGTTTTTAATGGATTTCTATTCATTTTTTTTTTGTAATTCACAATTTAGTCATCAAATGCAGCCACAATAATATTATTTTTATGTCTATTTTCTTTCGCGCGAACAAAATTTCTCTTCACTTGCTACTTGTACTTTATAATAACAAAAACATTCAACTGCTAGCACCGAACGATGAAATAAGACTAAAAAGCTTTTAATGTGCTTAAAAAAATGAAGTATGAATGAACTCGAAAGTAACAAATAATTAAATGTGCCGATGTGTGTGTGTATAACACTTCTGTAGGCTAGCTGAAAAGAATTTGCAAGTTGCAAGTGGATGTCTTAGGCTTTTATTATTATTTATTTATAAATTACCGATATTTACCCTTGAAATTATTGTATGTTCAGAATATGAGTATGTGTGACTTTAATTATGTTTTCTAAATTATGTTAGCTACTTCTGTAGCTGCTGTTTCCTCAATGACTTCTATTTTCGGTAATCATCATCAATGATTTGATTCCAATTTCAATGAGATGTGAGGTTTGTGTCTTTTAGAAGGAAAAATGTTCTCTCTCCAAAAGAAGGTCAAGGTTGTTGTCTTAAAGAGTCTACATGCTACATACGTAGTGAGAAAGAGACGACGCTTACACGATTTTTCCTCTCTGCAGTACATAAATGCATCTAAGACATTAAAGAAGTAAGCTTTAGATAAATTCATGAGTTTTTAGTGGATGTAGCGCGTGGTTAGTTGTAAATAGTCATCAAGCACGGAAAGCAATGTCTTTCAAATTGTGTGCAACAAAGGATTCATAGATTTCTGCACTTTTCTACTCACCGTCACACATTAAGGTGGTTTAACGTAATGCATTACGCTATAATCAAGTAAATTTCAGCTACGTGCCTTAGCCTTATACGGTATTTAATGATAGATAAGCGTACAAGCTAGCTGTAGTATGCAAATTATTTTTAGATTCAATCTTATGAGTTTTGAGAACAAAATTAAGTTCGTCTTATTAGCGAAAATAGCAGAAAACAAGTAAAATGTTTAAAAATGAAAGACTGTACTGGAAATAATGGTCATCACTTCAGCATAGATGCTTGCTTTTTTCTGTGCTCACCTTGAACTAAACTCGATGACTTCTCGCTTTCGTTGCGCAACATAAGTATATTGCCTTTCCTATATTATCTTAAATAGAAACAAATATTTGAAATTTTTTGATTATCTCAATTTTATTTTTCTTTAAATTATTTTTAGTGTCATAATTGTTCAGCAGAATACACAATACAATGTAGAATTTCTTCGGTGTGTGTAATCTGACTGCATAAAAAAACAATTAAATTAAATGGCATTGAAAATAGAGAAGAAAAATTATGAAAAGTTTAAATTAATAACGAAAAAAATAGTTTGTGTCGTGTTTTCTTTTTTGACATTAGTTAATTCTTTTAAAATATACAATGATTTTTTTTTGTTCATTCGAGTAATTAAAATTGTCATGGAAGTGAATTTTTATTGACCCTGTTGCTCGCTTAGAATTAATTTCTCCGATTCTGTTAACTCTTTTGGTGCCGTTGCTGGCAATTCTGTATTTTGCTTCTTTTCTTCGATCTCTAGTTCGTCCTCTTCTTCTTCAGCAATCGATTCTTGAGCACTCAATGGTTTACTATCAACGAGTGTCTGGAAAATAGTTTGTGATATATGATTATAGGATGTCTTTCTACTTTGAATGTATTTGGTTTTTAACGAAGTCCATGAGTCTTAAATCTTCACTATCTATCCCCCTCACCTACTTTTCCAAATTTACTAACAAGACTAGCATTTTAATACTCAATTAGCCAGCAGACACTGAAATGTCATCTTAATGATAATTTCATTAAAGTAGACCACGCAATTATTCAAAGTAACATTAATCTTATGCATCTGCCATGAATAACCTCGCCTAGTTAAATTACCAAGGATTTGAGAACATCTAACTTAATGAATTTGACCCAGAAAATTGCATTTAATTACGCTGAAGAACTTAATAAGCTGTCATGTACCTCTTTCTTTGCTGCATTTTCTTGTACAATACCATCACCAAACTCTCCATCTTCCACGACATCACGAACAATTTCATCCTTTATGAGAAAAAATAATCACAATACATAAATGAACTTAATTAGTATCTGACATTACAATAATCCAACACTTAAAGCTGTTTTTTTTTTGTTAGTTGTGCCATAATTAACATTTAATTTTAAATTCATTAAGTAAAGAGATTTTTCTGAAATAGATAAAATAATATAAGTGAATAACATAGTTTATAGTAACAACGAAGCATTAAACGTGAAGGCGAAAAAAACTGGACGAGAACAACAACGATTTATAATTTTTCAAACCTCTGGGCTTTTAACTACGATCTCAGATTTTTCTGGTTCAAGATTTTCTTCTTTGGTTTCTGTTTGAGATTCTTCGAGTGGTTTTTGGTCTGAGTCATTTGCGATTTCTTTGTCAGATGATTCTACTTGAGCATTTTCTTGTTCTGATAAATCTTTTTGAGTATTTTCCTGCTCAATTGAAGCTGCTTGATCATTTTCTTGACTGTCTTGTTCTGTTGATTCTGCAGGATCAGTTTTTTCAATAGACTCGGTGGTAGACTTTTCTTTTTGAACTGATTCAGGTTCCTTTGCAATATCTTCTTCAATATTTTCAGGTTGAGTATTTTCCTGTGTTGATACTTCTGACTTAGCTTCAAGTTCTTGTACATTTCCTGGCTCTGGTTCTTCAGTGACTGATTTTTCTTCTTGAGATATTTCTTGCTCGCTTACTGCTGGTTCTATAGCTTCTGATTTTTCAATTGTTTCTTCTTGAACTGTGTTTTCTGGTTCCTTAATGTTTTCTGTTGTTTTTTCATCTACATTTTCTTGCTGTTGTGTCTCTTCTGGTACTATATTCTCAGTTTTGTCGGTGTCTTCAGTTTCCATTGACTTTTCTTCTGGGATAGTTTCTGATTCTGTAGTTTCAAGCTTGTCAACTATTTCTTTAACTTCTTCAACAATTTTCACATCTCTACCCTCATTTTCATCACCTAATTCCTCTGTTTTGGTTTCATTTTCCTGACTTTCACTTACGCCTTCGTTTTCAACTGATTCATCGATTTTCGTACTTTCCTCCTAAGTCATTTTGTATTCAATGTTTTTAATTATATCGAATTTAAATTTGAAGTTGATTAAGTAATAGTGCCATTAAAGATAAGTTTGTTAGTTTTAGCTCATAAAATATTTTTTATTATTTTTTAATCATTAATATTAATTCGATTAATGGAAAATACAAAATCTTGCTTACTTCTTATTTTCAAAAATTTCTAATGCATGAGAATGTTGACAAAAGTTATTTATCGTTAAAAATTTAAGCAGTTTTTGTAGCCAAAATCGTTTCAATTCAATTAATTTAAGGACTTTATGGTATAATCGGTTAATTAGCATAATTTCCTGCCTTTAAGTTTGACTTATACGACACATCAAAAGAATATGTCAAAAATGATTGAAAATAAGCCGATTATTACCGATTATCTGATTCATAAGACAATTGATCTCAAAAATCATTCAAAATGAGGTGATTATTATTGCAAAGGTTAGCATGAAATTGAACTACTGATTTTGACTACAAGTGCTCCTAAGCCCATGATTATTGATTTTAGCGCTTACATTAACGTGTGTATTTTTTTTTCGATATCAATTCAAATGGCAATAAAATCTACTTGATTGAAGCATCACAATAATGAATTACTATTAATCAATTAATTCATGCATCTACAAAAACAAAAAACAACATTATTCATTTATTTATGATGCGTTACGTTCTTCTCACTTCCTCGTTTCTTTCGAAGAAGACAACAAAATAAAAAAATATGATTGCATAAAATAATTCTCAAAATTTATTACTTTCAACACGCAATTGGCTTGTGTCGAAAAGAGAAACTATTAAAGTATAGAATTAAAGCTTAAAACTTTTTTAAAGTAAAATAAGGAATAATCTTTGTAAGGATAGGTAAGTTAGGCTTGACTATTTCTCAGTAGGTTAGTTGATTTTTCTTTCTTCTTTAAATTGATTAAAATTAATGATTCAATAGTTTTTAATAGGAAAAATAGTTTATCAGCATAATCATTTTGGCAATGACTGTTAATAAACTTTTTCAGCTCCATAATTGATTCTCCATTGATGTTAAAATAATTTGTTTTAAGATTTTTGATTAAAAACATAATAATTATCCATTAAATAATTAATATATTATGTTGATACATTTTTTTTTCATCATTGAAATTAATTAAGCAGTTATGTGCAGTAAAACAAAGAATCATTCAATTTGCGAAAGCCAATTTTCAAACCTGATCATCAGTCTTGTTTTCTTTGTCTTCATCCGTCGGCTTTTCTACTTCTTCGTCCTCAATTACTTTCCCATTTGGATGATTCTCATCAATTTTTGAGGTGTCGAGTGTAGATTTGTGAACTTGAGGTCGTTCCTCTTCAGGCAGTTTCAGGAAATCCTCTAAGTTGTCTATTTCATTCGCGAGTTCAAATTGCTCAAAGTCACCGCAGTACTCGCTGTCGTAAAAGACTTGTGGTGGAAGTGGATGGCGAGGGTTTGGGTCTGAAGCGGTTCCTCCTAAAAAATTTTAAACAAAATTCAAATTTTATTAAAAATTGAAATGAACTAAAATGAATCAAAGTTCAAAAATTGAACTTTAACGAACTTTGATTACTGAATGATTTCCGTCCGTTCATGATCCAAGAAAAGCTTAAAAATGATATGATTCCACGAAATATTCAAACTGAACTGATTGGAATGAATTACTCATCTACAAATGCACAAAAAAGCTTCGTAACTCATGCTAATTGTCAATTCCACAAAAATATCTGTCATATAAACTTCTCATAAAAAATGAGTCGCATGTTATTTATCATTTTACGGTCTATCGAGTTGTCGAGTTATTTTGGTACAGTCAGAAACTGATCTGAGTACTAAGCTACTCCACCCAGATTCCAATAAGATTTATTTACCTTTACTTGTTGAGTGTGTTTGCATGTAATCCTTTTCTTCCTCCTTTCCAGGTTCCGAAATGTCGACAATATCATATTTGATGTTTTTACTGTCGAGGATCATAAGGATTTTCTGCTGCCTTTTCTTGACCTAAAATAAAATGCGACAGTCAGTATTTCCGTATTACATAATAAGTAAAAACAAAAGCAATTGTCTTAAAATCAAACTTATTCATCCATAACATTATCCTATGATATGCCAAGAGACGATGTCAACGTTGGAGCAAAATAAGTTTAAACTTGTTTCGAATGTTTTTCGAACAAAATTTCGCAATTTCGAAAATCATATTTTTTATGAAAATTTTAACTTTTCGCAATTTTTGACTTAATTCACTTATTATTTAGGAATCGAATCCTTCTACTATGTTAATCAACACTCATTTAATCGTTTAATCGATGATAAATGCAGGAAACATTAGTTTAATATGATTTTTTTCAAAAATATTCAAAAAATTTTGTTGTTGTTTACATTGAAAATTAAAATGTCATTAATTCACTTGCATTAATTGTTTATCAAATCAGTAATGATTCATTACAGTTGAGTGGATTCTTTTAGCATTTTGATGATGAAAAACAAACATGTAAACCATTAATTAAAGAGATTAGACATTATTAATTTAACGTGAAAAAAAAATTTGAACTCATGCTCGAAAATAAGGTACCAAAAAAAATCAATATCGAAAATAAGGACTCGTTGGCGTACCATAGACATTATCAAGTGATTTATTCTATTTTAAATTCTTGCTTCAATGCAATTTCAAACCGAAGGCGATAAAAATACAATATGATATAATTTCCAGTGTACACAAAGCGTCTCTTCTTTTTCTTTATTTCCCAACGACATAAGTCATTTCCACATCGTATCAAATTGAAAAGAAGCTTGATTGTTATATGATAGGGACATTGTTATCAAAAACCCATAAAAAAGATCGTTTACGAATTAATTCCATTTAAGGTTGAAAGCGATATCAAATGGTCTATTTCATGCTTACTCACAGTTGGTGTAATCAAGGGGACTTAGAATGACTTTCAAGATTCATTTTTTTTTTGAACCCTCATTCTTGAAGATTGTATACCAAACCCCTGTTCCTCAAAATTTAAAGAATTGAATCATCAAATTCGATAAAACAAAATTGCAAGAAGGTTTCTCGTTTTCTGTACAGCTGCAATTAATTGCGATAAAAATAATCGAATTAAATTTAAATTGAGAAGAAGCACCGGAAAGTGAAAATCGAAAACAAAAGGCGACCTTCAGAAATAATTTTTATTTAGTATGTATGATGCACATGGCACTTATGATACTCATTATTATTATTTTGCTATTTCTAAAGTAATCAACAAGTGTGATCAATATAAGAAATTATTTATAAAAGAAAAAAATTCATCAAGAAAACATTTATTCACCTTCCTTTACTACACAATTTCATACCGGCTTTTTCATACATTTTCTCTTACTTCTTATTCGTTGAATCGTTTATAGTTTCACGTCTGCACATATTTTTTGTGTGTGGCTTGTTTTCATTAGAATGTTATTCACATAATTGTTCAAGATAACAAGATCAGAAAATAATATTTTAATTGAGGGGGCTATTAAGAAGTGGTGATGTGAATTAATTTTATTTTTAGACCAACTACCTAATTGAGATTAATCAAAACTAGCACAATTGATTATGGGTTCGAGAGTTGGTTCAAACCTGTTCAAACATCAGAAACGAACGACCTCTAGAACCTCTATCTATAGACTACAATCAGCAGCTTGAGGACTAATTTAAGTAGAAGGAGCCCAGGCACGAATTATTTAAAGATCCTAGACAATTTTGTTGCTTTAAGAACTTAACGCACGCTTTTAACAGATTGATAAAATACTAGGTTCGTCTTACATAACAAATTGTGATGTTTATTGTCTGAATACTAGGAAAAGATTCTTTGTAGTAAAGCCCCTATTTAAACATATTTTCGAATGACCTCAAAGCTGTACATATAGCCTTGCGACGTTTCAAGAATGCAGATTTGTACATTCCAATTGCCATTCTTATCGCACATAGAAAAAAATTAATTGCGATATCACGCTGTCACTGAGGAAATCATGACACAATAAGCAAATTTAAATTTATAAAGTCTCTGCCGCTGTGCATAATATTTATCAAGACTATGCACATCCACAAAACCCATATGAAGAACGGACTGAGCGTGCTTCATGCATGTATTGAGCAATATAATTGCCTTTTTACGCATTACCGGTTCATTTCGTTAACTTTAATTTTCATACTGATAATAATAACTGTTCATCGAGGTGTTTTTTTTTTTGAGGCAGACAGAACAGAAGCAATTGTGCTATTTATTTATTTTGACATATTTTTACACGCTTTTTATTGAGTTGCTCTGTTGGTTTCTTTGTCACGTTCAAATCTTGCAATCGATTTTTCGACCACTTCTATTGCTCCAATCGAGCTCAAATTTTTATTACATACGTATTCCCGGTGACAATACAATATTTTCACACTTTGGAACCACAAAAAGGCTTAATTATAGTACAATTTAAGTAAAACTTTTTTATATGGGAAAAAAATCCAATGTCAATGATATAAAATTTTGATTTGTTTAAAATATTATACTTGAAATGCTCAAAAGTCATTTATATGATTTATTATAGTTTAATTAATATTACTAATTATTAATTATACTATAAATTTGAGCAGCTAAAGATATTCTGGTAGGACAAAAAAAATTGACAAGTAATTTTTTCATGAATTTTCGTAAGTAAAAATTTAAATTTTCAAAAAAACCGTTAAGCACAAATCCGTTACGAATTAATACAAAATAACTATTAATATGCGATGTACATTTAGCACACATAGTTTGAGCATAAATTTATGCTGTTTTTAATGTATTGCATTATTTATAACACTTCACCAATTTAATTAAATTGACTTTTCTTTTTATTAACGGCTTGACGTATTTTTGCATAACATATAAATGATATTCATTGAATTTAAATTTGAAAAATCCGTTATAAATACGTTACATATGTGAGATGCATCTTTATGCTAAGAATCCACACGTTATAAAGTAGAAATGGTACAGATAAACACAAAATCTTTACGATTGATTTTTAATGTACATTACTAATGAATGCTTTGAAAAAATTAAATTTTATAAAACGAATGAAAAATTTTGAAAACTGGTAATTTATAAACAGTTGAACGTAACGGAGTGCAACGAAGTGGAGTTCAACACACCTGTAACCTATGAACCTACTGTAATCTATAAACAGTTGAACGTAACGAAGTGCAACGAAGTGGAGTTCAACACACCTGTAACCTATAAACCTACTGTAATCTATAAACAGTTGAACGTAACGAAGTGCAACGAAGTGGAGTTCAACACACCTGTAACCTATAAACCTACTGTAATCTATAAACAGTTGAACGTAACGAAGTGCAACGAAGTGGAGTTCAACACACCTGTAACCTTTAAACCTACTGTAATCTATAAACAGTTGAACGTAACGAAGTGCAACGAAGTGGAGTTCAACACACCTGTAACCTATAAACCTACTGTAATCTATAAACAGTTGAACGTAACGAAGTGCAACGAAGTGGAGTTCAACACACCTGTAACCTATAAACCTACTGTAATGTATAAACAGTTGAACGTAACGAAGTGCAACGAAGTGGAGTTCAACACACCTGTAACCTTTAAACCTACTGTAATCTATAAACAGTTGAACGTAACGAAGTGCAACGAAGTGGAGTTCAACACACCTGTAACCTATAAACCTACTGTAATCTATAAACAGTTGAACGTAACGAAGTGCAACGAAGTGGAGTTCAACACACCTGTAACCTTTAAACCTACTGTAATCTATAAACAGTTGAACGTAACGAAGTGCAACGAAGTGGAGTTCAACACACCTGTAACCTATGAACCTACTGTAATCTATAAACAGTTGAACGTAACGAAGTGCAACGAAGTGGAGTTCAACACACCTGTAACCTATGAACCTACTGTAATCTATAAACAGTTGAACGTAACGAAGTGCAACGAAGTGAAGTTCAACACACCTGTAACCTATGAACCTACTGTAATCTATAAACAGTTGAACGTAACGAAGTGCAACGAAGTGAAGTTCAACACACCTGTAACCTATGAACCTACTGTAATCTATAAACAGTTGAACGTAACGAAGTGCAACGAAGTGAAGTTCAACACACCTGTAACCTATGAACCTACTGTAATCTATAAACAGTTGAACGTAACAAAGTGCAACGAAGTGAAGTTCAACACACCTGTAACCTATGAACCTACTGTAATCTATAAACAGTTGAACGTAACGAAGTGCAACGAAGTGCAACGAAGTGGAGTTCAACACACCTGTAACCTATGAACCTACTGTAATCTATAAACAGTTGAACGTAACGAAGTGCAACGAAGTGAAGTTCAACACACCTGTAACCTATGAACCTACTGTAATCTATAAACAGTTGAACGTAACGAAGTGAAACGAAGTGGAGTTCAACACACCTGTAACCTATAAACCTACTGTAATCTATAAACAGTTGAACGTAACGAAGTGCAACGAAGTGGAGTTCAACACACCTGTAACCTATGAACCTACTGTAATCTATAAACAGTTGAACGTAACGAAGTGCAACGAAGTGAAGTTCAACATACCTGTAACCTATGAACCTACTGTAATCTATAAACAGTTGAACGTAACAAAGTGCAACGAAGTGAAGTTCAACACACCTGTAACCTATGAACCTACTGTAATCTATAAACAGTTGAACGTAACGAAGTGCAACGAAGTGCAACGAAGTGGAGTTCAACACACCTGTAACCTATGAACCTACTGTAATCTATAAACAGTTGAACGTAACGAAGTGCAACGAAGTGAAGTTCAACACACCTGTAACCTATGAACCTACTGTAATCTATAAACAGTTGAACGTAACGAAGTGAAACGAAGTGGAGTTCAACACACCTGTAACCTATAAACCTACTGTAATCTATAAACAGTTGAACGTAACGAAGTGCAACGAAGTGGAGTTCAACACACCTGTAACCTATGAACCTACTGTAATCTATAAACAGTTGAACGTAACGAAGTGCAACGAAGTGAAGTTCAACATACCTGTAACCTATGAACCTACTGTAATCTATAAACAGTTGAACGTAACGAAGTGCAACGAAGTGGAGTTGAATTTGAATTGTTGTGGTCGAAATTCGATTAAAAGATTGAGACTAAAAAGTAGCAAATAAAAAAACGTTAAAAAAAACTTTTTAAAAAACACGCTTTTTCCCGAAGACTAAAAAACAAATAACATTTTTTTTCTTGAAGTTAAGTCTGTTGTTAAGAATAAAAACCAAGCGACCAAAAAAGGAGCAAATAAAAAAATGTTAAAAAAAACTTTTTAAAAAACACGCTTTTATCAAAAAGATTAAAAACCAAAAACTTGAAAATAAAATAAGATCACACTTTTAGCGAATCAGGATTTTAAAAGTTTTCTTGTGACATCTAGAAATGTAACATAATTTTTTTCAAAATATTGTGATTAAGTCCAAGAACACAATGACTCGAAAAGCGTGGGGCTTTGAGACTTGACGTTCTCTTACTTAAGAATATAGCTGAACTAAGAAATTCATCCTTAAATTACGCCCCACGCTTTTAGAGTCATTGTGTTCTTGGACTTAATCACAATATTTTGAAAAAAATTATGTTACATTTCTAGATGTCACAAGAAAACTTTTAAAATCCTGATTCGCTAAAAGTGTGATCTTATTTTATTTTCAAGTTTTTGGTTTTTAATCTTTTTGATAAAAGCGTGTTTTTTAAAAAGTTTTTTTTAACATTTTTTTTCGGTCTATATCTGATCGATCGTACGTTAGGCAGGAGGCTGATGATTAATCACGCATATCATAATAGATGGGGACAAGAAAGCTTGGTTCATTTACTTATTTTCTTCTAATATAAACAGCCACTAAACGCAGAGCAATTGAAATGAGCGCACATATTTTGTTTTATGTCGAAATCTGTACTATATAGTTTCTTTTTTGTTATTTTTGTGTAGGATGGATGTGAGCAAGCATCAATGAAAAAGATGTTCATTTGAATCAAAATAAATTTTCTATATCGCATTTAACTATGGTCTTTTGAGCAAAGCTTTTCCGCAATCATAAAATGAAGGATGATCAGTGACATGATCACAAGTTTAAGGTATACAAACAATATTAATTGAGAGCAAGATATGGTAGAGGAAAAATCAAGTTCAAGCTCAAGATTTGTCATTTTTTTTGCTCTCTATACGTACATAAGTCAGTCTTATAAGAAAGGTCGGGCTTATGTTGCAAAATGACGTCACCACATAGATTTTCTTTACTGGATCTCGATTAAAATAGTCAAATCAAGACATCTGTGTATTTATATTAATATAATTATGCCAAATGAACGGAAGTGCTGAATAAAATGCTCAGTGCATCACTATTGAACAAGTCCCGAAAAAAATAAAATAAAAATAGAATTTTTTACATTTTTTTTTTTTGGGAATTTCACTTCTCATTTATAGATTTCTGGGCAAATTAACTTAGTTAAATGTAAATATTGGATATTATTTATTCAATTGATTAGCTATTTGAGTATCCACAACACGTAATGCGAGTGTTTAGTGCCGTTTTAAGATTTTGGAAACTCCCTTTTTTAAAAGGAGAAAAGTCATTAATTCTTATCGCTCTGGAATTTTCCTATTATATATTTATTAAATGCTGTGCTTATTATACCTCTTTAAGGCCACTTGTTAGGCTTATATAGATTTTTACTGTCATTTTTCTGTACTTTTAATTAATTTTTTTTAAACAAATCAACTCAACACTTCAAACGCGAATACCTAATAAAATGATTTTTTTAAAAAATTAATCAGCTATACAGAGAACTATGAGTGCTGTCCTCGTACTTTGACTGACTATCCAGTGCTATATAAATTTATAATTGACATTATAAGGTTGCAAAAGGAGTTTCAATTTATTCTATCAGAAGGAGTCATCAGTTTCTGAAATATATCCGTTAATGACTTGACAGCTGATAGTAAGGCACTCTATTTTAGTCGCTTTAATATAGACACTTCCTTACTTTTGCAAATATTTCCATGTAGTTCAAATTTTAAAAACTCGTTAAAGTTAATTTTGAAGCGTCACTTTTGTTTTTGTATAAGTTTTCTCTTGATTTCACACTGAATGCTTTTAAACTTGATAATTAATCTGAATACAATTGCTATTATCAACACTTTCCATACAATAATATGATTAATATCTAGTTTTCTGCCTAGAAAAATGATAAAATAAGTAACCGCTTTTAACTGTGAAGAAATATTCAAACGTCAGCTCATTTATTGTAAAGCAACGCTTCTTTCTAATTTGTGTTTATTAATCAAATCCAGCTCATTTTTATTAAATTAAACAGGAAATATTATAAAATACTTAATTAAAGCACGTTATTAGCACTTTTAAGAAGCTAAAATGTCTCGACAAAGTCGTTTTGAAGTGAAAAAAGTGGTAAGTGACTGACTTTTTCGAGTTTTAAAATTTTTCATCATCTTTCATTGCGAATGATTCAAAGTAACCAGCAATCTAGCTTGTTGTAGATGTACTGTACATATACATGCTAGGGAGTATTTCTAGAAAAGTAATACTTCCTCATCCTCGATTTTTATCTATTTTTCTGTGAATTTGATAATTTTAAAATATTCATTATGTGAATTAGTGATATGTAGTTAATGAAATTAATAAAACAAGAAGAAATGTGTGATTATACGGTACGAAATATGAGTTTACGAATGTAAAAAGCTATAATTTATTCTATTTCTCACTCTTTTAGGTATTCTGGATGTAATTCAATGTGTGTATGACATAAACTACTAGATAAAGAATATAATTATACTATAAGCAAGTGAATTGACATTGCAAAAAAGGATAGAATAAAAGAAACAATAATAATGGATTCGAATGATCAACAGCAGCAAAATCAACAGAATAGTGGGACGATCCAAGTTATGCCAACAGTATTAGCAAATGGACAGCAGATATTTCTACAACAATTGCAACAAACTCTAGGTGCTGGAAATGGACAGCAGCAATCAATACAAGTTTTACCGATACAAGCAATAGGTCAACAAGGAGGAACAACGTTAATAGTTCAGCCGCAAGTACAACCACAGCCTCAAATTGTACAATTAGCCGACGGACAGACGTTTATTTATCAGCCAATGATACCTGATACAGCACAACCCCAAATAGTTAATATTAATGGAAACTTCTATCAAATTCCCGCCCAACAACATCAACAACAAACGACAGCAAGTATTCAAAGCTCTCCTGCAACGACCACGCAACAAAATCAGCCTACACAGCAAGTCATGATGATGACATCGACGCAAAACATCCCCACAAATAAGCCTGAGCCTCAAAATCCTGTTTCAGTTCCCCTAAACAATATCACAATTAATCCTTCAGCCGATCCAAGTCCACCACCATCTACGAGTACTGCTTCGCCTGTTCCAACCGTCGAATCCGAAGAGGAACCACTCTATGTTAATGCTAGTAAGTTGCACTCAAATTTGTGATTCTTGAATTTTAAATTTGATGGATTTATTTTAATCCAGTAGATTTATTTATAATCTCGGAATTTAATCCTAATGCAAACGTTTAATCACACTTTCAGAACAATACAAACGAATACTAAAGAGGCGAGCGGCTCGTGCGAAATTGGAAGCACAAGGGAAAATTCCAAAAGAGCGACCAAAATATCTCTACGAATCAAGGCACCGACATGCAATGAATAGAGTGAGAGGAGAAGGTGGACGATTTGGCGATTCCTCAAAAAAGGATGGACCACAAAGTCAACAATCTAATAATCCACACCTACAACATCATCTCATCATGCACAACTAATATTAAATTCAAATGTTGATTGATTGTGCTTAAACGAGATTTTTATATCATAAGATCATTAATTTTATAAATAAATTTACTAAATGCTATACGTGTAAATAAATACCTAAGTTTTAAAAGGATGTCCCGTGTCATTCGCAATGATCTTGCCCCCTTTAATGTATAGACTCATTATTTTGTAATGTTTCGTTCTAGAACGCAGAGCTTCTGACTCTGACCTATGGTGCTCTCGTGACTCAAATGTTGAGAGATTTTGAGAATGTCGAAGATGTCAACAAACAACTCGAGAGACTTGGATATAATATGGGAATGAGATTAATTGAAGATTACTTATCCAAAACAAACTCATCGCGTTGTCTCGACATGAGAGATACTGCTGAAAAAATACAGGCTGCATTCAGGTATTTTTAACAGTTTTTAAGATTTTGAATATTAACGGCTTTTAAAATTTGAACTTCAACAGTTTTGAAAATTTTGAACTGAAACAAATGAGAATTTTTTCGTTAAATTCATTTCAGAATGTATTTAAACGTGCAACCAACAATCTCGAATTGGGCTGCATCAGGCGATGAATTTTCTCTCATTTTTGACAATAATCCATTAACGGAATTTGTTGAATTACCATCAGACTTAACGAATCTTCGTTATTGCGGTATTATTAATGGATGCATTCGAGGTGCTCTAGAAATGGTTCAATTGGAAGTGCAATGTTGGTTTGCTCAGGATCAATTAAAGGGCGATTCATCCACAGAAGTTCGTGTTAAGTTTATTCGCAAAATGGATGATCAAATGCCTGGAGAAGATTAAGTTATTCCATTCCAAAAAATAAAATATAAATAACTAGCTTCTTAGTTTTATTCAATAAGTTTCATTTTACAGTCAAGCTTCTTCATAGATTTAAACTTGGTCTTCATCATTTTCAATATTATCATCGTATTCGTTGAAATAATTGTCTTCGTTATCACTGTAATATCCTGCTGGTGCCCAAATAGCTTTAGTTTCTTCATTGACTTCAATTTCTGAAAATGATATCATTAGTTCTTCAGTGCTGTACTTGATATGGTTATTCTTTCCGTCAGATAGTGTAAGTCGTGGCCACAAAACATTGGAAAACTTTTTAATCAGGAACATTGATATGTATCGTCCGTTAGATTTATGGACAACATATTTTGGAATAATTCGTCCATAAAATTCAATATTTGTCAATGCCATTTTGTCAGCATATTTAATGCAAATTTCACACATTTCTTGTTTTACTTTTAGTGAATATTCCAACAAATCTACTGCCTCAATTCTAAGCATTATTATATTATCATTTTGGTTCCATTCAATATTCACGTTACTGAATAAATTTTTAAGTTTCATTTCCTTAACTTCTGGAACTTTCTTTGGTGCTTCTTGAATTTTTTCGTTAGCTTTTTTAAGCAGTTCTATTATTTTTGGAATCTTAAATGCTGGTTTTAGTTCATTTTTAGAAACTAGTGTGATTTTTGGTTCCATTTTAAGTTCTGTAATGATGCTCGGAACATTTTCGATAGCTTTTAGGGCTGTTTCAGAACTTTCTGCTTGAACATTTCCGGACCATTTATCCAAAATTTCTTGAATTCCTTTGGGTGGCAAAAATCGAGCAGTCGGTGGCAATCCAAGCATTTTATTGGCATCACTTTGAAATAAATTGACATTCTCGTCATTTTGTAACAATTTTATAAAATTTGCAGTCTCCTTCCTCATTACTTCCTCGCGAACTTCATCATCAGTTAAATCGCAAATCTTTTGTTTCATTGCCAGATCTTTTATGTTTATAGCATTTTCTGAATTATATGCAGATACAATAAACTTGTCAGTTTCCTTTGAATGAACATCCAACTCAAAAACGCCATTTTTGGAAATCAATTTAAATAACTGCTTATATTTAAGCACATTTCCTAATGTACACATTCCTTTAGTCTTCAATCCCTTAAATCCACATTTAATTGCTTGAAATGGCAACAATTTAATAATATCATTTGAAATTTCATAAAGATTTGACAGTTTTGGCTTGATTTTAGTGCCTATATCAACCAGAAAAACTTCTAAAGGCTCATTTTTAGTGATTACACATCGCTTTATCTTCCCGTCATCTGATTTGAATAGACATATTGTGTTCATCTCATAACTCTTTAGCAATTCCTTTGTTTGACACTTTTCTATAAGCATAAATTTTGACTTAATTTCGCTTAAATTTTTATCAATTATCTGTACAAAAAATGATTCTGGGGTTTCGAAGCTTAACAACGCTGCCTTGTATGTTCTTCCAATATGAAGTTCCTTCAAATTTCTCTTTTGTTCTTCGATGTAAGTCCCTTTTGGTTTTTCAACAATTGGTTCAATCTTTTGAATCTTTTCTTCCATTTTATAAAAATTAGAACTGACGGCAATATCCTTCAATTTATCCAAGACATTCTGATACATAGCGAAATTATTTTCCAGCAAATATTTCTTCATAGATAAATTCATAATGTCGCTAGTCAGATTATTTAACTTCTTATAGATGGTCACATTAGTTGTTATGATTGTATGTCCAGCAGCTAGTTCTATGTCACACATCAAATAATCATTTTTTGATTGAACTTTAGCCATGTATTTTTCAACAACGTCAATTGTTTCGCGGTCAAAAATCACATCGCAATCGTAAGGAATTAAATTAACAATTCGTATGTCACAAACTAAAGGATCTAACATTTTAATTTCATCTGGTAGCTTCAATAAAGTTGTTGTCTTAACAGTTGAACGCCCACCAACATCGATAAACTCAATAAATGCCTTTCGTGATTTAATTGAATCTTTTTTATCTCTGAAATAATTGAATTTCGTTATGAACAAAATAACGGTTTCTTGAGAGTTTAATACGAAAACCGTTCAAATGTTTGGAATCGATTTAAAATTCAATAATACGTTAAAAAGTTTTTGATACTTACTCGAGTTTAATTACTTTACAACGTCGCCATTTACCGGTTTCGGAATTTAAAAATCCATAAAGATTACCAACTTTAGGAACATCAATAATTTGATTTTCATCATCGCCCATAAATTCTTGTAATTCCTTTAAGCCTTGATTAATCATTTTGATTTTATCCTGATATGAAATCCATTGAACACTATTTGGTGCTAAATAATCAGTTATAGTGACTACAAGATGAAGTGGAGAGTTCATCCCAATTAATTTAAACTTAATTTGGCCTGCTCGTGGAATAAACTCAGGTTCGTCATCAGGTATGAATGCATGACGAAATAAGCACTTGTAACGTGAACATGATGCAAATTTCAAGATATTTGAGCATAAAGGCACAACGAATTCATTATTTACATCAGTCTTAGCCTTTTCTACGTCGTTTTTAATTCTCTGTAAATTTTAAATGACTTGAGATTTGCCTTTAAAATAATTATTTGTTTTATTAACTTACCTGTGCTTCATTCTGGATTTGTGCAGGAATTTGTTGGACCAAACGACGGTCACTAAGAAAGTTAATTATGCGAGGAATTTCATAGATATTATTTTCATCCAAATTAATGATTGCTCGTGGCAGATTTTCCTTATTCTTTAATGGCAAATCCTTATAGAACTTATAATAGTTTACTGACAAAGCAAAGCGACGTGAAAATGCAGACCAAGTTTCAGGCAACGAATAATGAATTAAAATTTGAATACATTCAATATTAACACGCGTCAAAATGCTATCGAGTATTAAAAGAATTGTCATTTTGCCTTTTTTTAAACGACACCAAACTTCAATGTCATACTCAATTGTACTTCCATCTAAAATTTCATAGGCAAATGATCTATTCCTTAATAAAACCTGAAATTTATCGATTTCATCCTGTGCTGAAAAAACCACTGCTGTTTTAAACATTCGCCACTCAAACTGCTCTAAATTATTCAATATATACTGATCCTTTTCCTTTAAGCTCTTTCGAGTGACAATAAAACGTGACTGAGCAAATAATGCAGCTTCTATATATGGATCTATAACTATAATTGGATTAGCTGAGAATTTCGAGAAGAAATAAAGATAATTTTGCCAGCATGTTGCAGTGATGATTATTTGTGGATTATCTTGCGGTAAATCAGTTCCATTTGTGCATAATTTGAGGATGACAACCAAGTCCATTTTAAAGTTTTCATAAATCAAATCTAGATTATCGAAAACTATATGCTTAATTCTATTTCTATCAAACATTTTAATTGTGTCACATTTGGTGAATCTCGTAAAGCATGAAGGTGTGGTTATTAATAAATCACATCCATTAAGTAATTCAATGCATTTACCCTTAAAATTCCATATTCCGAAAGCCTTAACAATTTTTACGTCCTTATTTGCAAGTAATTGCTTACAAAGATAATATAAAGTTTCTACTTCGCGTGATGTGTTTGCGATAATTATAGCTATAGGTCCTTGAGAGATGTTTTCATCAGTATCTAATTTACTGGACAGCAAGCTCAATAAAGGAGGCAGAAATGTCATTGTTTTTCCAGAGTTGCGGCTATTGACAATTGTTACAGAACGTCCATCAATAATTTCATTCCAGCTATGAGCTTGTGTTGGGAATATTGATCGATAGCCATGCTTAAACATGTTGTTGTGTATGCCTTCATTGAACTTAGCTTCATTAAAATTCACTATTCTTGGTTGTAGCCCAATTCCGTGCACAAATATTTTTCGTTCTGATTGCATCAATGGTGCTTGTTTGTTTAGAATATCTTGAAACTTTTCTTTTGCTTCATTCTCGTCACCAAACATCTTTGAATAGATCGCATTGAAATCTGTGCTTACTTTGCCTCTACTGTCCATTGTGAATCACTTCTGGAAGTCAAAATTAAGGTTATCTTAAAAGTTTTTTGTATTAATTTATTTGGAATCTTCTATTGCAATCTTTTACTAGTTGTGATCTTTTTGAAATAGAATAATGTTCAACAATATTGGTTTTTATTTATTTTAGACTATGTTGTTTTGTTAATTTAGCACTACCAAAAAACTATATTTAACAAATACTTCTTTTTATCACATTATTCAATTTTTTAATCATGTTTATATTCTAATACTGATTTTTTAGGATCCAATTCACACAAAATAAAGTTCTTAATAATAATTACCTAATTTAATCAACTAATTTCATTAATTTTGATAATATTTTTTTTTAAATTAAAATTATCCACAAAATGTTGTTGCAAATGAAAAGCGCGCTAAAATGTTTTTTCATTATTTTCGAATTCTGAACAGACGTTAAATATTAAAATCTCTAAAATCCGTTACAACTTTTTTCTTCAAATGCAACAAATATTAAAGTTTAAGTTGCATTATTTTTTTTCAGCAAGAAGTGTTGAGTTGATTCGAAAAATCGCAAAAAGCATCATCGATTTAGGCGTTTTTTTTCTTTCAAATATAAAAATAGAAACTAGCTTTTAATTCCTTCTGACGATTTTCTGAATGACTTTAATTAAATTTTCTTCATTTTCATTAATTTTACTTATTTTTCTTCTGTATAAAGAGCGGTAGGGATATATTCATCTGGTCTATGCTAACTGCTGCGCTTGATTAAAAATTGAATAAAAATCATTAAACTTTAATCGGATAAAAAGAAGGGAAATTAAAAGTTGATTTAATTAATTATCCTCGAAGGCATCAATTCTCGAGTAATAGTGTCTCTCCCATAAAATTTCATCGTTCGTTTCGCTCATTTGGGTCGAGTTTTCTAGATGAAATGAAAATATGAGTGAATTTTGACACAGAAAAAAATTAATTAACTTTTTTGCAGGCAGAAAAATTGTGCATAGCATAAAAAAACGTGTGTGAACATTTTTAATTCTAAGAAATAAAATGGATGGCTTTCATAGATTGTTTCAAGTTGCATCCACAATAAAGACTGGATGTGATCTTAAAAGTGCAAAAAAGCAGCAATAAAAGCAGCTTCTAAAATCGATCAACTAAATTACCATCAATCTTGTCATCCGACAATTGATTCAGAACTTGCATTTTTGATAAATCGTTCCATTGCTGTGTTCCGTTATCTTCGGCACTAACATACTGTGCATCATCACTCAAATCTGACAAACTTACAACATTAAATTGAGATGAATTTACCGAAATATTCTTAACGAAGATATTATTCTCGGATTTGGACGTCGTTAGAGGATTTATAGGTGATATTGGGCTGTTACTGCTGTTATTACTTTGATTTTGATAGTGCGCATTATGAACAGATAAAAAGTTGTCGTAGACATTACTACAGGCGCTGGATATTTTAGTTTCTCGGAAGTTTTGTCCACCTAATAGGCTCAAATCAACATTTTGGTGTTCTATTTGCAGTTGTGTAACATCCACTTGAGTTATTTTCAATGAATTTTTACCTGTTTTACTACGATTACTGATTTGTAATGATCTACTCATGCTCGCATCATCCTTATTAATTAAATTCAGTTCGTTAAAGTTCTGATTCACTCTCGTCAAATGATCTGAATTAACCGAGAAAAATAAATTGAAATTTATCCTTCACATATTTTTTGAACTTCAACGATAATTCTTTTAAATACTCACCCTCGTAATCACATTTCAGGTCATCATTTTCGTCACATACATCCACAATTGAGTCATCAGCTAATGAGAGCGAATCGTGTGATGTTGATAAGGCCGTTGCACTTGAATAGGCTGCAAATTGGCCAGAATAATATACTTCAGGATTCGCTTCACACTCCGTACATGGAACAATCGATGGAAAATTAAAATTATTTACAATTTCCTGTGTTATCCATTCATGTGCCAATAAGTCCTTCATGCTTAATCGAAATTTCGGATCTTTCTCAAGCATTCTTAAAAGAAGATTTTCTAGTCCAACACTAACATCTTGTGGAAATAATAATTCTGCTCTTAAAGTGTCTTCCATATCCAGAAATGGATTCTCAAAGAACATTAAGACATAAAGTGTTACACCCAACGACCACATTTCCAATTCCGGTCCTTGATACTTATTTCCAGCTAGCACTTCTGGTGAACAGTATTCAGTCGTTCCATAAAATGTCGAAAACATCTTCCCTTCTTGTAGGAATGTCGCCGATCCAAAGTCAATCTAATCATGTGAATTAATTCAATTACAGTTTCAGATTAATGAGGGAAATACTTACTAGTTTTATGTGGAAATGCTGGTCAATAATTATGTTCTCATCCTTAATATCTCGGTGCAAAATCTGTTATATAAAAAATATTTTTCAAACGATTAAAAAAGTTTCAAATTTTAACGATTTTCAAAAAATTTAAATTTTTACAAAAAGAAGTTCAAAATTTGAACTTGAATTTTCATATAAAAATTATTATACGTTAAAAAAAGAAGGAACTTACATTTAATGTGTGCAGGTAATCTACAGCATTAGCTATTTGACGAAAAATGTAACATCCTAATTTTTCATCCATTAAAGGTCGTCTATCGATAAATTCAAATAAATCCATTCCGCTACCGTGTTTTTCCATGATTAATTGAAAGAATTTATCATTCTCATAGACATCAAGAACTGACACAATGTTTGGATGCTTAACCCGACTCAGTAGATAAATTTCCATAGGTATTTCCTTCTTTTCATCAGTTGTTATCATAAAATTTGGACACAATTTTTCTTTAAGGATAAATTTTGAGATTACAAGGAGTCGATCACTGTTCCTATAAGCCATTTTAACGTATCCATAAGCACCTTTTCCAATTTGTTTTAATGTCGTGTAATTCTTAGCATATTCTCCACTAACTTGTTCATCCTCACACTGCGATATAATTGACAACGAATTCGGACGACTAGCTTGTGAGGACGTGATATTAGCTAATGTATTAGTTCCAGCTGTTGCAGATGTCATTAAGCTTGTTGCATTACTCATACATGACGTTGAAATATTATTTTTCATACCACCAACCGAATTATCAATTGTACTTGTTAGGCTATTTAATGTTAAAGTTAAATTAAATTGCTTCTCATCAGCTTCTTCGTCCTCATGATTACGACATAAAGAGCCATGATCACGACTTAGCCATATTAGATAAATTGCTGAATTAGACGATATTAAATGGTGTTTATTGATCGTATAGACTATGTCAATTATATTTCCATCCGCATGAATAGCTTCTCCTTTGTACTTTCCATCTACATAATTGTAATTAAACTGTTGTATATTGACTTGCTGACTTGAAGGCGATTGATATTTCATTAGTTTTGGATCCATACATATTGATGACCGCTTTCTCATATCTGGCGTTGACGTTGTGATATTAATATTGTTTGTTGTTGCTTTCGTTGTCATTTGATGTTCTGAATTGTTGCTATTATTTGGTGTTGTTGCCTCTGTGTGCGTTTTACTATTACTATTGCTATTATTTTGTTGTTGCATTTCCTCAATGTTTTGAGACGTCAATGAATCTTTCGGATCTTCATTTACTGGTGTCAATAATTCGTTTGTGTCGTCGTCTGTCGAATAATTTGCCACATTTCTATCATTTTCACTATATAACTTTTCATACGTTCCTTCAGATTTCAAACTCGAATGGGAGGAAGACGTGAAATCCAGACAAATCTTAAATTCTTTAGGGCCTAAATAGAGGGCAAAAAAATATTAACGGATATTAAAATTTTAAAATTTAATGATCGATTTCTTTTCAAAAATTAACAAAGTTTCGTTAAAAATTCAAACTACGATGAACCATTGATAGATCAGAGCTAAGCATGTCTACTTACAAATTCTGGGTATAACAGTTGGCTGTGCACGGGACATAAAAGGGTCAGACATCAAGATATGATCTGTTTCTGTCTCAGATTCTTCGTTTTCAATTGATGGCGATATAAGATTTCGCGTTTCAATGTACTCAAACTCTTGCCCAAAATTCGGAATTAATTTAAAGATATTTTGACCTATAATTTTTGTTTGCGAATATCCAAACATTAAAGTTGAAAAATGATGGTTACACGATTCAATTATAGAATTTTCATCGAGAACAATAAGCCCACTGACATTTGAGTAGACCCAAATAGTAACAATATAACCACCTTCTTCATCGTTACTTTCATTATTATGACAGTTCTGGCTATTAGTATAATTTTGGTGTTTTATCATTAAGCACAAAGGAAATGAAACGCCATCCTGTGTCTTTCCTGTTGCACGTTGTTTTCTAACATGCTTTGGGATTGTTGGACTTTCGTCAGGTAATTGAATAGCAGGTATTAAAACAGTTATATCAAGTCCAACAAATTTCTCGAGCGAGTCTAATTGAAATAACATTAATGCTTCATTATCACCACTCATAATAATTCCATTAAAATCAATTATTAATTGCGCAATTTTACGTTCAACGACTTCAGCGACTGCTAGGCATCGTCCATCATGTCCATCAATATGGCGTATCCATAAAGAGACTGGAATTTTATCTCCATTCTTATGAATCATTTCGACTACTTTTCCACTTAACAGAACCATTGTTCCATCTTCGGAATTAAATTGGTTCTCAGCTAAAGCACTCACGTGTACCTTATTTTTACATGCTAGGAGATTAGAAAATTTTACATTACTATCACACAATTCCCTTGACGAATATCCAAGAAGGTTGCATGCATTCTTATTCACAATTAAGATAGATGATGTTTTCGAGTCAATTGTAAAGACTGCCTTATTAGGATTAATTCCACATTTCGTATTGAATAATGAACAACTATAAGGTGTTGCTGAGTTCGGAGTAAAACATCCCTTCGACTTAAATGGCGTAAATCGTAAGCCATTAAATCCATCCAATCTTATTTTATCCATTTTATTAATAGTTTTTCGTTGTACGACCTTTTTAGCCTGACGAATTGGCGTTAAGCAATTCAGGATCTCTGAACTTTCATTCTTCTTCTTATTACAATGATATTTGACTTTTGGAAACGACTGATTACATTCGAATGAATCATTTATGTCTTGCTGCTGGATTCTGTAGAACAAACATCCAAATTAGAATTTCTTAATTAATTTAAAATATCATTTGATAACTTACCCATGAAACTGTGTAATTCGAGGATCTATAAATAAATTATTCGTAAGACGTTGATTTAAGGAGATAATCTATTGAGGAAGATATGAGAAAAGATGAAAGTTTGATGACATAAAATATTTAAATGATACTGAAAACAAGTTAGATAATAAATACTCACTTTTTCATCACGATTTTCAGGCTTTCCATTAAACTTTTTCCAGGACGAAAATACAATGGACTTGGGCTGTGTATATATACTATAATTAAATGGAAATTCAAATAAAATCACGCTTAAATTCAGGAAAAATAGGAGTTTTGAAATCAATTTTTGTTATATATATTTTTAAGGAATGACTGCGCATGATCAATGCTTTGAGGATATAATAAAAGGACGTTAACGAGCATAATACAATCACATGTTTTAAATTATTTATTCTAGCTTGTTGATTCTTTTAAGCATTTACCTCGAATTCTTGCACGGATTTGGCATAATGAATTAATTTTGTTCCTTGAAGCACTATTTTCTTGTCCAATTATGTCTTAAAATAAAGTTTCTCGGTCGATAATGTTAAACTGCTGTTTAATCTTTTTCTCAGTGCTGTTCACAAACAATAATTAGCTGATTTTATAAACAAATTAATAGAATTACAATTACTAGACAGAAAAACGTGCACTTAATTCAGAAAACAACAAATAAAAGTCAAAAACATACGCTTTAAACATGAATAGACCGTTAAAAAGGAATTCAAAATTTGCACATCAAATTAGAGAGGTACAAGGCTAAAACAGGTTGCATGCGAAACGTAAATAAAAAAATAAATCAGTGATAATGAAGTTAATTATAATTTATTTAGCGCTTCTAACGACTTACTGTAATTCTCTTCGTCAGTATACAAAAGAAGATATCCTAAGGCTAAGGTAAGGCAAGAAATATAGTCAATATCATACATTATAGGCTCATTATCAAGAGATAATTAAATTAGCCATTGTTTATGCAGCACACGTACCCTCTTTTTATCATTTCAAGATTTAGTACATACCAAAAGCCTTTACTAAACCTTAGTAACCGGTATAGGTTTATAACAAGAGAATAAAGTACACTAAAATCACTTTGTAAATATTTTAGAGAAGATGCCAAGAAGATGTTTTATCACGGATATGACAGCTATTTAAAGTATGCATCAGATTATGATGAATTGAAGCCACTGAGTTGTTGTGGAAAGAATACATGGATTAGTTCCAAACTGACTTTAATTGATGCATTAGATACGCTAATTGTATTGAAAAACTACACAGAATTTAAGCGAGTATCAGATTACATTATAGCTAATGTAGATTTTGATAAAGACATTAATGTATCAGTCTTTGAAACAAACATCCGAATTGTAGGAGGTCTCTTATCTGCTCATTTGTTATCACATAAAGCACAAATGGAACTAGAGCCTGGATTCCCCTGTAACGGACCACTATTAAGGCTTGCTGAAAAAGTAGCTAGGAAGTTACTTCCTGCATTTGACACAAAGACATCTATGCCTTGTAAGTGTTAAGAATTTCTCTTATACATTTTACGTTTAAAATTTTTTTATTTAATTAATAGATGGAACTATTAACCTTATGCATGGTGTGCCTGAAGGCGAAACTAGTGTGTCTTGTGTTGCAGGCATCGGAACTTTTATTATAGAATTTGGCACATTGTCAAGATTAACGGGCGATTCAATTTATGAAGAAGTAGCATTAAATGCTCTATATTCCCTCTATAATCATAGATCAGCAATTGGATTATTAGGAAATCATATAGACGTACAAACAGGAATTTGGACTGCTCAAGATTCAGGCATAGGCGCTGGAGTTGATTCATATTATGAATATTTAGTAAAAGGATCAATTTTGTTAAATAGACCGGAACTAATGGAAATGTTCTTGGAGCTTCGTAAATCGATTGATAAATATTTACACAAGGACGATTGGCAAATTTGGGTAAGCATGAATAAAGGACAAATGACGCTTCCAGTCTTCCAAAGTTTACAAGCTTTTTGGCCAGGACTTTTATCTCTAATTGGTGATATAAATCCTGCCATGAAGATTCTTTACAACATGCATACTGTGTGGAGACAGTATGGATTTTTAGCCGAGATGTAAGTCTGAACATGCTGTGTATTAAAATAGTTTATGATAATTCTAATTTATTAATTGTGTTTAGGTACAACATTCCAAATGCTGAGCCTACAAATGCTCGAGAATCTTATCCTTTAAGACCAGAACTTATTGAGTCTGTGATGTATTTGTATCGTGCAACTGGCGATCCTTATCTTTTGGAGGTACGTTTATGTTTGAATTTCAAATCTACATAAATTGAACGAAAGTCGTTCACTAAAACAGTTCGTTTAAGTTCGGTTCATTCAAATTTTAGTAATCCGTTAAATTATTTTTCAAAAATACAGGTTGGTGAAGACATTCTTACATCAATAGAGCATAGTGCAAAGACAAATTGTGGATATGCTTCAATTAAAAATGTCAAGGATCATCGGAAGCAAGACTCAATGGAGTCATTTTTCTTGGCAGAAACTACAAAATATCTTTATCTACTTTTTGATCCTGACAACTTCCTGAATAGCGATGGAAGATATGGAACAATAATAAATACTAAGAATGGAGAGTGTATTATTGAGTCTTCCTACATATTTAATACTGAAGCACATCCAATTGATTTAGGTGCATTAAAATGCTGTCATGATTTGCCTCGTGAGTCTTTAGTCAAAGGATTTAGTCGACAGAAATATTTAGGTGATATAGCAATAGAAAAATTTAATGACGATGATTCCAAGACTGATGATTTAGATAACGAATCAAAGCCTAATGATGAGTTTAAGCAACAATTGTTGGAAGAGATCATAAGTGCTTTATCTAATGCCAATAAAAAGATAAAAGACAATTTAGATCTGCAAAAGCGACTTGTTGAAGTCTCAAACCGTCAAAAATTTGATAAAGAACAAGAAATTAAGGTAGAGCAGCACGCAAATGTCGATGAAGACAATTCAGGTGATGAAAAGCTAGAGATTATTAAATTAACAACTAATGAACTGGAATCAGATGACGTTAATCAGTCAAAACTAGATAATGACTTAAAATTAGAAGATTCAATTAAAAGTCAAGTCAAAACAGACATAAAAATAATTAAAAAGTCAGCCGAGAAAAACAATAATTCGATAATAACAGAGTTTGTTAAGAACATCCTTAAGACTGCACAGTCAAAGCCAAAGAAATTTGATTCTCAAATATTACTTGAGAAAATTAAAACAAATTCATTTGGATTCACTAGGAATGAAACGTGGACTACAAAGTATGATTTACTTACATGTAAAGCTCAAGCTTATAGTAACAGAATCAGCGTAATGGGCGAGTTTTATTGATATGTTTTAACTTTTAAGAAACTATGATAAGAATAAAAAAAGACGTTATAAAAGAACTTGAAATTTCACAGCAACCCTGATAATTATGTCGAACCCTGTCGTGCATAAAAGTTGAATTGAGATCTTACGAATTACGAGTCAAATTTTAATTAAATATTCAATGCAATATCATAACCATCAAACATTATCATTACAATTTTCAGCATAAAACTTGCTCATATCAGTGGATAAAATATTTTGAAATAAATTTAAAAGTGGAGAAAAAAGCATTTCAAAGTTGGTTTCTGAAGTCAATAGATCACCGCTCTACTTTTACACACATACATATTTTCAATAGATAGAAACAGCAAAAGCAAAAAAATTAAGAAAAAGCGATTTGTAAATTTAAGAAACTTATGGAAACTAGCAAACCACAATCGTCGAAGCTTTTTGTATATTCCCCAATCGATTTCCGTGATAAAACAGAGGAAGTAAGCTCATAATTTGTGATTTTCTTTTGCCAGCCATATTTTATTTTATTTTTTTATTGTCAAAAGTGCGGGAAATTTTCAAAAAAAATAATAATCGCAATTTTTTAATTAAGCCAATTCTCTTATGATTCACACTATTTCGTCTTCTTACAGCGATATGAACGAGCATTTTCGAGTCTACAAAATACCCTTCATGGACCAAACGCTAAGGAACTCAACATTACCATAACATCAATGATTTCGCAGGATATTAAGCAACAGGAGGAGCTTCAATTGTCATTTATCTACTTAATGTTAACTGATACTCAACTAGCTGGGTCTGCATTAAGGGATCTTCTCATAGTGACCAGAGATGGTTTAGAATTCATTATAATTCACTTGACAGACTTGATTAATGCAAAGTTCCAAAAATTGGCTGAAGTTGCTAAACATCAAGTGTTGTGGCTGTTCAAAGAGCTTCTTAAATCGTACGGTTCGAACCAGAAAATTAATGGGTTTTTATGGGCTCTGCTAAGACAAGCTTGTGGTGGAGATGTCAGTCCAAAGAATATTGCATGGATAGAAGGTATTCTGGATATACTAATAGAGCACAGACCTAGATTTGACAAATTCCCTAACAGTGTTGGTCTCGTCACCTATTCATACGTTCGGTGAGTAATGATTCGAATTTTGACGGATTTTCAAATTTCGCAAAATATGTTGTAAAACCATGAAATTCAAATCTTAAAATAACAGTAATTTTAAAACATTTAATTAATTACATCTCTTCTTCTGTCATTCACAGTTTGATTGAAGATCATGGTGCATTACACTTACAAACACTCCGGAATAAGGAAGTTAAGTTTATAATTAGTTTAATTCGGGAAAGATTTCAAGATATAATCCCGCTTGGACGTGATTTCATAAGATTACTGCAGAACGTTGCACGCATTCCGGAATTTAATAAGCTATGGAACGAAATATTGACAAATCCGAAGAATCTATCGCCCTCATTTACTGGAATCTTTCAAATGCTCTCAACTCGAACAAGTCGTCATTTTATTGGAAATAGAATAACTCCAGATATTGAGAGTAAGCTTCATTTCTTCACAAGTTCAGTCAAGTTTGGGAATCATAAAAAATATCAAGATTGGTTCCAAGATCGATATTTTGCCACTCCTGAATCACAAAGCTTAAGATCTGATGTCATTCGTTACATCATTAATGCAATTCACCCAACAAACGAGCTTTTATGTTCAGACATTATTCCACGATGGGCAATTTTAGGCTGGCTACTTACATCTTGTACCAATCCAGTAGCATTAACAAATGCAAAATTAGCAGTCTTTTATGATTGGCTATGTTTTGATCCAGCACGTGACAATATTATGAATGTAGAACCTGGCATTTTAGTCATGTATCATTCAATTAAGAATGTCCCAATGGTTAGTAGTACGCTGCTAGATTTCCTTTGTCGAATTATGAAGAATTTCTATCCAAAAGGAGAGGAACGAATAAGAGCCGGAGTGTATAGTTCACTTAAAGTAATTTTAGATAAACAAGTCATTCCGAATCTCGTACCATTATTTGAGTCGCCAAAATTGGATCGTGATTTGCGTGCAATGATTCGTGAGAATTTTAGAGAATTTATGCCAACGACACCAACTTTTAGCGTTTTAGAGACTCAAAATCATTTTGGTGCTGACGATGGACGGCCATCAAAAGTTAACAATAATATTGAGATAAAAATGGAGGAATTGGATAAATCAGATGATCTACGGTTTAGCGATGAGGAGATAGATGATAAAAAGCTGAAGATTGAATGCCCGAGCGACAATGAGGATGAAGAGGTAAGTCTTAAATTTGACTTGTCAATTTTTTTTTTAAATTTTTTATTAATTCTTTTTTTTTTCGTCCAGGCTCCAGTTAATAACGATAAAGAGGATGAGGAAGAAGAAGTCGATGACAACGACGACGATGAGGATGACGATGATTTACCATTGTCAAAAGTACGGCTGAAAGAAAAGCCTTTGCCTGATAAAACAGAATTGCCTAGTTCAATTAAGGAGACATTTATGACGTTTATTAGCACAAAAACACTTGATGACTTTGAGAGCTTCCTAGATGATTATCGCTCGCTCTCGTCTAGTGAACAATTGGATTCGGAACAGGAAGCATATGTTTTTGCGAATATACTAAGTGTATTTAAATCAACATTACCCGAAAAATGTGATTTAGGTGAATACGAAAATGTCCATATGCTGGATGATTGTTATGATAATAACGAGAAATTGGAACAGAAATTAGAACAATCAATAAATTATCCTTTATATGGCATTTACAAGGCTCTTTGTCAGCATGATGAGAAGGCCAAAAAGTGCCTCGTTATTCCTAAAATTTTAGACTTTTGTCATTCGAAATTATCCAGCATGGGCTTCTTACTCCTATACTACCTCAAAGTTAATGCGAAATTAGCATTGTTAAAGAATCAAAAAGTGCCGACAACATTTCGTTCAAACGTTTATAAATTATATTATCAGTGGTTGAATCCAAAACCAAACCAAAAAGTTGACATGGAGGAATGTCTTGAAAAAGATCTTGAGTTACTCGAACATTATAGTCTCAATGTATTTCTATGGATCATATCTGACATATATCGTGAATTTGAACAGTATACAGTTAATAATAGTGATATTCTTAAGATTCTTGTTGGATGTATTGATGCTAAAAATCTCCATGACCTCATATGTGACATTACACAGGGAAAACTTGTCCTGTTTAAAAATGATACCGTAATCGATGTCATTCGCGACAGCTTAGAGTATGAGACTTTCGAGCAAATGTGCTTTTGGCAACTCCTGCAAGCGCACGACGTACCTATCGAAAAGATCCAGGTGAGTCCAACCACTTTTTAATGATTTTTTGAGATTTAAAATTTAACTGATTTTTCAAGTTCAAAAAATGAACTAAAGTGAAATGAAGTTCAAAAAAATTACTGAACAAATTTTGAACATAAAAACACCGTTAAAAATTGAATAAATATTTGATACTTAATCTTAAATCTACTATTAGGATATGATTCCGGAACTCGAATCCAATAATAATGAAGCACTGATAAATATGTTATTCATATTGAAGAAAGAGGAACCAACAGAGGAGCTTATAAAGCTATTACTTAGTAGAGAAACTTCCCGCGGTGATCCTTTCGTAACTTCAGCTTTAAAGTAAGTGGAAAAATGATTATTAAAATGCCACCTATTATTATGTATATTTTCCAGACATTGGTGCATGATGGAGTATGAGAGTCAATTATCGGAAATTATAGCTAATTTATTAATATCGAAAATATCACAAAACTCACCCAAAAAGCGCGCAAGATCGCTTAAATCCAATAGTCAGTCAAACAGTGGACCATCCGCAGAACAAGTAAGACAATTTTGTAAATTTTTCTTGATATCGTTTAATTTAATTAATTCAATTTCTTGTAGTTGTTAAATCACTTAGAACATTTAAGGAAATGTTGCTCATACGTTAACAATAGCAATGTCACAGCAATGTATGTTCACGAGAAAATGCAAAGAGCACTACAGCAAGCATTCGCGCATTGTGATGATCGTCAGAAGGTAAAGATATTTTTTTAAATCTGATGACTTAGTTTTTAATCCGATGGATTTATTTTAAATCTCCCTGAACAGAAGCAGTATAGCGAACTGTTCTCATTAGCCGTTGAAGATGACACTACAGTAAGTCGGCGTGGTGCAAGCAGTCGAGGAAGAAAGCCACAGGCAAAGAAGGAAACAAATTCAAATAGTACAGCAGCGAACAAAAAGGCAGTAGAAGCTAGCAATAGTAAATATTCGTCTGACTCTGAGTCTGATGTAAGTAAAGCTTAGTAATTAATGAAAATAATGTCACTAATCGAGTGAATTCACAGGATGACAGAAGTAGTAAATCTCAAAAAGCACAGCCAGCCAAAAGAAGAAAAAAGATCACCCAACTTAGTGATTCTGAGTGATGTCAACTATACGATATCGAGTGTACAAATTTCTAAGGAATGGAAACAATATCAAAAATCACACAAAGAAGCACTCAAATGTTAAATGTCAGTTTTAAAAAAAATGTAAACGTTTAGGTTAAACTATAGTTTTTATAATGGCAAAAATCAAGAGAATTTTAAGTGGATGAATACATTATTTGTAAGAGAAAGTGAAAGAAAATAAATCAAGTATTAGAAAACAATGTAATAATCTGCAGCTTAGTTAAATTTTCTTCCCGAAAACATTTTTTTCAATCTTTAAGTAAGTAATGATTGAGATTGTGCTTTATTGACTTTAAATACAAACAACAGGATTGGATGTTTAATTTTCAAGATTTTATTTCTTTTCCACTTTTTCTTTATTAGACAGTTTTTCTGATACAAAAATGAGTTAATTGTAAGAACCTGATGAGAATAAAGTCAAGTTTCGTTTTGGATTGTATGGTCGGGAACGTTCCTTTCCTTGAAAACCATAAGAATGACGTTTTTCCTGTTGAAATTCGGGATTTTCATGTTGACTCGATTCAGTTTCCAAAAATATGTCAAATGATGTCATTGTTCGATGAAGTTGTTCCATAAGCAGCTCTTCGTTACTCTTCACCTCAAAATTATTTATCAAGTTTTCAATTTCTCGTGTATGTGCTGATGTTTCTGCATTATATTTAAAATCATTCCAGCTCAAATCGACAGCAAAAATAGGATAGTCCGATGGGAAATTGGATGGAATGCAAATGTAGCATTCAAGTTTTGCAGAACCACGTGTAATTACAGCACGATAAAACACATCATTAGGATTAACAATTCCTTCTTGAACGAACCGTTTTGTGCATATCTCTACGCAATATTCAGGATAAGATATTGAGACAAAAAGTTGAAGGATGCAAGAGACACGAACTGAAATCTTATCCTTAATTTTTCCATTTTCAAGAAGTTTGATTTGATTGTAAAGACTGATTCTGGCTCTCAATTTACGTCTTATTTGTCTGATTAAATCTGGGACAGTTTCTTCGCACAATTTTTGTGATTGATCGATATTTAAATGCTCAGTAAAGCTGATTCCACATAGATTTTGCGCCCATTTAAATGGCTTACCTAGCTTCTTCTCATTTAATGCTTTATCTAAATCATTTGGATTCAATTGAACATTTTGAAGCTGGAAAATGGTTTTCGGATTTGGACTTCCTTCTGCAAAATCATCAGCATATAAGCTACTTAAAATGCGTTCCTAATTGTTGATTAAAGATATTATGCATTAAAAAATTTATCATAATTAAACGGTTTTTTGTGATTCAAAATTTGTTCAGTAATCTATTAGAACTTCAATTCAGTTCAGTTCATTTTTGAACTTAAAAAGGTTGTTGAAAAATATTTATTAATACCTGTGTGATAATGTCAGCAGCTGCAACAGATCCATTAGAATCTATATTGAATTTTCCTTGAACTGTTATAAATCCGAGTGCAGGAAGATAATTAAGGATCACAGAAAATGTTTCTTCGATATCTTTCATGCTTATATTAAATTTGACACTTAATGGATGATGCTTAAACAAATCCAGACGTTTTTGCTTTAGATTTTCAATTTGTGATTGTCGTCGCTTAATTTTTCGATGATTCATGCCTTCATCAAAGTCATTTTCATCTACTTCGTTGTCTGAATCTTCTACGTCAGATGCAGCTCGGTCCTTCATTTGTTTCCTTTCCATTTCAATGATCTTTGCTTCTTCCTCGTCGCCTTCAATTGAGACTGAAAGCCTTTTATCAATAACTTCAGAGTAAGCACAAAGTTTCGTGTATGCTAGGTATAATGGCTGAGGTAAAAGTCTAATTAATTTTTGAATTTCCCATTCCTTTTCAAATGGCATATTAAGGATCTGCTGAATTGGTCGTGTTGTCTTCAAAACTTCTTGTAAGCATGGATAAATTGAATTTAAATTCTTTTTGACTTCGACAGTTTTTTCAGCCACATCTTCCTTATCTTTTTCAAGATCCTTGCACTGTTTAGAATATTCCTTTCGTTGCTGCAACTCAAACTGGAGACGTGCCTTTCTCATCGTGTGCTCATCTTCGATAGTTTCGGCACCTTTTAATATTTCTGGAGCTTTTTCTAAGAACTCTTCAACTGGAACTAACTCAATATCTTCATCTTCACTTTTAAACGAGAAGCACTTGTTGATTTCCTTTTTTAAATGATTTGCCTCGTAAATTAAGTTTTGTAATTTGAGTCGATTGCTGTCTGCTTGCAACTTTTCCTTTTGAAGTGTTTCTCGATGACCATGTAAACGCAACTTATCCAGCCTATTCAATTTCTTTAATTTAACAATTACCATTGATCCTTGAATTCTCTTCTCAGCTATCCTCTTTTTTGCCTGTAAAAGAGTTTAATTAACGTATAATTTAACCTCTGAATAAGTTTAATTAAATTACCTCATCAGTTTTGAGTCCTTTTAATGCTTTAACATCTTCAATGATCTTATTTAGCTCATTAAAGCATTCCTTAAAATGATCACGCTTAAACCGGCTTTCTTCACTTTCCTCAAACGAAATTACATTCTGAAAACAATAGAAATTTTTTTAACTGTTTGAAAATCACTTTTTTACTATAATTACATTGTAAATCTCCTCTTTTGATAGTGGAACAACTGGAGGCTTGGTTGGTGATGATGTTGATGCTGTTTTAGTTCTCTTTTTCACGTCATTTACCATATTTTTTAAATTAATTTATGATTTTTTATCGATTTCTTTTTTGTTTATTTTTTTGTTGAAATTAAAGAGGTTGTGGTTTTGCTGGAATCTTAGAAATCTTAAAAAATTAAAAAGTAAATTAATGAAAATAATAGTAAATAAGCTAATTAGACACTGCAAAGCACATAATTCTTAAAGATAAGAGAAGAAATAATATTACTAAGTTGAATTAGACATCAGAAAACATTTTAAATCAATAGAAATGCCGACAATCATTTGTTTAGATGTAAGTTCTAATTTTCAGTATCAATTAAATTGGTTTTAATTAACAAACATGACTATTTAAACATTCAGGTTTCATTATCCATGACAAGAATTGCTTATACCAATAGAGACAATCAAGAAATAACTTACAGTCAACTTGCAGTCACAGGAATTAATGAATATCTCGATTATCTTACTAGACACAAATCTATGGAATTTGTATCACTTGTGAGTATTTGAAAACTATAATTATAGGTCAACTTAACTTCAAACTTTGGCAAGAATTGTTCAAATTTAAAGTTTTAATATTTAAAAACTAAAGTTCAAAGTTTGAACTTGAAAATTTCTATTGCCAAAAAAGCAATTAATTACCTTAAAGACTGGCTAGTAGACGTTCAAAATCAGACAAACAACAGCAATATATGCGAAAAAAGAAATGCTTTTGTTTATTAAATAAGAGAGGTAAAAAGTGAAGCAGGTTGCGAGAAAGGGTAAAAAACTACGCACGCTCTTTTGTTGCGAAAAAATTTAATAAAATTGGAATAGTCGAAAATTGATGCTTTAATTAACAAAATATTGTATTGGCGCGAAGTGAGTGATTGTAAAACAGTGTATTATTATAAAAACAAGGTCAAAATAAGCCGGAAATAGACAAAAATTTAAGAAAAATAAGCAGCACACGTTTTTTGTGAAAAATTGACTGGAAAAATGGCACTACAGCTATATACTGAATTAAAGTACAGGAGAATCAATTGCTTTGATCTATCATTCTTAACATATACCGGTGAAATCAATGAAGAGAATTATCCAAGAGTAATAGTAACTGAAACAGACGAAACGTCAAAAGAAGAAGAAGAATATAATGAGGGAAATTCATTGCCTGTAAAATTCGAGTTTGATGTAGAATACCTAAAAAGTCTTGATCCAAAAGCTTGGAAAGATCAAGATCATTATGCTGTATTAGGATTGAAAGATTTCAGGTAGATTAAACTTGGAACTATAATTAATAGAATTGATTATCTAATAAACGTTATTTAATTTTAGATATAATGCAAGCGATGATGATGTACGAAGAGCATACCGAGCAATTGTATTGAGACATCATCCAGACAAGAGAAAAGGCCAAGGAGAAAATGTCGATCCAGATAATGACTACTTTACATGCATAACACGAGCCTATGAATTTTTAGGAGTTCAACCAAAACGACGTAGCTATGATTCTGTTGATCCTTATTTTAATGATGATTTACCGACACAGAATGAGATTGATAAGGATTTCTTTGAAGCATTAGCACCAGTTTTTAAGCTTAATGCTCGTTGGAGTGAGAAAAAAAGAGTCCCATTATTAGGAACAATGGATAGTAGCCGTAAACATGTAGAGAAATTCTATGATTTTTGGTATGACTTCCAATCGTGGCGTGAATACAGTTATATGGATGAAGAAGACAAGGAAAAAGGTCAGGATCGTGATGAGCGACGTTGGATCGATAAGCAAAATAAGGTAATGAGAACAAAACGTAAAAAGGAAGAAATGGCAAGAATTAGACAACTCGTTGATTTGGCATACAACAATGATCCGCGTATTGTTAAATTTAAAAAGGAGGAAAAGGATAAGAAATTAGCAGCAAAGAAAGCCAAACAGACAGCAGCACAGGCATTAAAACATTTAGAAGATCAACAAAAACGTGAAGAGGAAGCAGCTAAACTTAAGGCTGAACAGGAAGAACAAAAACGTATTGTCGAGATACAAAAGGAAAGAGAATTACAGAAACGTGCCTTAAAGAAAGAACGTAAAGTCTTAAGAGATCTTGCTAAATCTCAAAATTATTTCACAAAGGAAGATAATGACCTAATTAAAAACATTGAGAATGTAGAAAAGCTCTGTGAAGCTTTAAAGCTCCTAGAATTGCAAGATCTCAATAAGAAATTAAATGAAGATCCGGTAAATACCGTTGATGTTTTCAATTTTGCAGTAAATGAGTTGGAAAAGCAATTGGATGAGGAACGAACGAGAAGTTTACAAGGAAATTATATCAATTCACTCGGCAAGAACACAAATAATCCACTGACGAATAAGAAAGCTTTATGGAATAACGACAATATTCAATTATTAATTAAAGCTGTTAATTTATTTCCTGCTGGAACCAATCAACGTTGGGATGTTGTTGCTAATTTCATCAATTTACATGCTAAGAATTTACCAGAAAATGTCAAATTTAATTCAAAGGAAGTTCTGAATAAGGCAAAGGATATTCAGTCAAGTGATTTCTCAAAGAATGACTTAAAATTCCAAGTTAATCAAAAAGCTTTTGAATCATTCGAAAAAGGCAAAAAAGAATTAAAAATTGTTGACAGATCAGATATTAGTGAAAAAGATCCAGGCACGCCAGCAGTAAATGGAACTGCCGCACCAAAGCAACCAATTAAGGAAGTTAAGGAATTAAAAGAGGTCAAGGAAACCAAAGAAGCTAAGCCTTGGACAAAAGAAGAGCAAACGTTACTAGAACAAGCCATTAAAACGTATCCAGTATCAACGCCTGATCGTTGGGATAGAATTGCTGAATGTATTCCAAATAGAAACAAGAAAGAATGCTTAAAGCGAGTCAAGGAACTTGTAGATCTTGTGAATGCTAAAAACAAAGCTCAACAATTAACGAAATAAAACTCTTTTTTTTTTTCTTTTTGATTTCCATACAAAAGCTTATTTGGCGAAATCTTGTGTGTGATCATTACTAAACTATATTCTCTGTAATTGCTAAAACTAATGAAATATTTCACAACAATTAATTTAAAATAAAAGTTATGATACAAAATGACACAAATCTTGACGATCTTTTCAAATACGACATTTCTGAATTCAGTGTCGATCTTCAAATCTTAAACAGTCGTTAAATATTAAAATAATTCTTTAACAATTACATCTGATTTCAGATAGTTTATAGCACATTATATGATGTTCTTGTGGATTTTACAAAGGACTATTCACAAATTCGCCAAGTTTTAACGAAAATTGAGCATTATGACAAGACCTGCTTACTTAATGTTCTAGCTGCATGCAATAAACAGCTCAGCACTAATTGGGGAACTCAGAGCTATTCACAGATTCTCTTTGTGACTGATCTAGGAGTTGGATTAGGGAAAAATTCAATAAAAAGTTTAATTAACGGTAATGGAACATCTAATGAACCACCTCCATTGCCACTTCCAATGCCGAGTAAAGTTTCAGTCCTGTGTATTGGAAATGAAGATGATCCGGGCTTCAAACACGGTAATTGGTGCTTATTGAGCTCACTTTAACCATAATTTATTTTAATCTAACGATTAATTCACAGGATTGATTTTATATCAGCAACTGCTTGATACTTCAAAGCAAAAAGGACAACTTTTCATACCTAAATTCTCAGAAAGTAAGACATTGAATGAAAGAGCAGTCAATAAAATGTTCAAACAGATGTGCGAGGTTAATTTCAAACCATTTGAAGCCACATTAAGCATGGGTTCATATTTTAAATTAGAATCGCAGATTTCCTTATTCCCTGAACCCTTTCCATACATAATTAAAGACGTTTTTGGAAGTGAGACATCGAGAATGATTTCAAAGAGACTTGAAGTTTGTGGATATATAAAAATTGCAGATATTGTTGGATCTGGTGGTTCCCCAGCATGTGTTAGTCGACATTTAGTCTTTCCAAGGATTGATTCATCACAAAAGAAAACCACTTCGGAACTACAAAAATTAGACACCGAAATAAAGCACTTCTTTGGTAAAAATGACGATGATGAAAGCTCAAGTTCGTCTGTATCTGAGGAATCAGCTTGTGTTTTACTTCATGGAGCATTAAAAGTTGAGAATATGGCTGCACTTGTCCTAATTGCTGATGATTGGTATGGATTTCTATATAGCTATGCTGACAAAAAGAAATCAAATTTATTGCTATCAATTTTACAACCTGGAAATAATCCAATCCCATGGATAGGTGATTTTAGATTCCTTGGATTTCAATTAGATGCTTTGCCTGGCGAGACTTATGGATTTCCTGTTAAAACTGAAAAGAAAAGCTATTCATCATCATCGAACATAATCTCATGGATACGTGAATCAGCACTTCAAGCCGACATCCAAAAAATCCTTCGTCATGCTAAAAAAATGCCAGAAAAAACTTCACATTTCTACAAGGAGTTAAATAGGATCAGAAGAAATGCTCAGTCATTGGGCTTTAATGAACTTATTGATGTGTTGGCTGATATTTTTGAGAAGGAAGCTCAAATGATGGTTGGAAATCAGGAAAGTTGTATTCAATTGAGATTTGCAGCTAGTGAATTACGCAGAAGCGATCGTGATGTAATCAAAAAGTTCGAAGCCTAAATTGTGCATAATAAGGCTTTTTGATGATCATACTCTTATTTTTGAAGAGGTTTAAGTTTAGAATCAATAAATGGATTACTTTACGGTATTTTAAATTTCAAATATTTTAACGGTTTTAAACTTTTAAATATTTCAGAACCTTACAACAGTTTTCGATGGTGATAAAAGCTCAATAATTTAAAAAAGACCAGTAATAAAACAAAATTGTCTATAAAAATTTTAATTTCTTAATAACAAGTCAAAAAAAAAAAATCAAAAAAGTAAGAGTATTATCACATTTGTCTGTTACTATTGCTCGACTAGTAGTAGCTAAAACAACTTTTCGCTCTTTTGCGAAGATTTCTTTTTCCATTTGTAAGAGTCTTTTGAACTTCGCGACAATAAAGATATGCTCGAGATCCCAGCGTCTCTTCCAAAATCTCAATGCTAATATTTGAGTCATTTAAGTCTATTGATTTTTCACTTATTTGTTCATCGTTGCTACTTATTTTACTATATGTTCTAGAAAAATATTCTAAAGGCAATTTCTTGTTTTTAAATGCTTCAATTTCGATGCTGTCAAGTCTCTTGAGTTTCACTGAGCATTGCTTGATTTCTTTCCAACCATTTTCTAATGATTTGCAACTTCTCTTTAAAGCATTTTGTTTTGAAATTAAACGTTCGTCCCTTAACATTGAAAATGTCCTTCGTCTGCTATTGCCTTTTTTGATATAATCTTTCCTTTCTATAATTCTAATGTGAGATATCCCATTACCAACTTTCAGGACATTCTTGCATCTTGGCGAACTGCTTGCTGATTTTGGATTCATTGTTTTTATTACGGCTCCATTTTGCTGGACATTTTCAATTATCTTTTCGGAACTTAGGCATGATAAATATGTTGTACTTGTGTCAGACACACTTGATGGAAATCGTTCAGTCCCAGCTGCAGTAAAAAAACTCGAGTTTGATGGACATTCAGTTATTAAACTATCTAAATTTAGAACTGAAAGTGTTGTAGTTGCAGAAAAGTCGTGATGCATATCATTATCATTCTCAGGATAATGTAAATGCACAGTACTAACACTTGATATATTCTCTTCAACATTGTTTGAACTAAGTTGATTAGAAGACACATAAGTTGTACTTATGTCAGAGAAGTTTCGTGACATTTCTGGACTAATAACGCGTATTGTCGTTACATCTGATATATTTGGAGCTATTTCCTGTGATTGTGGAATTGAAAAGTTTGTGTCGTCGTCACTTTCAATTAAAACGTCACCAGACTTTTTCGAGAATTTATCCAGCCACTTAATTGGTACTTCATAGGAACAATTAACATTAAAATAAGGCGTATTGGCAAGACTTTCCGTTTCATTTAAAGATTCATTGACACTTTCGTCAGTTTTGAGCATTTTCAAGATCCTATCCTTAATATTTTTAATAGTGTATGATCCATTGTCATAATAAGTGTGAGTTATGTACTTTTTGGATATAATAAATGATGAAAGACTTGTATCGAACTTGTAAAGCAGAGGAATCAGTCGTTCTATTTTGTGTTTCTCCTCATTTGTACTGCACACATAATGCCATAGCTTAAATATGAATAGATATGAAAAAAATTCAAGCTCATTTCCTTTGGGACGATTCTTCTGATATGGCGTTAAAAACAGCTTCCTGTAAATTACAAATAAATGAGATAAGAGTTATTATAAAAGAACGAATAACTCATACAAGTCATAATATTTGTATTAATAATATTGTCTCATAATGCACTTTGTTATCATTCCACGTGTTGGAACTCTCATTCATTCAGATCTAAGGCACAAAAGTATGCGAACGAATGGGCTCTACAAACGTATCAGACCTTTTACTTAATAATCATGGACAGAATCGTAATAAAATAAATACTTTTAATATACATACTCAAATAGTTGGCAGAACAAGTCCTTCAGAATGGGATCTGCCTTTAAATCCATAATTTTATCGTCTCGAATAAAGTAGTGAACAAAAGTCTTGACTATATTCAGCTCACTACTATTTAAAAAAAAGTTTAAATATGTAAATATCCTATTGAATACATCTAAATTGTTTTCATCACATCCTTCATCATAAAGCGCCCAGACTTCAAGTTCTATGAAATAGTTTAATAATATACTCATTGATTCAAAATAATTGTCATGTTCGTCTAAAATATCGAGTCTAATTGCTGAATGCTTGAGTTTAAAAAGTATATTAAAAAGTTTCTGTCTAAAATGTCTAAGTTCCGGCTTCTGCTTCAAGAAACTGGAATGTAAAGAATATAAAATACAAAATGCATCTTTTGTGCTAATTTTTAAGAAACTTAAATTTCTTACCTTATTAGTCGATTTGTGATGTTTAAAATATCATCTTTACTTAATCCTGTGTTAACTTTATTCCTATCGAAAAAACTTAATAATATATTATTTAAATGAGAGGCACTAGTCATGATTTAACTTAATTAAAAATTCATCTTCGCGTATTTCTTTTGATACAACTTTCTGAGTAATGAAAAATTAAAGAGGTTCTGGGCTATGATAGATTGTACGTGCAGATGTAAACATTGTAAGCTATATCCACTAAAATTAATAAATCTACGCAATGTTCAGGTAATTTATTAATTAATTCACAAATTATAGAATTAATAAGCATATTTATCATCTTCCAGGTCAAGAATAATCCTTAATTATGTTAAAAATGGGAATAATTTAATAGTGAGGAACAAGTCTGTTGTAATCAGGCAAATAGAAACAATTAAGCTGACTAAAGCACAACGAATGAAGAAAAATAACTTTGAGACGTCATATCTCTTCGGATCAAAGCAAAAAAATGAAAAGAAAGCAGCAAATAAAGTGCACAATGAAACTGATGAACATGGTGTTAATTCTGAAATTTATTGGACATTAGAAGGCGCCAAAAGCAAAAAGAAAAAGTCTAAAGACTATAAAAATGATAAGGAATCAAATGATGTGATCGAGAAACCAAAACGGACGAAAAAGAGCACAACCAGTAAAAAGACAAAAGCAATAGCAGCTAATAAGGAAGAGAAACCAACAGAAACATTTGCTAAATTCAAGCTGGATCTTCCAAAGCCTGTAAAAGTGACAATTCAGGATGCGTTAAACAATATAGATACACAAATTAATTTAGATGATAAAGTAATCATACAGCAAGTGATTCCATTCGATCAGAATCAACTCAGGAACATGATCAATTTTCCGTTAATAATTGAGAAGAATGACTTAGTATTAAGTTCCTTTGACGAATCAACAATAACTAATTGTGGATTAAATTATATACCTAGTGTCAGTAGAATTCTTCAAGCTACAATGTCGGCAAATCAGAAGCAAGCCTTACTTCAATGGAAGAATTTAAAAATTGCAGAATTAGGAGTTGAAGGTTTTGAGGAACTACAGAAAATGTACTTAAATAGAGGAAAGAAATTTCATGGATGTCTTCAAAAATATTTCAATAATGAAGAAATGACTGAAGATGACATTTCAATGGACATAATAGAAGTTTGGAAGAGCATATCACATGTCATTAAAGATTTTGAAGCTCCAGCTACATTAACTGAATTTAATCTAGATCATCCTTATTTATGTTATAAAGGAATTGTTGATTGTGTAGCTGTTTCTAGGAAATCAAACACTTTGTCGGTCATTGAATGGAAAAATTCTGATAGATATAAGAAGACTATATCCAATACATATGATGCACCACTTCAACTTTGTGCCTACTTGGGAGCATTAAATGCAACAACATTTAAAAATAATCCAATCAGCAATGGCGTGATTGTTGTGGCTTATAATGATGGAGAAGATGCTGATATTTTTCAATTATCAAATACTGAGCTTAAAAAGTACTGGAAAGTATGGCTGAATCGTCTACAAGACTATTGGATACGATATCGAGATAATACGCTTAATTTGGATGAAATTTAATATTTAATAAAGTGTCAATAATTTCTTTTTGAATAACTTTAAAGTGATGATAGTTATTTGTTCATTCTGCATGCCATTAGAATAGTTTATTTCCATTTAATTGACTTAAAGTATATACATAACGCCTCAATATAAATGAAACATCATTGTGCTGCATGAGCTATATTAAGATTTAATGGCATCTTGTAAACAACAGCTTTTTTTGTACAGAATTTTGATATTTTAAACAGATTTATTTGCAATTAATGAATGAGATAAGCAGAAAGAAATGTGAGTCTCGAGGAAGCATTTTTCAAATTCCATCATGTGGCGCCAAATTTTTATATTCTCAATTGTATCTATCTATCTATAAACACATAATTAAGCCACAGCTTTATTTTTGTTTTGTTTATGTCACTTTAATCTTATGTGGAGACTACATACTTATTATGAGTGTAAAATAGTTGGATGCTTACCTACTATAAATTTTCGTGATGATGTGAAATTGATCGAATGAGATGAAAACACGATTAAATTTATAGCAAGTCTTCGCATGCTTCATTTAATTTATCTTATGTAATTGACATCCGTCTTCTGTGTGCTTTAATTTAAGAGGAAAACAAAATTCCCAAAGTGCTTTAAAATCGGACGTCTTCATGTAAACAAATATATCCTATTATATTCATTGATACTTTAATATTTGAAGGCTCATATTCGTTTTGGGTATCTGCGTGCTACACATTTTCATAGTCAATGGATTTGTCGAGGACAAGAAATTTGGTAGCTGTGAATCGCCGTTAAATTTTTGAACTTAAAAACCATACAATTCCTAAAGAAATTGAACTTCAAGAAACATTTGTAATGTTTTCGTTGAAAAATTCAAATTTTGGTCAGCCGTTATTTTTTTGAAATTTTCTACAAACTTGATCAAAGTTTAATAAATTGGATATAAAATCAAAGAAGTCAGTAACAAATAAATCAAATGTTCTCATCAACTCATCTTCTAACCCTTTAATATTAATTAGATTGCACAGTATGCCAGATATTTGTGTATAAGCAAGTCATCCTCTCGATCACAATCACAATCACTCAACGGAATCAATTCATTCACATAAACGAAATGAATAAAAAAATCATCATCTCTTCGAATAAAAAGAAGAACTGCACGAAGATGATCCATTTATAATTTTTCTATATTATTTCCGAGAATTAAATAGTGGAAAAACTTTGTGCGTGAAGAGAAAAACAAGGTCATAATAAATAATAAGAGACTTAAGAGAGGAACTATGATCATCAAAATATTTATATGATTTATGGGATATCATCTAGTGTTAAAAACATAGCAAAATAGACATGATGTGTGTGTCTGGTTTAACGTGATTATGACTCATAATGAAAGGAAATTATGGATTGAACTTGTTAATGGAGATTAAGGGTGAAAGAGGTGATTTTTTAAGAACCTGCCAGTGAAATCAATAATTTGAAGCTTAAACAGTTTACAACAGGTATGTAATCGTCGTTAATAAGTTTCGTAGGATTGCAATTTTCCTGGTTTTCTGGTCTTGAAGTCCTTATTTAAAACTTCTCAATTTCACTGAATGGTTGATACCTGCTTTGATTTGAATTGCGTAGCTAGAGAGAATGGGGGGGGGGGGGGGGGGGTGATATACTGGCTTAGAATGTTAGAATGAAAAATCAACCCTCTGATCATGCAACAGTAAAAGAAGCGAAAGGGGGGCTATGTGGAATGTTTCAAAAACTTAAGACGTCAAAGTCGAATGACTCGAAATAAGAAATCTATCGATGGATCATTATTCCATTTTACAGACGCTCCATCGTCCCAGTAAACAGTATTTACGTCTTTCATTACATACAAAAGTTACAGTAAATTACGTTACCGTCTCACATGTTATCAAAATTCATAAAGTCAAGAGAAAGAAAGAAAAACAAAAAAAAAATTCTATAGAAATGAAAAATAGATAGATATATACAATAACTAAGAGCATGAAATATACCAGAAAGAAGTGTGTAGAAGGAAAAATAAAAATAAAAAAATTGAGAAAAGTTTCTCTGGTTTTTTTGCAGTTAGTATACTTTTGATCATTCGAATGGATGGTCGCTCGGTCTTTACAGAAATAATTCGCAAATTTTTGTTATTTTTCTCGATACGTTCAAGATAAAATTATATTTTAAAGACTTACTAGATAGAAAGGAAAACAGAGAGTGCAAAAAGAAAAGAAAAAAGATTAAAAAAATATTTACATGATCTTGTGTAGTGTCGACTAGGTTCGATCAGTTCCGATAATGTTCTAAATGTTTATATTTTTAAAAAAGTTTATTGTGCAATAATTTATAACGAAAATGACAGTAGAAGCGACATCATTTCTCTCGAATACCAAAATTAGTAATGGCCACGAAAAGTCAGCAAAATTCTTAAAGAATCACAAAAACTTGATCATTTTTCTGTTGGCATTTGTGTTGTTGTTGTTTTGTATTTTAGCATCCATTCTTCAGGTATATTGAAATATTTCTGGGACGATATCTATGTCCATTTATAAATCAATTTTCAATTCATCGGTATCTTCACCAAAAACGATGTTCATGGGGGTTCTCGGTTTGAATAAATTCAAGTCTCGCGTTTTCCACTTTTTGCAACGAAAATTTTGGAGTTAAAACTCAAAAAATTAAAGATCAAAATGACTATTAAAATCGAGGACCCGCAAAACTGTTCAATCTATGGAATTTTTATCCGGACAGTACAGGAATGAAATTGAAATTTAATGTGACAGCTCGACGATAATTGATGTAGTCAAGTAATCAGGTGGACTGTCAATTATATTTCAAAATATTCTCTTTGGAACTTTTCTATAAAGATTCTGTTTTTTATGCCTGAAAACTAATCGCTTGCAGCTATTTTAATCTGCACATGTGCAACATTGTTGGTAATTTGTAGCCTCAGTGATTGATGCATTTCTTAAATGCCGGTGCAATTTGTTAAGGAATGCGTAAATGCAGCACAAAAAGAATTGAAAAAGATACTTCTAGCAAAATTCATTCTTTTTGTTTTTTGAGTTCTTGACAATTGAATGTTTTGAGAATGCTGTGGTCTTTTGTGGAAATTACCCGAGTTTTCAAGAGTTTTAAGTTTTCTGCCTTTAACTTAAGGAAGTCGCAAAGGAACAAAGAAGTCATTCATAAATGTCGCCGAACCATCCCCTAGCCTTCTTCAGACCCCCCCCCCCCCTATTTTCATCCCCCCATTATTCTATTTTGAACCAAGTTTTTTATTGTTTTACGTAATTACTGGATGTCCCTTACGATACCTAATACTTTATGGCTTTAAACTGCAGCATTCAAAACATGAATCAGCTTATTCTCAATAATTAGATTAAATGGAAACAAAGAATGTCTTTTAATCATTTCTTGACTCAAAACTTTGATATTTCCTGTGCCATATTTCGGATATGATATCCATAAATTGACCCATTAGTCAGAGTTTAGAGTCAGGAAATTCAAATGAAATTATTCTGGGCGTTTATAATTGCTAAAGACATGACATCATGTCATGAACTCTCTTCTTGAGATCCAAAGGAACAATTTCATTTGAGTTGATTCTGAACTTAATCAATTCCTTTAACAACCGTATCAAATTCCAATAATAACTCAATTCATTAATTATTTCACGTCCTGAACTGGTCGGGTAAATTTCCTTCATTAAAATTTTCTCGCTACATAAAAAATAAGTTACATTAAAATTTTACAATCGTGAGAAAAACAGCCGTGGACATTTATTTCAATTTCTCATAAATGTGTAGATATGGATTTATAATCAGCTGAATAAAGCACAAGAAGAAATAGACCAGCTGAAGAGAGATGTTATCGATTTAAAAAGCAATGGGCCCGACCAAGATCTCTTGGCTGAGATTGCTGAGTTTAATAGAAAGGTAAGACTGTAAAATGAGAAAATAGACTTTTCTATGGGAGCATTTCACAAATGACGTTCTTTAAAAATGTAGTTTAATTATGATAAATTAGGATTCAGTTTTGTGGGCGGTTTTGTAGCTCTAGAACCCCTCCCCCATATTTGTATCATTCATAAATGATGTCAAACTTTCATCGAAGAGGTCTAATGCTGTTTGTTAAGAAAAATTTGTAGAAGAGGGTATCCAAAAATCCAAATTTTCGACTAACGTCATTTTTGAACAAATCCTCCTTATTTACTCTATCGAAATCCAAGGACTGTACGAGAAATCGCGCGTATAAACATCATAAATAATATTTTTTTTTTCGGTCGTGGGAAAATCTGAGTGATTTGAATTGAGAAAAAAGTTTATAAATTCGCATATCAACATGAGTGGTGCTACAATATTTTTTTACTCTCCTTCATTCTTCTTCTATACACCACCGGTGACGCCGGTCATAAAAAAGAAATATTAAAGAAGAAAATTGCAATATGAATTGCTTGGCGCCAAATGATTTTCACATCAAACGCTAATTGTTCTTGTGAAATTTATGTGTGTATCTACGAAATTAAAAAAATATAAGAACATCTTTAACGATATGAAAAATTTAATAAATCAGTGACAGTGCTTTGAGCTGCATGCGCTTATATTTCTACTCTCAACGACTCAATGAAAAGCTATAAATTTTAATATATTGATAATTAATTGTAGGAACAGTTTATTTTTAAAAATAATCATCTGTTTGCCATGCATTTATTTTTAATCATTAAGCTTCGTGGGCGGAATTATATTGTAATACTTATATTCATCCACATTCCTTGTCGGATGATCGAGAGATGAGATGAGAGGAGTCTGGTTAGCATTTAATTTCCACTTGACATTCACGGCACTTAATCGAATTTTACATGCAATACTGGAGATGAAGAGAGCTTAATTAATAGAATTATATATGGAGACAGCATATAGAATCATGTTGGATAAATTGCACATTACATTTTCTTCTCTCATGTGATTCTGTTTTCATTTTAATACTTTTTCTTCTTCTTTTATATGAGAGACAATATTAAATTAAGCGACTTTCCTTTTCCGTAAGACATGTACGACCTGTTCTCTCAGAATTCATATACTTCGACTTTTAAGGCAGTAATATCTGCATCGTAGAATGATTTAGGTGCTTTATAAATATTCTTCAAGAATCGATTCGTTTTGTCAATTTTAAGTTGGAGCTTGTTATTGTGTATTTGCTGGTATTTGCCTTAAAAAGAGTGTCACGTGTTGAATCATATAACGGTTTTTATTTAAATTTCGCAACAGCTTCATTTCAGTTCAGATAACTTCAATTTAGTTCAGTTCATTTTTCAAACAGTTCAAAATTTTAAAATCCGTTATAAATGACAAAAATTCAAATTATAAAAAACCGTTATTATTTGCTATATCCATAACTTATTAAAATTATGTCTAATGACATTCCTGATAAAACTAATGATGACGATAATTAAAACACCTGATTTACAGTCTGCAAGCTGCCACTAATTACTGTTAATATAAAATAAAATACACTACTGATACTGGCTGATTAGAAATAGCTCACATACTTGAGATATTTCTGCTCGTATAAATTCACTAAGCAATAGAGAACAGAACAATCTTGTCTATTTATGGCAAAAAATAAGAAGATTCTCTCATTCAAAAGAATTTCCAATTATATTAAAAATCATATAAATTCAATTTAGATGTACCGCGTCAGTCAGCTCTCCTCCTAGTATTATCTACAAGAGGCAAATTTGCATATATCGATCGGTGTTATTTATTATCGATAAAAATGTTCAAGTTTCTGTTTCGTTATGGTCCATTAAGATCGATCGAAACAAATAAAAAGTAATAATGGAATGTCTTTATTTTCATTTATGATAAGAAGAATCATCATGTAAACATGACATTAAATTAGTGGTACATCCAATGCTTGCATTGATGAAGATGAATTACATTACTTCCCCCCCAATGAATTGATTGATTAATTATTATGTGACAATCAGTTTACAGGCTCTCATCATTTCATGTCAAATAAATTGAAAATTATTAATTTACACACTTGATAGCAAGCATTTACACTAATATGTAGTCTGACACAGTTTCGAATATATTTTAATTTGTGTGGCAAATCAGTGTCAACAGCTCATGATTTGTGAGAATTGCTCATTTTGAGCTAAAAGACTACAAAATTATTTTAATTGACAGCAGTTAATCTTTTCTGGATGTTGTGTTTCTCATCTCTCTTCGCCGTGTTTATATATTTTTACACGTTACATGCTCAGAAAGCTTAGAGGGATATTTTTTTAAGAACAAGTTTCGGTAGTGGGACTTTTATTGCTTTTTAACTCAAAAAATTATTAGTCGAAAATTTTCACATTTCAAGCAATTTAATGACTTTTCTTTTCATCTCCAAAAAATCTGCGAAATTTTTTTGGCTACTGCTGTTGACCCTGAAAGTTCACTAAAATTTTTCATATCAGATGAAAGATATAAAGTTTTACTAGCCGCATTGCGTACACGATTTTTCAAGAGTTAATCCACAAATCGTGCCTTACTGGTGATTCTATTCACGCAGAGGTAGATTATCGTATCAAGTCTTGTCATTTTTATTAACCTGACGTTGTGGGTAACTTAGAAGAACGTCTCAATTTCATACAATCAATGAAAAAATCCATATTAGATGAGATTCTTCTCATCAACATGCAAATGACTTTTTTTGTGTATTATGGTTCATAAAGGAAAATTGATTAGTTTTAAGAAACGCATTTTGGTATGTTACCCAGAGATATTGGCCTGTATTAGGTTTCAGTGATTAATTTTTTTTTAAAGTTTATATGAATGAAGAGTTGTTGATTTAAGTTGTATATTCTGATGCTTAAAATTGAGATTAGAAATTGTCGAGATTCTATGAATTTTCGAAACTATACTGGACACAAATGAATGTATCGTAACGAAATATGTAAACAACCCCAAACCATAACTATCAGGCTGAAATATCAATAAATGAACTCTAAAACAACAGAAAGTCTCATAATCTCACGATAACTGTCAAATAAATCAGTGATAACTGTTGTAGCCACGGAATGTCTTCATTTTGATACATGATCCATTTTAAGGTGTGAAATATCATATTTACTACTTAAATCACATAAAACTACCTTCAGATAGCTGCCAATGGAACTCCCCAACCGTCAATTCTTCATAAACTATTTGATACTAATTTGCTGCCTCTTTTGGCAGATTCTGTGTCCAAAAATATTCCTACTTAAAAGGAAATTCTTGTGATTCTTTTTAAATTCATGAGACAATCTTTTGTTCCTACGCAAAAGTGTCTAAAAACAAGTTTAAGTGGAGAAATTCTTTTGAGTTCCTCTTTATCAGCAAAATAACATTTAAATAATGAGTTTAAGGAACCTACCGAAAATATGTTTATGGAATTTTTTTGTTCTTCTTTTGAACAACTTAAAAATGCCTGAAAGCTATCTACTTGATATTTTTATTTATGGTGATTTACTCGAACGGAATTGGATTTTCAAGATCTTCATAATATTTACCGAAATAAGGCAGTGCTGATCGCAAATCGATAAATATCCGGGATGTAAATTCTCTTATGAGGGGTTGACTGGATGCTATGTAACGTTAGGTTTGGGAATTTGGAGGTTAATTCCGTTAACAACATCGGCGATCATTATTGACATTCAGAATTATTACAAAACCTTTAAACGATCCCTTAAATGAAAATATCTAGTTTCCGTTCAAATTTATCTTCCTATATTTCTCACAACAGCTGTTTCGCCTAATTGAACAGATTAAACAAATCAAAATAAAGACAGAGAAAAGAGATTCGCTACATCGACGTAATAAACACGTAATTTTCTGAATGAAAATAAGAATGAAATGAAAAATAAGACGATTTGTAGCTAATTTTAAAATGTTTCTTCCTTTTTGATAGACTAAAATAGACCAGAACGGTGACATTGAAACATATTCCATCTTTAAAAAGAAATTGAAATAAACTGAAAGGTTTAATATATTAATTTCCTTTAAAAATAGAATTTTCAAAAGATCGGGCTTAAGAAAAGTAAATATTGACGTTTTTGTGGGGGCAGTGAGCGCATTTCATATTTGAGGCAATAAATTTTCGTCAAGACTTGATGGGATGAAGTTGTTTTCATCTGATTTGCACTTAAAATTAATTTATCTTAATGCATTTGTGGGGGTATCTTGTGGATTTGATGGGTTATGACTAAAGAGTCACATTTTGGTTGATTGAGGCATCAAGAGTCATGCTCTTTCTCCGTGTTTCCAAAACATTTCGGTTTTTTTTGCAGATTTGGAGTCAAACCTGATTCCCAAAAAGTAAATTGTGAACTTAATTGATTATGTAGCTAAAATACCTTAAATTGATCTAATTGTTAAGCAGATCTAGACTTTAAAATATACTAAGCTAATAAAAGCAATTGACAATTGAGAAAATCAAACAAGAATCAACTATTTCTTAAAAATCTAAATCCAAAATTAATTATCTACTTACAAGAAATTCGAGAAACCGACTCTTAACTTTTTTTAGGTCAATGACTGACTACTGTGCGAAATCACTCAAGTCTGCTTAAATCGATCAAAATAACTCAATTCGTCTATGCTGTATGTCTGGAATCTGTCAATGTCATTCAAAGTGAAATTTTAGTAACTATTACAGGGTCATGTTTAGACTTTAACGTAAGACATTCTCGACATCCAGTGAGCAAACCACTTAGTAAAATTGTGTCGCCAGACGCAAGAGGCAGACTCACCGAAAAAAAGAGAGCTTGCGAATGATTTAAAATGTTGGAAGAAATTTATTGTCAAAATAATTTATCTTCAGAGTCGTGCGTGCGTTAATTTCAATATACATAATACGTGTATTTAATTTTGGCACGCTTATTGTGCGCCTAATTTATATTATTTTTTCTAAATGCAGACCGTCTTTTCTTTCATTTTCTTAGCAAATGAAACGGAAGTTCACTGAACCTATTTAGTGCAGAATGCTAATTAAAATATAGATACACAATGATAGCAATAAAAGAGACAAGTCCCAAATTATTTAATTTTTTAGTGTAATTTATTGGATACGCTTCGCTTTGAACTTGAGGAAAGATTTAATACGCAAAAGAAATGTATTTAAAGAGTCATAATTTATGAGAGGATATAAAAACTTTAAAAGACTAGATTTGAGGCAGGCTTGAGTAAATAGAAATTAAATATATATTTTTAAGACTCAATAAGCTCAATTATTTTTTTAATATCTCTGTTACCATGTCTTATTTCCAGTATCATAATGACGTTAAAGATCAAATAGATTTAGACGCAAAGGTCAGTCTTGTTGATGAAAAGGTGAAATTTGATGACGTCGGAGAAGACAGCACTAATGATGATTTGGATGCAGAAAATTCAGACGAAAGTGACGAGGACGAGGATAATTATGAGGAGTTTCATAGGTGATTTTATGCCTTAATAATTTTAATTGCACGTGAACTATTGTGTGACATTTTCAAATACGCTTTCTTTAGTGGCTATGGTGAAGAGTATGACGACGAATATGATGTAGATACTTCCTTTGAAGACGAGTCGGTAGATCCCGAAAAGGAAGACGATGAAAACAATATTTACAAAGACATGACAAAACATACAAGGTATTTATATGCTAATCCTATTATTAGGTGTCTTTTATGTTAATTAATGTTTTCGTGCAAGACTTTTTGGACTCTTATTAACGGGAGGCATTTCGAAATTACGTTCATCAATTAGTGATGCTAAAGTCAAATTATGAATTTTTCTAAATTGAGGATTGGGTATACTTCATCAATACAATTATAATTAAACAAATTTGAGAATATTTGGTATGGGATCAAGATAAATGATTTCTAAGTCTGTTTGATAAACGTCATTTATTAACAACCCCACAATGAAAAAGCACCAATTATTTTTTATTGCAGAAAGACTCGGTCTATATCTGAAATTACAGAACAAGGTGTGGTGGTTCACGAAGAGCCTTATTCAGCCCGTCGCAATCGAACAAGAACTTCACCACAGGATCCAAATAGCAAACATCCAAAATTAAAACTAACATGGAATGGACAATATCGTAATTTGCACAGTCCACGAAGGTAATTCATTCATACTTTATTACTATATTCATTCATAATCATTTCATTAAAAAATTTAGAGAGTATGAAAAAAATAGACAGCATATCAGACATCATCATCATAATGGTGACCAATCTAGTAAATTTGCATTTGCTGCCGCACCTGTTCATCATACATTTGTGCCTGGACCAGTGAGTATTATAACTTATCAAATAACATTGTGTTTTGAAGCTTTAAACACTCGAGACCGACAGATGTAAAATTTTCGTACAAGCTTCTTGCAAATATTTCGAGGCATTTCGGTTCTAATGGCAGCAAGCCTTTAAATAGTTCTAGACGAAAACGATAAATTTTAAAGCCTTATAAAGAGAAATAATGACATTTCCTCACCTAATAACGGTGGCTTATGAGAATGTATTGAACTTGGTTGACTGAAAATGGTTAGATCCTGTTCTATACATTTATTATCACTATCTGCATGTGCTGCTATAAATATTTTCTCATATGGCTTTTTACTCCCATTAAATGGGCAGAATGTATCACCACATTTATCTATTTTGACCCATTTCCAAGTTCCTATTAATTTCAAATGCCAGGCATGCATGATATCACTTCTGATAAACTTTTCGTGAGTATCAGAATTAGTGCACCAGATGACAATCAGGGAATTTTTATGGGTGTAATTATTAAGTGGAATTTTTAAAATATCCTCATTTGTCATCATTTGATAGCTCTTTTGTTGGCAAGTCTTCTTAAGTCTCTTAATGTATCTGCACCGGAATGGTGGGTCAATAACAAAATAGTCGAACTTTTCATCAATGCTTAAAAAGTCAGGCATTTTGTCAACTGATTTATTGAAAAATCGGCATTTTGGAGGAATTAAGTACTGCTCAGTATTAATCTTAGTGACTATTCCATGATTCAAGTTATTCTCGCCATGGAACTGACCAAATTCCTTAGTTTTACTATAAAATTCGTTCATCAACTTTATGTTGTCATCTTTAATTCCTTCAATGTCACTATCAGGTATTGTAGAAAAAAAATTCTTAAGCTTACATTCTGTCAGGAACGTCTTAATTTTAGTGACTTCGGAATCATCAGTTTCTTGATGTTTTGCATTGTCTTTTCGTTTAATTTTAAAATTATTAAAAAGTCTCTGAGAAAGCTCATATTTTACAAGATTTCCATCACTATTTTGATACTCACATAAACTTCTATCATGATTAATAAGTTTACAATCATTACTTTCTTGAATCACTATCATTTTAGCAGAAAATTAAGTAATTTTAAAAATTCTCAAATTGAAAATATCTTTTATTTTATTTACATATTTTGAACTTCAACGGTAAATTTTAAAAAGAGTAAAAAGAGCTTTAAAATTTTAATATAAATTCGACCGTTAAAATTAAGTTTAATATTATTTGGTTAAAAATGTGCTGACTATACACAAGTGAATAGAAACTTTCTTAAATTTGATCAATTTTAAGGAAATAAAGATAATGATTGAGTATTTCTCAAAGAAACGTATGATATTTGGAATCTTCGTGCTCATCTCGTAAGTACATGCTGGAATTAATATCAGTTCTTTCGAAATAAACTAACAAAAAACACATTTTTCTGTTTTCACGAAATATTTTACAACAACAAACATCCAGTTTGACAATCATCGTTTTGTTTATAGAATCTGAATGGGACTTAATTACACCGAAACCAAAGAATTTTATAGTCGAAAACAATTCAACTTGCTATTTAAGAGAGGAATACGAAGTAATAAGTCATTGTGCACCGTGTAGCTCATTTGAGATAAAACTAGCCAAGACACAGCAAGGAGTTTGTCATCACACAAATAATAAGGAAGTTCTTAAGTGCCAATCAGGAGAAATTGTCATCAAGTCGTGCGATAAAGTGGCATTTCTAGAGAAAAGAAATTATTACATATTCATGACATTTGCGTTCCTTATATCTTTATTTTCATTAACTGTTGTGTATGCTCGTCAGAGATTTATAGATAAGAGTTTTTTCAAGTCAGTAAATAATTAATAATCAAAATGAATTGCTTATTATTGGAACGAAAGACCGGAACAAATGAAATAACAATCGAATCTTTTATTGCCTTGGCATTATGGAAGTTTTTGGACACTGAGGAACAGATTAAAGTTCAATTAATAGAAGTGGATCAAACGACGTCATCAGTTGCTATTAACATTAATGAGATTAGCCATGAAAACTATCGAAATAATGACGAAAAGAAATACATTCAATTGCCTATGCTTAAAATAAATGACGGAAACTATAACATTATTGGATTATGTTCGGTGCTTAGAGGAATTTGTCGTCTCATGCAATCGTCCTCAAAAACAGGAAGTTTGGCTACTAAGCTATTAGGTTTTAAAGAGAATTGCCTGCTTTCAGCATCAACTTCAAGTCTTTGGGTCAGTTTTTGTGAACAGGATATAATTCAGTGCTTAATAAATCTTACAAAGACGACAGATGAGATTATAGAATTTCCATTACAAATGCTTAAATTAGAGTGCGAATTTAAGAATCCGGTAAGAATGCACAATATTTTCAAGGTCGTAAGAGAAGCAAAAAAGGATCGATCAATTCAAAGCGAAAGCGCTACAAAAGTGGATCTCGAGCATAAATATTGTCATGGAAATGAAGCTAATTTATCGGATTTCATATTATATGTCATATTCAAATTAATTTTTCTGACAGTCACGAATGAAAATGAGTTTGAAAATAACATCCCACACATACTTAAATGGTACCGTAATATGGATATGGAATTCTCAACTTTATATGACATTATAATGATGCTTTTATCTAAAGTACCTCAAAAGGATATTTACTTTAAAGAGGAACTGCCAATTGTTGAGGCAAATGGAAAATACTTTAGTTTATTCAAGCGGCAATTGATTGGACATAAAATGAAGAAATGTAAAGGCTTCACAAATCAAAATGAAATCGATTTAATTCTATCAAAGCTGAATGGTCTGAATATTGACATAAAAAGTGAGCCAGGAGATGAGAATCGGAATATAATAGACGACAACATCATTGAGGAACTATTGAGTAGCGGTGAATTTCCTCAAGAACGAATGGACAGAAAAAAGTCGCAGTTGAAGAGCTTCACAAGTGAAGTTATAAAAATTGCACATGATGACGACATTATTGTGGATTTTTGTTCTGGAACTGGACATATAGGACTGTTAATTGCATTATTATTACCTAATTGTAAAGTAATAATCTTAGAGAACAAAGAAGAATCGATCAAAAGAGCAATTGCCAAGGCAAAGATACTAAAATTGAATAATGTGTCATACTATCAATGTAATTTAGAATACTTCAATGAGAAATTCCAAATAGGTTGTTCGCTACATGCTTGCGGCATTGCGACAGATTTGGTGCTAGAAAAATGCTACAAACTAATGGCTAATTTTATCAGTTCGCCATGCTGTTATGGAAAAATACAAGATCTAGGCAATCTCCCACAAAGCGAAATTTTTCGAGCAGTCTTGAGTGCCGATGACCTCATAAAAATCGCTCATTGCTCGGATCAAACACATGATGAGAAAAATGTGAAGCACATTAATTTAGATAAAGCTCGTCAGGGATATTTCTGTATGGATATTATCGACACGGACCGATCATTGAGAGCTCAAGAGCTCGGCTATACTGTTCAACTTACTCGTCTATATCCAGAAGATTGTACGTTGAAAAATCGCTTATTGATTGGAGTCTATCCAAGATAAAGTGAAATTTTTATTGTAAACATTTTTTAAAACTTCTTTTTAATTTTATTAATAAAACATTTGTTTGAAATAAACCCGGAAAAATTGCTTCTTTTTGATACTCGCTAATTGGTTTGTGCTTAAAATGAGGTTAATGTGCGAATAAGGTTAGTTTATGTGGTATTGGCATAGATTTATTTAGAAGGTTGGTCACTTATGATGCTTATTAGGAATGGGTCTATCAGATACTGACTCATAACGACCCGTAATCTAAAGTGATTGACTCATACCTTAGTAATTTGTTCTATCAACTCAAAGAATTCTCTTTCCTATGATTTGCCATGCTTTGGTCAAAAAATTAAGACCTGCTCCCGCAAAACACTTAATCATCACTAATAGAAGAAGACACAAGAAGCTTGTATGCCTTCACATCTGTTCGCAACAATTAATATGTTAATTAGCAATTTATTTCATAAATTTATTCCGCAGAAATTAAACGACACTACACCGGATTCTACAGCAATTCCAATTCAGAACCGACAATCACGTGTTATGCATTTTGAAGATAAGACAAAGGCATTCAGACAGGTTGTTAATAAAGATCAATTGGCAAAATTAAAGGAACAACGAATTCCAGCCACACAGTTTGTCAACTATCCAAATGTAAGAAGAAAATCACATCCGCAAAATATGGCATTGAGGAAGAATCTTGAATTAAAGAGTAAGGAGGACTCAGGCATGCAAAAAAATGTGTAAAATTAATGTAAAATTTTGTTATTGTTAGATGGAAAGAGAATGAAGATAACAGCTGTTCATTACGATGGCGATTCGACAAGATTAGAGGAAACGAGACACCAAAGCTTTAAAGGTTGAATGAACTTTATTTCTGTTTTACCTTGAATTTTATTCAGCATAACAATAATAATAATTATATTATGAATTGTTATAGGAAATGGTAAAGTTGAGTTGAATAAGAATGAGTATCTGCATTGGAAGCCAGCAGAATGGGTCGTGTCACATGGAATGGATAAATATTTTAATATGGATTCTACTGGTACACTCACAATCAACGATCACGGTCTATTTTTGATTTATGCTCAAGTAATTCTATTATACAATTGATATAATACCCCTGATACTAATTGCATTAAAACTTTGTTCCTATATACTGCTTTCCCACACAATAGGTCTATTATAGTGACACACATGACTTAAATGGATATCAAATTCTACTCAACGATCATGTACATTATCAGTGCACAACAATGACACATACTGGCACATCAGGAATCTCAAAAACTAATTCATGCTATACAAGCGGCTTAATTCATTTGAGAATCGGCGATAAAATACGATTGCGTGACGTTGGCAATCATCGTTCTGTTTTACTGCAGAAGAGTAAAAGCTATTTCGGTTTAATTAAAATCAATCTGATACCAGCAACTCATTCTAACGAAAATACCGATGTCGAACGATTCGATCAAGTCAAATAAAAAATTTATTTATATTTACAAATAAAAAATGTAGTACATTAAACCTTTTTACGAGTGCCACCTAAAATACATGATTTATACTTTTTTTTTCTTGTGATTTATTCTCATTTCCTTTCGTTATTTTCTGTTTCATGTAAATTAAATTGCACGTCTATTTCCTTCCTCTTAATTTCTTATTACGCGATATAAGATAGCACTAGAATCTGTCAATTTGAGGTTTTAAATTCTCGATTGCTAACCACGTTGTCTATTTTTGGAGTCAAAAAACCGTTAAAAATTTGAATTTTCTAAAGTTCAAAAACTGAACTCAAATTTAATTTGTAAACAATGAAATTTGAAATTTTGTTCCTCGAAAAAATCAGCTTAAACCTTATCTATAACAGGCACAGCAACAATCTTTCTTTGTTTTATGATATCATGTTCCGTGCTATAATTATTTGCAGTCATTAAAACGATGAATAATGGCATTTTTTACACTTCAAATTTTTGATTAATTCTTTGTGTCGAATTCGGAAATTTTTTAAATTTTAAACCAAAAATGTGAATACTGGGGGTCCTCGATTTGAGTAGATTCTATTTGAGTAGATTCGATTTGAACAGAAAATTTATTACCCACCAAAATATTCGATTTGAGTAGATTTCTTCCTGTTTTCTTCGATTTGAATTGTTTACAAAACAAATATTTTTGATAAAAACATTTCAGAAAATAATTTTAAAACATAAATTTTACTGCGATAAGCGTGAACTTATCATATTGATAGAAAAAACAATACTAAAGTTACAAAATTAAAGTAAAAATTTAAAAAATCTATATAAAATCAACGATTTTAAAAAGTTCAAATTCAAAAACCTTACAAATTGTTCAGTGAAATAACATTTGCAAGGTTCTCATATTTTTGTTTTGTTTCAAAAACATTTTTTTTGTTAATTTCCGTTTAAAAACAATATGAATATGCGTTGAAATAAATTAAGTTATCTAAAACACAAAGGAAAAGTTAAGAAACGAGGTAAAATGTGCCAAAAATGATCAAAATTTTCATTGTTTTGATTCATTTTTTGGACTCTGGAACAAAACATGTAATTTTGTATGGATTCTTTGCCTCGATTTGAATAGATTCGATTTGAGTAGAAATTTTTTGGAACAAAACAACTACTCAAATCGAGGACCCCCAGTATCAGAACATGTCTTTAGTAACTGAAGATAAAAGCAATTCTTAAACAAATAACGTTCCTAGAACTGTAGCTCTAAAAATGGCAATCGCTTTCCAAGTAATACAGCTTTTATCATAAACATAAAGTAAAACGGTTTATAAATTATGGGATAGGATACAGCTGTCAATCTAAAGATAAAGTATATCTGCTGGTTTTTTAAAAATTTATCAAATATGCCATTTCCAAACATGTGTTGCTTCTAATAAAACTCTTTTTTAATGCTAGCATTTTTCATTTTTAAGAATATTATTCACAACAAGACATATGACTGGAAATATGAAAACATTCACGTGAGGAAATCAAACCTACATTTGGGAATATTTTATCAAAAATAATGTAGATAAGAAGTTCTGCAATGTCCCTATCAGATTAGCCTTCAAATAATCAGTACGTGTCGACAACGGCGTCAAAAGTTTGATGATTTGTCGCAAAATTGTACTTTTTTACTAATCCATCAACTCTTGTTCCTTTCGTATTATCATTGCCATTACCTTGTCTATAATTGTTTTATTATAGGAGGTTTCGCATGACTGAAATTTGATAACAATGTTTTTAAGACGAAAAAAGTTTTTCTTGATGAATTAGAAATTAATTGCCTTTTAATCGTTAAACGGAAGAATGTCTGACTCATCTGGCATTTAAAGCTATTTTGAAATCTTTTGCAGTGTATTTTTGGTCGATCAAGTCAGTAAAAGTGATTCATCAATTCAAAGAGTTTAACGTATCTTTAGAATTCAAATTTCATATAAACTGATTTGAAATGAACTGAAGAATAGCTGAACAACTTTTGTTTGAAAATTAAAAATTCTCGATGTAGGATTGAAATTCTTAATGACAGTGTATTAGATTTGTTTAAACAAACCGAAACAAAACAAATGTATTAAAGAAGCCATGTGCCAGCAAAAATAAAGACTTCGTGGAACCCAACTGTATTATATTGCCATCTTATGTTGTGTAATACATTTTTTCTATTCTAAAAAGGATTTGTGTCTCTCATAACTCCAAATATCCAACATTATTATATATTTTTAAACATAGAAATTTGATGAACTTTTTTAATAATGCAAAATGACTTTAATCCTAAGATTAAGCAGTGTTGACAAAAAAAAATTATTAGGTAATAAGGTCATATTTATAAATAAATAAACACATACTGATATAGGCATTAAGAAGATTAATTAATTATTTTTCCTTCAAAAAAAAGTAATAAAAAATGAATTAAATTTGAAATCTTTTGTGTCTGGGCTTTGACTTTTCATTGAGCGTGGCAAAAATTATCAAGTTCTGAAATAATTTCAACAGCTAATTACAAAAATCACGATTGAAGTATTTAGTTCATGTCAATATATATATAATTGAAAACATCGAAAAGTCGGCAGGTAAAGCATACGTGTTTATCGATTAATGAAATGCCAAACAAGATATAATATTTTTTTAATATTTTTATATTTTCAAGCTAAGTTGTATTGAGTTGTTTACATCAGAGTTGAATAAAAACATTGTGAGTCAGCAAGTTGAAAGTAAATATTATGCATTCGATATATATATGTTTTTCATATTCCAAAACAAAACGTATGACGATGTCAATTCTGCGGAAATCTGCTTTCGTCGTCACCGTAACATTTTCTACTCTAGTGCAATAAACCTACACGTCTTTTAAAATAAAGTAACAAAAAAAAAATCATACTTGGTGTGTCGTTTATGTTAATTTTAAATTCAACGAGAAGTGCTTGACTCATGATGACTCAAAGAAAAAAAAAATACAGTCGATCGATCTTTAAGTCAATATTCCCAAATACCTCTTAAATGATAATGAGACAGTCTCTTTTATGAAGAATTCAAAAGACCTCCATCTGGTCCACATGTCAATAGAATATTTTTTTAAACAACTCATCAGTTTTCGATCGGGTGGAGCTGAATAACTTGTCATGAGCTTGTAATTTTATTAATATTTGTGAAATAACGGACACAGTCTTGAGTCATAAAATTTTTGGTCATTGTAGGGATTTTGAAGTCTTATTTGTAGGATTTGTATTGTTTTCAGATGTCATTGAAAGATTTTCATATGTAATCGTAAGTTTAAAATGATTTAAGCTTCAATTTGCAAAAGAATTAATAAGAATCTCAAGCATCATTCATCCATAAAGTACGTTAAACTGTTTTAAACCATTTAAAATCTTTTGTATAGTCTTAAGTGATCTCTCGTCATTAACAAATCTTCATGTATGTCGCATGAATTTCTCATACAGAATCCAAGTTACAAATTTTTTAACAGATACAGCTATAAACAATTTTACGGTAAAAATCGATCGTAAATGTAGCCATTAAGCTTATCCATCGCACAAGCTACTTATTTAATCATGAATTCTTCTGTTTTTGTTTGTGGATTTGTTTTTTTAGAAATTCTTGTTTTCTTGTTCATGTCGCATTTTTGGACTGAAACTGTTTTTGTCATAAACAGAAAAGAAAAAAAAAACAATTCAATTATCAAAGTATTACATTTCAAAATAGGTGCTATAAATACATGTGTACCACGTTTTCATAGCAGCGATAACAAATGCTCCGACAAAATAAACAACACAAATAGTTTCTCAATACAATGTGATGCTGATAAAACATACGTGAGATTAATGAAAAATTAATGTCATTGTAACTGAGATGATTTACAATTCATAACATCCATAGTCATTGAATGATTTCTGCTTATGTGGAAATCGCACGGCGGGTCAAGTTCATTTTTGTGCCAGCGCATACTTTAGAATTTTTAAATATCAATGAATATAAATATTTTATTATTTCCGGAAAAGAAATGAGAAATGTGTTTGACCTCACGTAGCCTGTCACTTTAAACCTCTTCATTTCAATTTATAAATCCATTAGATACTGATAATTTGTAGGAAAATTACACCATTTGAGGCAAACAAACTCTTTTTTTTCATGCCTAGAGAATGTGCTACTTACTCACAGAAAGAATTCAAGGGCATTCACGAAAAATGAATCATTAACCCCTTAGATTATATATACTGCGTGTCTATGTGTGTATATTCTCCATTCATCTATTCTACATGTTCTTTACTCGTCTATTTTAACACATAATTTAGACGTCGATATGCGTTTGTGTTAGGCTAGAATATTTTTATTTATTTCTGAAGGAAGTGAGAAGAATTGAGTGCTTAAAAACATTTAATTCTAATGTATTCAAGTGCCTTAAAACACCTGTTGCAAATGTATTTTGGGAATTGTACGTAAATCATGACAGACATGGAGGAATGGTAAGTCTAGAGCTTTATGTTATTTATTATTGATCTTTAAAATCTTAAAAGAGAATAAGACGTCTGAGTTGTGAAGACGTAGGTTCGATTCCCATCAAGAAGCTGATTCCTCTCGACATTACAGGCTCGAACCCGATGAATATCGACTAAGAATAAGAATTTATTACCACTGATTTAGCAAATAAAATAAGTTTGTTTAAACATCTTGTAAATTAGTTGTTACTAAGTGGATTTTATCGATATAAAGAATCCCATTTGGTAATGGACGTCATTTACTATCAATCATTAACACAAAACAATGAAGTCTCGTTAGGGATTAATAGATTTTAATTATTTTACTGTTAATACAATATTTAAATGTCCACATACACAAAGTCCAATAAGTGACCATTTACGCAAAGCATGATGAAATAATTTTTAAATGTTTTGAAATGTGCTTTTTATAATTAAAACAAAAAATTCTTTTTTTTTTGATGATTGTAGCGAGTATGGCGTGAGAATGTAATGTCTCAAAGTTTAATATTAAAAAAGATGTTTCACAGTCGTCATGTTCGAATTGTGTCGGAGGCGATAAGATTTTTACAAGGTCTCTCTGTCTGATAGACGTAACATTTTATTGTGCGAATCTTTAATCTACTATAATTCAACTCGTTCTTACTATTTTACGTCGCGATTAAAGTTCCTTGTTCTCGGTTCATGTGTATATTATTTAAAGACGAAAAAAGAAGTTAAAAAAAATAAAACGAAATTTTCTCGTTTTGCGCTTTAAAGTCCCCATCGTGAAACTCATGTCGTATGATAGAAAATGTAATCAAATTAAAAACGTAAATATCATTCATAATACACATATTATATGGATTTTGTATAGTAAATAGTATAGTACTCATTTAATGTCATTTTTCTACTGTTTGTTTTGATTTTGAAAGTTATTATTGATGTAGGTTTGCTGATACTTTCGCTAGACTTTTACTAAATTTTCAAATGTCGAAGAAATTAATTTTAAGCTTAACAACCTTCAAATCTAGTAGAATTTTTGTCCTATCGACGACACTTTTTAAAATGAATGAGAAAGATCGGTCTCTGGTGGGAATCGAACATACGTCCTCACAAAAGAAGGTTACAAATATCCGATAAGATGCCTAACGCCTTGCGCTACAGACCTAACTGTCGAACTGGCAGATTCGCCTATATATGGGCTCGATACCCGAGAAACCACTCTGCACCGACATCATAAATAAACTTTACCTAGAAATGAGGAGGTAGCAAATTTTAAAGCGCCAAAAATTAAAGGGAACGACTTCTTTGAAACCTTAAAAATCTGCCTACAACTTCAATTACCATTGATTGTGTCATAAAAGTACCATAAAGCTTAAAGTATAATTACAGTTACCAAACAATATTTAAAGACCGTCAAGAATTACAAGAAAATTGAATGCGCTCAAGTCACGTGTTCTAATATCAACGGGTGACATTCAGTAAGTTTTAAAACAAATGTTCCATAAAAGGAGCTGTTTTGTGATGCAAGATAATTTGCAATGTTGCCATTTCCAAATTCGCTAACAGAAACATGTTGATACTGTTTACCTAAAGCAAATTATTTTTTTTTGTCGCAGATAAAAGGGTCTTGCTAGCTTTTCTCCTGATATTTATTCCTGTACGTTTAAAGTCTCACATATTTTTAGAGCTCATTTGTTCGCAACCTTGAAACTTTTTTTTTCTCTCTGCTTCTTGGAAATAAGAATAACTGCCAAGTAGGAACTGCAGACTCATTCGTCTTCTTTTCGATATTAAGAGAATAAGAACGAAGAAAAACAAAATAGGGGGCAATGAAACATACATCATGACATGTTTGCAATTATCGTAAACACATGAAAATCAATTTTTAAAAAACTAATAAATTTAATGCAATAACAAAAGGTTTTAAACCTCAAAAAATCGTGCTCAATTTAAAGACGCTAATCATGAATGAAAAAGACACATTGTGAATAATTCATAGGCGACGACGACAACGACTGTACCTATATATAGTATAATAATAATAATAAATGTACATAAAGATTGTAAATAAATAATTTCATATACAAAGGCATGTGACATGACAGAATAACCGGCCAAAACAATAATATAAGTGCGGCTTTTACGTTAATACTTTTAGTGTTGTCTAACGTACATACATTTGTACATGCAAGCTTATTTACCTCCTACAATAACAATAAAAAAAGAGAGATATGTAGAAAAAGAATGCAAAAGAGGAATAGAAAGAGGAAACTCGTCTTCAATCCAATTATTTCACAATATTCATCACTCCTTACTTCATAGGAAATTCTTCTACGTGAATGTTTAAAATTCAAAACAAATATTAAGTTATAAGTACACAAGAGAAAAATGTTAAAAAGTTGAACTATATAATAAGCTATTTACATCGTACAATCATCTATATAATCATAAAGTAAAAGAGGTCTGCTCTTAAAGTATGAGCGCGATGTTGCCAGTTTATTGTAATGAATGAAAAAAACGCGCCAGAGAATGTGAGCTAACAGAAAATATGAAATAAAAATATAAACATACTTTGCGCAGTCTGCAAATACACATAAAGATTGTATTGCCGTTGAGAGGACTGAATTGGAAGTTACTAGAAAAAAAACCAAACTCTCGGGTAATACATAGCACTAATACAATTATAGAACGTAGACTCGGGCTTAATATTTTTAGCTCGAAATTTTTCGACATCAGTCGCAGAGAAAAAGTGTAAGAGACAAGAAGCTAACAAAGTTTGCTCTTGCTTACCAACACATACATAAAATATTTTGTATAAACAACACAAAAATTGTGCCTGTTCGTAAATTTTTTTCAAAAAAAAATATAAAAACAAACAATATATCTGCATCGGACAGGATTTGTGTGACTAGAAATATTGTTATTATTTTACAAATTGAATTTTTTAATTAAACTTTAAGTCAAGTGAGAGAACAAATTAACTGTTTGAAACAGAAAGAAAATAGAATAAAATAAATAAAAAAAAAAAATATTAAGAAAGTTATACGAAAAGAAAGAAGAGAAGAAGAAGTAATTGAGAACGTCGACATCTTATATTTTGATGTTGTGTTAGTGAAGCCATAGTGTGAAGCAAAAGAAAAGAGTTTATATAGCCGAAACCACCTTTGATTATTTATTATTATTATTTTCGTGAAAAAAGAGTGTTTTCAAAACAAAACAAGAATAAATAAGAAACGTCCAGCGGTTAAAAAAGCAAGGCATAAATATATATATTTTTTCACACATAAAGGAATAGCAAAAAAATAAAAATTGATACAAAAAGAATCAACGTGAAAAAATTCAAAGCGAAAAGTTTTGGAATAATAATGCCAAGTAAACAAACGAATAATGACGTTATTGCAATTGAAGAACTGGTTAATGAAATAAAACAAAACTTACGTTTAAAAGCCGCTGCTCCACCGTCAACTGGAGCAGCACAAGAGCACCATTTACATCATCATCCTCTCCTACAACCGCCAACAAATGACTACTTGCAACAACCGAAGCAGTATCATTCACAAGCACAGCAGCTTATAACTCGCAAACAACGATCTCGTCCATCACCGTATCATATTCCCTGCCGCTCATGGAGTGATAATTCATCTGCACAAAATAAAAAGAACCTTCAAAAATCCCGCAAGAATGATGAAAATAATATTGAAGATCCATATGAGCTTCTACAGTCCCTCCTCAAAAACAATAGTTTGGTGAAGGAAGCTGTAAGGCGTCTTCAACTCAATAGTACATATTCCCGCAAACAAAATTACTTCTATGACAGCGACGAAGACAACAGATCGCCAATAGTGATGATGTGTCAATTAGAATCGTAAGCCAACCCATTCATCAAAAGCATTAAATCAGTCTAATTTAAGCTCCGTTAGTTTTCTTTCAATGCTGACGTAAATATATTATTTTCATTCGAGTATCACCTTATTATTTTTTTTTCTTTTAACTTTACAAACACACAATACAACAAAATACATTGCAAAAAAAAAAAAATAGAATGTGAAATGTATTGAAATGATCTGAATTTATTATATAGTAAGGCAGGCATATTTAATATATTATTATTATTATGATTATTTTCCTCAGCTCTTAGATAAATCAATAATTCAATAACTCACAAAAAAAATAACAAGAACATATAACATAACAAACAGAAAGAAAGAAAAAAGCACGTAGAAAGAAATGTTGTTGGTGTTTTTCATCTACACAACTCTTTGAAGGCATCGCCCTCCAAACGAAATGAAAATACAGAAAGAAATATACAGTTGATAAATAAATTGCTCTCAAAAATATGCATACATTACAATATTAAATATTTCAAAACAAAAAGCTTGCAGATTCACAATATTTTATCATTTTGCAATAATGATAACACTTTCCGTTTATTTTTAAATTGCAAAAAAAAAAACAAAAAATTTGTAACATGCTCCAAATTATTAACACAGATAAAGTAAATATCCCGAGTTGTGCAAAAATTGTAACGCCAATACTATAGCGACTAAAATTTTAATGCCACGTGGAGACACGCAAATACACCTGCGATCAAAACAAAAACAAACGTGAATGTCGCGATTTAAATAAGAATATTTTTGTGCTGCTCGGGAAAGACTATTTCATGCAATGATTCATAACATTGAATTGCGGGAAAATTGATGTTTTGTAAATACGAAAAAAATAATAATGTTTACTCAAAGAATGCGCAAAAATATTACGACGAAAAAATAAATATAGTATGAGTAATGGTACGGTGACTAGACTATCGTGTGAGAATGAAAAAGCCGATTAAATTAACTTGATTTTCAAGTGTGGCGATTGCTTTGTTTTGATTTTACTAGTAACCCGTTTTTTTTTCTTCTCTATATTAACCATAATAGAGCTGCTACTATAGAGTACTATATAGTTTAAAAACAATATCAACCACACAATTATAATGCAGACACTCTCTCGCATACTATTGCATCGTAGAGACGAAGAGAAGAGAAAAAGAAAAGAATGAAAAATAAAAATAAAAAAATGTTGTTATGAATGACTCTACCCGATAGCGGGTTTGTAAATATGAGTAAAATTCAAAATGGCTGCTCTCGCTCACATTTTTTTCCGGGATTTTCACAAGTTTTGTTTTGACTGGTTCAATGTGTGTCTTTCGATACACGAGAAAAAAGAATCATGTGTATTTATACACACTTTTTTCTTTCCTTTAATTCTGTTTCTAGTGTCAAGAGACGTAAATAATCTAAATTAAGTAGTTGACATGTGATTTCGTTTTTAAGTTATGCAATTTTCATTTTTCCTCACACATTTGATAACAAAAACTCATCATCATTTTTTTTTTTTGCCAGAAACGTATCGATACAAGAATGTTAAAATAGATTTTTTTCAAGCTTTTAAAAATACAAATAATGATGCATTTGTTCCTACATGCGACGAATGAGATGAGAAGAAGATTTGGGAATTTTTTTAAAAACAATAATAATAATAATTTGACCGAAGAACATTGAAAGAAAAATCTTTTCAAAAGCCAACAAATACATTCTCACAGAAGTGATGCTAGAAAGCAGAACTTAATATACCTTTCTTATAAATTTGAATGGAAGTAAATCTTCAACGATTTTGTTTTTTTAATTTTTTTTAAAGTTGTGTTCTACGAATATTAATAGAACGATTTACGAATGGGAGAAAGAAAGCAAGCAGACACTTTCCTTAGTTCAATCAAGTAATTTATTACAAAAATAATCAAAAACAAAAAAAAATCTTAAAAAATTTGAGAAAAAAATATGAAAAAAAATTAAAAACTTTGTCTTTGCTGAGATTGATTTCCTTAAAAAATTGAATTAAATTGATTCAGCCTTGTTTTGGATTTTCTTGATAATTGAATTGACTAAAAGTGCTAAAAGTAAAGAATTTAGCGTGAATTTCAATAAAAAATTAACGCAAATTATATTCTTAATCACATGTGTGTACGTTTTCTATGAAAATTATCGTATAGACATGTGAATGACATTAGAAGTTATTTAGATTTGAGGAAGAATAAGCATTCTTTAAAGAATCAATAGGATAGCTTGGTGTGTTAACAGTGAAGTCACAAGATTAGCATAAATTTTAAGCAATCATCGTACGTTTTTGTGTGAGTTCTGTCTGTTCGTTGCTATAAACATTTCTCGTGTGAAATTCGATTGAAAATAGACTTCAACAGAAAATATGAAATAAATTTAGATTTTCGCAACAATGTTAATTCCCATATAAATAAAATCATTCAAATGTCTCTGACGACTCTTAATCAGACAATTCAAAGTATGTTTTTTGAATGATTTTAATTATATAGGTTATAACTATAGAAAATATAAAAAGTAGGAAATGATAGTCGCTTCAAATGACTTATTGATAGATTGTATTAAAGTCACATGAATATGAATCATTTTACTACTCTATTGCTGGCTGAATCATAATTAATACTAATAATAACAAAGTTAAACAATTTTCGACGTTTATGTCTAATCTGATTTTGGAGGTCATTTCATATTGTAAAGATTCTCCCACACACAAATACACACTTAATATTCACACTCACACGCATATTTGAATATAAAAGGTTATCAATTGAGCCGATATAGAGACAAAGTATCAATAATAAGGCCTTTCATCCAAAAGGTGTGAAAATGCCCTAAAAACTAAATAAACAAATAAAAACACTGACTGTATTTCATTATGTAAAGTAACTAGTTCATTGAATAGATAGATTTTTAAAAGATAAGCAGAAAGCTGATAATTTTTTATTCATTTGATCCAATTATTTTAGGATTAATTTAATGAAAAAAAAAAAAGGTTAAAAACAATTTTATAATTTTTGTTTAAATTATTTGCAAGGGGTTTTAGCTCTTAGAATAAGTGTCGTAAAAAATGAGACGAAAGTAAATTGTCTTTCATAAAAGCAGGAAATTCTCTATTGACATGTTTACTATTGGGAAGTGCTCTAAGCAAAAATTAATGACATTTTCTCATTTTTGTGGGATAATATTTTTATATTTTGTTGTGAACATTTCTCTTTACAAAAGTATCATTGAGTGAATTTCTCTTAAAACGAATCTCTCAATAGAAATTCGCATAATTAACAATAGTAATTCTATAGTACTGACTTTATAGTAATGTAATTCACTTTTCCAACAATTTTTTTGACACAAATTTCATCAGTATACGCCCCTTGATTTTTAATTATTTTTGCTAAAATGCGAAGAAAAATCATAAAATGTTTCATTCGAAAATATGTAGACTGTGTTGTGTTAATGAAAACAAAACAAAAAAAAATTAAAATTATCCAATGTTTAAATGAATTTAGGAAAAATGAAAAAAATAATAAATATTAAAAAATCATTCAGGTGAACTTTAAAAGATTTGGTAGATTTTGAATAGAGAATAGTTTTAAAATTTTTAATCAATTAAAGGTTTAAATTGATTGAATCAGCTGAATTCAGCTAATTTAGCCATTATTGGCTTCCTAAGTTGAACTTAGCTAATTCAAACTTTTTGCTAAGTTCAACAGATTTAATAATTTTGTGCTCAATTCAGCACATTTATCTGAATTCAGCTGATTCATCAATACTGAAGATTAAGACCACACAATATATGCAATTTGAATTAAATGATAAAACTGCACTCAATCCAAAATCTGCCGTCTACTTTAAAGTCGGGTCACCATGAAAATAAAAATAATAATTAATTTAATTGAGAATATCCTTATAATAATATGATTACACTAAGGATTTTTTTTGTATATAATTTAAATAATTAATTTGTAAATATTATAGATAGTAGATAATTATCTAAACAATTCAGTAACTAAGCGTTTCTAGGGAATATTTTACTTTCTCTCAGTTCTTTAGTTCTATATGTAAAACCAAAAACTAAATTGTATAAATTCATAAACATTTTCACAATTTTCTCCAATCTTTATGAAAATGGAAATAATGCAAGCTTTAACTTGAGGCAAACAAAAGCGATCATTAACTTATAACAGAAAAAATACTACGTGTTCTTTATGTATGACATTTTTTCATGATATACTTAATATCCATCTCATTATTAAAAAAAAAATAAAAAATAATGTCAAAAAAAATTCTACTTAATACCAATATCCAATGAATATTTCATTTTATGTGGATGTGGACATGAGGAAGATAAATAAAAAAAAAAATAAATAAATAAATTATGATCGTAATTTATTCAATACAAACTTTACGCTTACATTTCATGTAATTATTAGACTTTTAAGAAGGAAAAAATTTAAAAAAATTAAGAAAAATACAAAAAAAATATCAAAAATAAAAACTATGAATACAAAAACTAAATTCAAACATGCTTTTTCATTATTCCTTGTGCTGATTTCCTTTTCAGGATACTCATTTTCATTACAGGAATTGCAAATGAATGTTATTTACATGTGAACGCTTTTGCCGAAGAACGTGACGTGAAAAAACGGTCATTTGGAATTTGAAAATGATTTAACCGATTTTTACAAAACAAAGAAATTTTTTTAAAACTGATCAACGGTTATTCTTACAATAAAATTAGTGATTTTTCTTATACTAATAAATTTGCCAATAATTGATTGAATTAATACATCCTTGAGTGTTCAGTTCACTTGTTTGTTGTTTTTCTCTAACCATTTTGAATTAAAGTACAATAAACTCAATAAAAAAAATAATAAAATTTAATTTTACGTGTGTAAACAAAAAAAAAATTTCTTTGTTTTGTAAAAATCGGTCAAATCATTTTCAAATTCCAAATGACAGTTTTTTCACGTCACGTTCTTCGGCAAAAGCGTTCATGTAATTTATTAGCCACAATACATTTCTTCCATAAACCCATTCGATGTGAAAGTTAACAGACAGTATATGGAGAAGGCTACGTGCAGATTAAAGCGTAGTTGAATTTTTATAGCTTACTGAAATGTCTTGAATTTGAATGCATTAAAATGAGGTATTCAACTTCTAGAACTTTCTTCAAGTGATGCTGATTATCGAAATTTTCTATTATTTCATATTCTAGATCTAGACTTAAATGTATGGCTTTAGTAATATATTAAAAACAGCTCGGTTGTGGGTAGATACTGAAATCTGTCTTTTTTGCAGGGTTCCCATTTTTATAACTACACAACCAAAAATACTTTAAATACATGAGAAGCTGGGCATATGCATTGTGATAAAAATTTCTATCAGAGTTGTTAACTTTAGGTATGTTTATTAAGTCCAATTTTTAAAGGAAACAGAATTTAATTTTTGTAACATAGTGTGACAGGTCTATAATTGATGACAGATATAAAAATGAACAAAATTCACACGACAATCCTGACCATATTCGTTGTCTAGCGTTTCTCACTGTAGATGTAACAAAATTTATTATCTCTGAAATTTGCTTACATTTGGATAGTCCCTAAGGGAGATTCGCTTTATGAAAACAGTAGCAATCACTTAGGCTACAGCAAAAACCATTCAACATCATCACATATCATTTCATAGAAAATTATGTTTCCATGTAAATATTGAAAATAATATTCTATAAATTTGCATAACAACCCTGAAAATATTGTATACACATGATATGCCATAAAACATGCTTCATTGGTATTGAACATTCTTTGATCATGAGACGAAAAATACATCAATTTATGCTTAATCGTTTGAAAAGTCTGGGTAGACAATTTGTTGCGTTTTCAACATAAGGGTTCGTTCACTTATTACGTAACGCACTAGGGGGGGAGGGGGGGGTCTAAGATTTTGTTACGGTTTGTTACAGGGGGAGGGGGGGGGTCTAAATTTTGTTACGTAACTTTTCAAAAAATATATTTTTTTAAAATTTTTTCTATATTAATTTTAAATTTTTTTAACGTTAAATTTTAACTTAAGAACTTTTTAGCAGAGATCGAAGCCGATTTATTTTTCGGCTTAACTCAATTTTTTTTTATTATTATTATTATTATTATTACATGCTTTTTATTGAGTTGCTCTGTCTGTTGGTTTCTTTGTCACGTTCAAAACTTGCAATCGATTTTTCGACCACTTCTGCTGCTCCAATCGAGCTCAAATTTTTTATTCACACGTATTCCCGGTGACAATACAATATTTTAACATTTTGAAACCACAAAAATGCTTAATTATAGTAAAATTTAAGTAAAACTTTTTTATATGGGAAAACAATCCAATGTCAATGATATAAAATTTTGATTTGTTTAAAATATTATACTTGAAATGCTCAAAAGTCATTTATGTGATTCATTATAGTTTAATTAATATTACTAAATATTAATTACACTATAAATTTGAGCAGCTAAAGATATTCCGGTAAGACAAAAAAATTGACATGTAATTTTTTCATGAATATTCGTAAGTGAAAATTTGAATTTTCAAAAAAACCGTGTAGCACAAGTCCGTTACGAATTAATGCAAAATAAGTATTCATATGAGATATGCATTTAGCACACATAGTTTGAGCATATATTTATGCTGTTTTTAATGTATTACATTATTTATAAAACTTCACCAACTTAATTAAATTTACTTTTCTATTTATTAACGGCTTGAAGTATATTTGTATATAAACACAAAATCTCCAAGATTCATTTTTAATGTCCTTTACTAATGAATGTTTTAAAAGCACAGAAAGCGCACATAATTGAAGTTCAGGATATTTTTTAAGAAGTTTCATCTGTTTCCAGGTATGACTTAAATTCTATAAAACAAATGAATGAACAAATGTAATCTATAAACAGTTGAACGAAACGGAGTAAAACGAAGTGGAGTTGAATTTGAATTGCTGTGGTCGATATTCGATTGAAAGATTGAGACTAAAAAGTAGCAAATAAAAAAAATGTTAAAAAAACTTTTTAAAAAACACGCTTTTTCCCAAAGACTTAAAAAACAAATAACATTTTTTCTTGAAGTTAAATCTGTTGTTTAGACTAAAAACCAAGCGACCAAAACAGGAGCAAATAAAAAAACGTTAAAAAAACTTTTTAAAAAACACGCTTTTATCAAAAAGACTAAAAACCAAAAGGTTGAAAATAAAATAAGATCACACTTTTAGCAAATCAGGATTTTAAAAGTTTTCTTGTGACAACTAGAAATGTAACATAAATTTTTTTCAAAATATTCTGATTAAGTCCAAGAAGCTACATGCTGACAAAATGTTACACAGAATCATAGTAAAGCACATAAAGTTCAATTTAAATACTTGAAATGGGTGTTAAATGGCTTTTTTCTATCAAAAAAATCAAAAATTGAGTTAAGCCGAAAAAATCGGCTTCGATCTCTGCTTTTTAGTTATAAGTAAAACTGTTTATTTTACATACTTAAAGGAAGTATAATAAACATTTGATAAACAATTTAAATGAAAAAAATTATTGTTACGTTATGGGGGGGGAGGGGGGGTCTAAGATTTTGTTACGCTTTGTTACAGGGGGGGAGGGGGGGTCTAAAAACTCGTTTTTTTGCGTTACGTAATAAGTGAACGAGCCCTAAAAAGATCCGCAAATAAGTCGAGTGACATTTGACTTAGTCACGGTCAATGCTAATGCATATTCGAAATTCAATATTCAGCAGTGCTTTAATATTTTTTCTTCCAATTAAAGCAAAAATCCTAATTTCTGCGAAAATCTTCAGGTACAAAAAGTCAAAGTCAAAACATTCTTGTTCAAATTTAATAATAAATGGAATCAGAATTAAAAAGCCAAAATGAAGTCAAACAACTTCTTACTGAATCTTCTAGAACATTCTGATGATTTAATGTTATCATGGGTTATCTTTAAACGCAAAACAGATTCTGGTCGCTTTATTTATTCAACCAGCACAAATAAAATCCTTAATCTCGATGAACACTGACAACAAAAGTGCTCGAACAATAAAGAAGCACTTTGCAGCTCATGTTTGGACATTGTCCACAACTGTTGTAATATTCTTAAACCATTCCTTATTCTTGCAATTCATTTTATTACAACTAAGGTAATAAAATTTCCCATATAAAAAAAAGAATGAGGACAGTCAAGATTATATTAGAATTTTGAACAAGAAGATGTGAAAAATAAAAATCAACAATTCAATAATAATTATTCAACAACAATATCTGCAAAATTTCAATTTCATTTCCTTCGGCCCGAAACGTGATAAAATGATTAATTTCTGTACTGAAAAACATTCCAAAGATTTTTCGAATAGCATGAATTTGTTATGAACTCTCTATGAAATTATTGTGATGAACAAAAGGGAGAAAATTTATTTTTTTTTTCTTATTTTCTGCATTACTCATATCATTAAGAATATGTCCTGATGCGTGCGCACATCGATTCAAATTCGTTGCTTTTTTGCGAAAAACATTATATTAGAATTGTACGAACATCGACTTCGTGCCTGAAAGTTTAGCAAGCAAAAAGGATAGAGCTTTTACGATGAGTACGAAAATTGTTGATTCCACAGTCGGTGTTTTCCTTTTCACTGATAAAGTCCTAAAAACTGACTGCTCGTTGAATATTTTAAAGTGAAAAATTGAAATAAATATTTTTTTAAGTTTAGTCATTAAACTTTAAGCTTTAATAAGGCTGATTTTTAGTGAAAGGTTTTAACTGCCTCGGCAGAAAGTTAAAAGTGATATTTTGATTCTAGGATATCATATCAAAGAACCTTTTTGTCTCTAGACTAAAAGCGCCTATTGATTTTTGTCGAAAACAATAGTTTTAGCAGCGCAAAAAAAGTTATCTTTCGAAAAATTAGTGACGAAATTTTTTTCATGAAATAAAATTTTAGAAAATTTTTTAAAACAAGTTAAAGAATCATAATGATTCCATCATTCCTCATCCTAATCATCTTAAGTGTATGTCAACTGACTCTTCAAGCTTCACCATTCTCATTACAGGTAATAATTATTATTTTATGATAATTAGAGGACGTCATAGTTGATGAGATAAATCTCATAACTCCTGTTGCCATAATTACCAGAATGAAATCACATATAAATAATTGTGGCTATTTTTAAGAATCCTAGCACCGATAGTCGTCATTTGTCATAAATATAGAACCGTGTATCACTCCTAGCTACAATTTCACACAGTAATGTATTTTATTGTCCTCACACTAATTACACACTGGATATAAAAAGCAAATGAAAGATAATTAATTTTAATTACGAGCAACTTTTTTTTCTCTTTTCTTTTTATTCCCTCAACAATCTCTCAAACTACTATTTTAGCCTGCTGTCGATGCTTTGAACGATAGAGAGGCACAATTAGCTTTAAGAGATGAAATTGAAAATGGAATTGTTGGTGACTTTGCTGGAAATGATGAATTCGAACCAAGTAATGGTAAGTTTAAAAGGTAGTAAGGAACAATAAGAATTCCTCATAAATATTTTTCTCTCACTTATTCACGTCTTGTGCAATGACTATGGAAATTCCATTTCTGAAGGGTTCTCATTATTCAAGATTTTAGGGAAACGAGAAGTATGTAGTGTATAGAAATTTTTCAAATGGCAATTGACCCAATTTGTTGGAACTGAAACTATTTGAATAGTATTTGCAAAATATGAACTGTAAATCTAATAAATCTGTAGGTGAATCGTGTCAGATTCAGTTTGAAAGATTCAATCTACATATATGTATAAACATTTTAGAACAGTTTGTTGAAATGAGTTTCTTAAAAATCTCATTCATGTATGACATCCATTAAAATGTGAAACTTTTAAGATGTCAATTTAGTGAACGAGTTATTGTTTTTTATAAACTTGATGAATTTGCAATAATTTTTTTGAATAATCTTCAAATTTAAATAAAATTATTGAGGAACTTACTTGTAAGCTGTGAAATCGATGTCGTACCTTCTTCAAAATATTACCAGAAAATCACTTTTGTCACTTTTCAGTTTGTCAGAATTTTAAAAGATATTTTTTGATTTAACCACTTTACTAAGATGTTTTAACTACTGAGATTGAAAATCTTATAAAATCTATAAAATATTTCAAAATTCAAGTCTTTCTTATTCCAATGCCACAAAATTAATAAGCATTGTGATATTGTAGAACCCCTTCCAACTGTTCATCTCATACAGATTGTTATAAATGTATGAAAGTAAGGAAAAGGTAAATTTCCGTGAAATTACATTTGAAAATCTAATTTTTTCAATTAAGTCAAGTCTAAGTGAATTAGGCATCCTAAAAGGAACATTATCGCAGAGTGAAAATGAAATAAAAGGTCAAATGAATGAAAGAAAAGTTAATTTCCATAAGAATCTTTTCTTTCTGCAATGAATGAAAAAAAAAGTCATGAGGTGTAAAAGACTTAAATAAATCATATTATATGAGCATTTCATGACCGTGTAAACTCCATTAGTGTCTACTTGTGAAAGAGTATATGAAAAATATTTATGTCCTTAAAGCAATCTCCTTCTAAAGAGAAATATCATTATTTATCGTACATTTCATCAGATTATGATCTCGAACGTGGTCAGCATATACCAAACAAAGCATTGGCAAGATATTTGGCACGTTCCAACGCAGATTATGATGAAAATTTTCTCGACTACAAGAAACGGCCTATGTTAAGAAAAAGAGGTAAGAATTTATTCTATTTCCATTCCAACATCCCAAAAAAAAAGTTTACCGAAGTTCATATATGAACAATACAATGTGTAATGACTAAAAATCATTTCCTTGTACTTTTCACACATGAGCGATTAGGTTGATTTATCAAAAATACCATTAAGACTTTTCATTCCGAACTTACATCATTATATATGAAAAAGAAGAGAATTTTGAAGCTGTAAAGTATTTTTTCGACTTACATCCTTGACTTTTGTGAAAAATGAGCGCCCACACACACGTCATTGTGTCTGTTTGGAAACCGAATAGTAAGGACTTTGTTTTTTTGGTTATGGTGATATTTTTATCGTTTACATGAGCTTGACACGGGTGTAATGAAGATTCTTTTTTTTGAGATATCATCAACTTACATCCTGACCGAAATATTTTATAAATAAATTAGAACAAAGATCGCCAGAGGCTACCTTTTTTGCTTTTTGGAAAATTATTACATCAAAATTGAATATTATTTGGCATTGTCATTAATAAAGGGTCGTCTTCTAATGATGTCCAATTTTTCAATACTTGATAAATTGCATCATCAAGGATATCGGCTCAGAAACCTCATTTAAAGATTAACAACATCAGGAAACGACTCCTTAAAGTATCAAATTTATAATTTTAAAATTCTATATTCTTGGCAAGCAATTGAATTTAAATTACATCTTTTCTTTTTCGAATGAAGCTCCGGGAGCTTTTTTTTCACTCTTCATTGAAAAACTTCTGCTTTTTCTTAAAGAAAATATTGATGCTCTTTAGGTCTCTTACCAATGTTTGAGGATTCACAGATTTTTCAATAATGTAAAATTACACTATCAATTTTATTTTATGCTAGCTTGTTTGTTGAGAGTTCTTTTTGTTGCAACTTCTGACCACATCAAGTGCTTACTCAAGCTCTCTCTATAGCTTTGTGTAAATTCATGATAGTGACTGATGGACGTGCGGGTTTAATATTTATTTAGGACTGAGTAATGACGAATTATGTTATTTTTTATTATCAGAATTTTTACTTTGGACTTTTTGCAAACACAAGCTCTAAAATCTTGTATAAAATAACCTAAATAAGAAGGAAGGAATTTAAATCATTTTTAGAATTTTATTTTTTTGCCTCCACTTCAAAGAATTTTAAATGCTAATTAAATTGAGAAAGTTACAATGTCAATTAAGTACATCATTATTTATTTTAATTTTAATTTTTTAAAGTTATCAATATGCAGAACATATAAAGTCAAAAATTATGATTTCTGTAAAGCTATTTGATGCGGGGTAATATTGTTGGCACTTACAGACATTAGCAGGCGGATTTTACCAAATCAACCTCTTCAATCACAGATTAAACCCAAAGTGGCCTATTCATATCAGTCATAGTGATAATTACGTTACTAAGGGATTCTACGTCATAATAACCAAAATGTGTGTCATAACTCATTGCAAATAAATTACACAAACATCATCCACAATTTTTCGGTACTGTTATAATGATTAACAGCAATTTGCATCATCATCACTTGTAGGCAGAATCATTGTTTGGTTTTTCCTTACTTTAAGAGTACTTTTGGCTTGGCTGTTTTGTACATTACAAATCATTGACTTTGTTCTATGTAGGCTATTATCTCATCAGTAAAGCATATTAACTTCTGCTCTAATTTTACATCTGTAATTTAAGTGTCAGTCTTTGCGATTTGCTTTATTATTTAATTTTCATGCATAACTTCCTTTTGATGTCCATCATTTAAGGGAAAGAGAAAGAATTTTTTCTGTATTAAAATTTTGTTGACAAGGTGGGGAGGAGGTCTATAAAATATCAATATTTTAATAATGTCAAAAGTCAACGATCCATCATATTCTCATAATAAGCTGTCTACGTATCTTAAAAAAAATTGAAGAAATTATTTAAGACAGCACTTGCACTACTAAGACTCTTGACTTTACACCCATACAAAATGCCATCAAACGATCAAGAAATAGCTAAATTTCTCTTTGACTCGTGGCGCTCTTAGTGATACAGACTGAATTCTTAAGTACCCAACACAAGCGTCACTATAACTATTAACAATGATTATTGAATGAGAAATTTTTTTTATATCAAATATGCTCAAATGGGAGGCACAAGTATGTGACACTTCACCGAATCCGAATATTTTGGTCTAGAATCTTTTTTTTCCATTTAAAATGATTTGATCCCTTCTATTCGAAATTTTTATGAAATGAGTTAAAAAGGAAAGAGAGTCAACAATGTTAATGGTTAACAAAAATAAATTGAGTGGAACAACAGAAGGAATGGATTCTATTCTATTCTATATTCTATTTACGTCATGCATATGTATTTCTTAAGAAATGCTTGCAAGTGGAAAAACTCAAATAGATTTAAAAAGGCACTCATGTCTGTTTTATTGGTGGCAACAATATGCTTTAAATTACTTTTCACACTCTGTTCCATCCTGAATACAAATCTCTCACTTGCATGTAATAATTTATTGTGGGATAAATTCATACAATCTTCATGAATCTGTTCCATTTAATTTACAGATCCATCCGTATTTCGTGAACGAACTCGTATGCCAACATACCGACAGCAACAAGCTGAATTGTCTGAGAGGTTTTTGAAAGCTATCGAAGAAGAACGCGAACGTGAGCGTGCTGAAGATTATCGCGAACAATTAAAGGACTTATGGAACCGCTACCAAAAAGAAGAAGACAATATGGAAAAAGAGCTTTTTAACGAAAATGGAAATGATGTTGAGACTGACTACGCTGTAAATTTCGAAGATCCATCTCGCAAGAAGAAAAGACAGGTAATGAGATTAAGAACTTTATATGTAGACTTTAGAGATTGTTCACAAATTACATTCGTATAAAAATCTAATAAGTCACTTGTGAACGATTCCACACTTAATTTCTGATTTAATGTTCAATTCCCGTTCTCAAAATTACATCCATAAAGCACACAATACCTTTATTCATTCACTTGAAATGATTTAATGATAATTTATAATTCATATTCTAAAATTAGAGAGGCGAAGCTGAAATTGCTCCATCCAATTGGAATGATAAGCGTTCAATGCCACTTTTACCATGGCTCCCAGCACAGCGAAAGAAGCGTTTTCCAGTAACAAAGAGATCACCAAAGATGAATGAAAGTGAAATGGCAAGAGTTGTGGCAGAGACAAGTGATAAAGTTTCAAAAGATTTGCAGGGAATCTTTGGTGGTGTCGTTGACAGTAAAGCAATGCAAGAGGATGATAAGAAGAAAAAGAAGAGATCAAGCGATGAAATGATGTCTCAAATGCATCCAGAAAAGGAACATGGAGAAAAAGTTGAAAAGGAAAAGGTGTCACCAGCATCTGTACATCATGATGACATGAATAAGAAAAAGCGAATTGTCAAACGATATGATGACTCTGGTGAGGAAGAAGAAAGTAAGTGACTATAAAAAATAATTATATTATAAAATTAATCAAGGATTAATGTACAAATATTCACTCAATTATTATGAAAATTTAGCAAGCGAGGAAGTTGGTAAGCCATAATAATTATCCTTTCAATAAACACTTAATGTCTATATAATTACTTAATTAATTAGAAGACGAACGAGAAGAACCTGGCAGTGAAGAAAATGACGACGAAGACGATTCAAAAAAGAAAAGAAAGAAGAAACGTGAAGTCAAAAAGAGCTTAGATGACTGGGAGGTTCAAGCATTTCCTGATAAGAAAAGTCTAAAAAAGAAGTCTGTTGAATGGTCGAGTTTATTCGGATATGACAGAAAGAAGAAGTCAATGATGTACAACCCATTTAGATATGCTGATCAAGAAGACCGTCGCAGAAAGAGATACGAATCAGGTAAATTGAATGGGAAAATAGACAGAAGAGGTTGGAAATAGAATATCATGACGAGATTGTTTTATTCTTACAAAACTGAAGAGTTTGTTGGATTCTTATTCTGAATTTAATTGAACTGAACCACAGGAAAGGTTTTAAAAGGTTTCAATACTAGGTTGAAAAAGAGTTAATTGAATTTCCTGCAATTCAACCACTAGCTCCTTGCTATGCTTCACATTACAATGCCAGAAGAAAAACAAGTTTTATTTACAGCTTGATTCCGAGAGCATCAGAGAATTTCAATGTAGTTAAATGTCACAGCTCGATAAAACGTGCAAGGTATCGATGTGAAAAGTTTCCTTAAAGCTATGCTTGATTGCTTCAATTATATACGATTTTTACAACGAAGAAAAGTGTATTTTTTACTTCCACTGTATGCTGTATATCGTTCAATAACTCAAATGGTTGAAAATTGATGACTTTCTCGAGCAACACAAAATTGCGAAGGAAGTCGTATTAAAATCCCTACTGAATCTACTTGAATTCTATGTTAGATCATTGTTACCAGATAATACGAAACATATTAAGCTCGATTCTAGAACTTTGTGGTTTAGAGGTATTTCTTTCAAATCGTTGCCAAATAGAGTCGTGTGTCTACCGGCGTGCTTATGAAAGAATTATATATTTCTGATAAAAATTCCACTGTGGCATTAAAAAGTATTAATAAACATTTAAAATTCTTAAATATAGATGATGATGAAGACGAGGACTATCATGAAGGAGATGAGAATGATTCCGACGATACAGATGACGATAAAAGAAAGAAAAAGCGGTCACCAGGAGAGGAAAGATTAAATGCCATGGATAGAAAGTTAAAGACGATTGAAAATCTTATTATTGAGGACACGGCAAAAATGTATAGGCATCAAAATGGTAAGTATTTTGGATTAATCTATAATTACATTGTACTTATTCATGATTACTTCTTTTCTGTCTTAAATTCTTTTGTGAATGTCATAAAATAACACAGAAAACCTCAATCCATCAGAAGCTAAACAGAGTCAGAAGGAAATTGCAGATCGTTTGGCCACAGCATATAGCTTAGAAAAAATGAGAAAAGCAATTGCAAAACTAAAGGCATCAATGGAATTTCAAAAGGGACTAGAAGAGAATCTTTTGGGTAAAGATGACGAAGATGATGAGGAAGCTAAGAAGAGGAAAGCCAAACGTGTCGCTATTAAGAAGGAAAAGGCAGAATTCGATAACAACGAGTATGAACCATATTTTTTTTTTAATTATTTGCCTACACCACATAAAAATGTCTTTGGGGTCGTTCATTTATTTTGGGACATGAATTTTTTTTGATACCCCACCTTTGCAGATATAGCTTAAATAATTTGGAGTAGATTAAGCTCATGTCAAACTAGTCTATGCTCAAGTAGTTGTCATCCAATCTTTAATTGTGTGGAACACAAGTAATAGGCAAACGACTTCCAAACAAGCCCACATAATTTTTGACATATTTCCTCAAATTTCAATTTCATTCTCTCATTTCGATTATAGACATGAAATCGAGTCACCGATGAAGAAAACAAACGATGAAGACAAGAACAATATAGATGATGATAATGACGATAAGAAAAAGAAGAAAAAGAAGCGATCTCAGAAAAGGAACAACGAAATAAGTGCAGAACCACTAATGTCTGAGGGTTATATGGGTGGTATGGGTATGATGTATCAACGTGAATGTCCTATGTTAGATTCTATTGAGCGAAGATGCCGAGAAGTGGGAATATTAAGCGGTGATTCACATCAGAATTTGTTAGAGGCTTGTGGTGAACATCAATTATGTTATCTTTGCGTAAGTTTTAATTTGACTCACTTACATAAGCTGATTAATGCCAATTAAACCACATTATCATATTACAGGGGGATTCAAGAGCTCAATGTGACTACAAATATCAGTTTGACTCTAATGAGATTTGTGGATATAATTCAAAATGCAAAATAAATGCTGAACGTTCAATGGAGGCACTACGTAGTTTCCCTGGAATGAAAGTCGGACCAAGAGAATGCATTCGTGATCCATGTCTGTATTCTGCATTACGCTCGATTGAAAATTAAGAGAAAAATTTTACAAAGTTATTTCCATTTATGAAATATGAAGAAATAAGTCATATATTTATGATACATATACAATACAAAAAAAAAATCTGACATCTTTAAGAGATATACTGATGAATGCAGCTGGAGAATTTTTTTATTTCTAATGAAAAGTATGTGACTGATAGGGAGGAATAGAATCTATATATTTTTGCATATTCTCCTTTCTTTTTTCTAACGAAGAATGTGCAATGACAAGCATTGCTGAATGTCCTTATCTACACACCCATGATGATGATTGTAGCGTTAAGAAATAATATGAAAAAATGTTTTTTTGATGTAAAACTTAATGTTGATCATAAAAGAAAGTTCTTTAACTCTATAAATTGTGCTCTAAATACAATACATCATGAATAATAATAATAATAATAATATTAATAATGATACACAAGATAAGTTAAACCATGTATTTTTCTTGATGATTCAGAATTTTTCTCGACAATAACTAAGGTGGAAAATTGTTGGTAAATTTTACGATTTTTCTTATGATTTGAGATTTATAAATTTTAATTAATTTCAATCATTGAATTCCTAGCTGGAAATGAGCACAAACACCAGGCTTCTTAGCATCATATGTTGGGTAAATAGCATTGTCTAGGTCTCGTGTTTGTGATTACTGCCGGCTAGGATTAATTTACATGAAACCAAAAATATGGAAGTTAAGAAATAATAAAATGATCATGATACAAAATAATCAGGTTAAAACTACCAAAACTAAACCAACCAGATACATACATTGCTTAAATGATAATGACTAAATGTGAATGATAAAAAAAATGTGTAAGACATTTAAATTTAATAAATTATATTGAATCACACATCATAAACACTATTGTACTTGTGAAAACTTCTTTGTTGAAAAATAATAAAACTAGGGACATAAATAACATCATTGTAGTCTATTGCTTATTTTCAGGATTTCCTCACAAATTTAATCCAATTTTTTCTACATTTTATCTGAGTAGTCACTTACAGCTAGACCAACGTGATTTTTGCGCAAATTTTTTCGCACACCTTTGCCACCATAAACCAGTAAAATAAGTTTTTTAAAATAATTCGAACATGAAAAGATTCTCAAATTAACTCATTTTACCGAACCTTAATTGATATAAACTCTATAAACTATTAATAATAATGTTAATAAAGTTACCTGCGATCTCAAAACGTATGTATCAATAAAAGCAGCAAGAGAAACAACAGAGATATTCAGTATCAAATCAACGTCCCTATAGAATTTGAAAATATCAAAAAAACGAAACCGCTCAAAAAACAACAGAAAATTCGTTAAAACATCCAGATATAAGTTTTTATTAAATTAATTAAGTAAAAGGCTGATATTAAGTAATAAATAGTCAATTAACTTAATTATATTGATCATAAGCATTGATCATTATAGTTAAAGTTGTCAAAAAGTGAACGGAAATAGTGAAATTAAGGAAAAAAGTTGGCATTTTTTGATTCATAGAAATTCCTTTAAGAAATATTACGTTTTAATGCTTCTGTGAATAGTTAATTACATTCAATAACTAGTTTATATAAAAGAAATGCATTAACATAGTAAAAATAATAGCGAATTTATAGAAAAAGGTGAGTTTAGGTTAAATAGAAAAATATTTAAGTGATAAAGTACGCGCCTTACTTCTTCTTCATGAATTCACGTATACTAATGTACTGATTGTCCATTTTAATCTCTATTTAGCTATTTTAAAACCATACAAGATGAAAGACCAGTCACCACACAAAATAAACAATAGCTATGAATCGCCTTCATCAGGTTCTGCGACATCTTCTAGTTCCGTGAGTTTTGTGATGGAATTTCTTTATTAAATCTGTTATTTATTTAAATTTCTATCCATTTAATATAGGCTGGAGATGTTACAGCACATAGATTTATGAATTTAGACTTTAATAATGGATATGCATTGAGTAGTTTAATTCTATCGAATGTAAGTGATTATGAAATGTATAATACGTCCGCGGAAGAAGGAATCTTCCCAAATGTACCAAGCACATGTCCAATAGCTGCTCCAAGCTATGAGCCTGAATATGATTATTATAATCAATATAGTACAGCACCATTAGTTTATAGTTGGATGCCAATTGTTCCAGGATTCACACAAGAACGTGCTGATCATTTAGTCAAAAAAGTACTGCCTCATCCATTAAACATATCCAATATATCAACAGAAGGAAATTCGTCCATTATATCCGACCAAAATACTAAATTTGCAAACTCCTTAGTCCTTAATAATTCCGATTCGAGACAATATAATATCCTTAATAACAGTAGTGGAATGACTTTTAATCATCAACTCGACGATAGCTGTAATGCAATGGATCTCAATATATCATGCAATATTCAGAATGAAAACAACAATCAAGATTTATCATTTAATGGAAAATTTCCAATGGAACTGACAACAACAACAACAGCATCATCGCTGAATGAAGAAAGTCAATTAATTTTAAAGAAAAATGATAAAGAAATTGAAAAGACTGCATCATCGCCTGTAATGGAAGATTGTGTAAATATCGCAGATGAACAGGACGAAAACCAGGAATGTATAAATAATGCGGACGAGTCTGAGAATGAGAATGAAAAGTTGAGAAATGAAAGCTTTGAATTATTGAAACAAGAGGATAGTACCAAGATGTTATTCATTAATGAAAATGAGAAATCGCCAGTTATGGAATATCATGACGACAGCGATGATCAGGAAGACCCAATTAATTCTCACGACTCAATTAATATTAAATGTGACAATACTAGCGAGACTAAAATAGCCATAAATACAAGTAATAATACAATAATGCCTACATTGAAGGATCGAGATGATTTCTTGTTGAAAAAGTTTCAATCATCATTATCGGAATTGCGTCCACCGCCTTCAATTGCTACTTTACCATTATCTTTAAGTGAAATGATTGCAATATATAAAAGAAATTTGGACAAGCCAAAAGAGTCATTTACTCCCATTCAAAGCAACTTGATGTTTATTCCATCACATCCTTTAAACGAAACCAAGTCGATGGAATGGCCGGAAATATTGGATGTAAAAGCCCACGGTATAATCTATAATAGAAGTACAGATTGTGAAACAATTGAATTTATGACTGTAAAATATGTCGAAAGATTCATTAAAGCAGAGACGACGTCATCCTACAATCACAAAGTTGGACCATCAAGTGCGAAAAAGAAGATAGAAAAATTAAAGTAAGTTATTTTTAGGTCTTTTTAATCCTATTCAGTTTTATTAATTTGTTGCAATTTCTCTTCTTTCTGTCAGATTATTGACACAATCTCCGAGCAGTAGACTAAGTCATTTAGCAAATAGAAGAAAGATTTTCTCATCTGCTAATTTGAAATCAACGTCGGCGACTACTAGTCATAAATCACTCGCCAGTAGCAAGACACTAATGGTTGATAAAACGTAAGTCAAATAACAGATATTTTATTTTCAAATTTTAACGACTTTTTGAAATTTAAACTGTAAAGTTCAATTTTTGAACCAAACTTTTTCAAATTTAGATTTAACGAATTTTTAATAATATATTAATTTCTTAAATTAACAGAAAACTTTATCAAAAGAAGAAGCGTACGTCAGCGAAGAAAAAGACACCCGGAAAACGAAAGACACCAAGATCAGCAAAACGACAGAATTTGCAAGTAATGACGAAACCTGAAACTGCGGCGTCTTCAAAAAGAGCACTATTCATTAGCCCAATGAAAACTAAGAATGATATCTCAACATTATCAAGATTAAACCGAGAATTACCTACAAGAGGACAGTTACCAAAAAGAACTTTATTCTCTCCGCCTCAAAATGCAAAACGTAAGCGCTCACCATCACCAGATGTTGAAAATAAATACGGAAAATCAAGGAGACTGGATTCTCCATCAAAATTGCTCAAAAGTAAAAGCTTCTCAATTGCTCCTGCATCATCTTCTGGATCTTTAGATGAACATTTTAGAAAGACATTATATTATAGGACGCAATCGGAAGCTGTTCTTAATCAATCGATTGTTGCTGGAAGCAGTAAAAGTAGCAGTAGTACTATTGGATTCAGAAAACCATTCTTAGACACTGAGAAAAAGGTATGTAAAACTTACTCACAAAATATTTCAAAAACATTGCCCAAAAATTTGAATTATCGAATTTTTACGTTTCTTTTTGAACTTATTACTGACATTTGATTTATTTTACAGAAATTGTTATGGACTGCATCTTCAGCACTTCAGTCGAAGCAAATTAATAGAGATCATGAGAAATTCAAGGAATATATGTCAACACTTTGTAAATTGGTGAAGAAAGTTTTTACAGAATTTTATAATCCAACAAAAAGTATGAGTGCGCAAATGACAAAGTTCTCAAATCTTATGGTCTTTTACGTCATACAAGGTCGTTCTTTTGACGAGATTTATCTAATGACGAAGAGTAAACTTGAAGCACAAAATCCAACAAAAGTTTCTGGATATATAGGACATGATGATTATCAGAAGAATCACTTTATTCGTAAGAATTCGTCGCTTTTATTAATGTCAAGTTCTTGCTCATCATTCAGCCTTAATGAAAACAGTGATAGTCTAATGGACTCAACATTTGACAGAAGCGGAAGTGACACATCAATAAACTGTTCGTCCAAGAATAGTGAGAAAGTTTTAAGGGAAAATTTTTCAAATAATGCTCGGGATAAATCAACAAAAAAATTATTTTCTACCAGCGAATCTAATCTTAATGCACTAAAAACTAGCACACCGTCTTCACAAGTCCTCAAAGCTAAACGTCAAATATCATTTTAATTACCCATTTATTCTTTAATTATAGTGAATTATACTGTTTTGATTTTCTGATGGGTGTGTGTTCAAAAAATGAATTCGAGTGTGTGAATAATATAAATGAAATTAGCTAATAAAAATCTTAAATTTTCAAATTCACGGCTTTTTATAAATAATTTTTTAACTTTCCAGCTTATAACGGTGAGAAAAGATTTGAAATATTCACAACCTCTATAATTTTTGTTTACACCTCTATAATTTGACAGTTGAAAATAAATTATTAATAATACTGGATTTAAGTCATTAAATCACCATGCAAGGACAAACGAAGATACAGGAGAGGTTGAGAGGAATACAATCATTAATACACGAGATAGAGGAAGCGCGAAATCACTCTGAAACTGGTATAAATAAATTGACTCAAAATAATAATCCAAGCACAATCAAACAAGCGATGCAGGATGCTGAAAAGGAGGAAGTAAGTTGATTACTTCATGTCTTTGATATATTCATAAATGCTTTTTTAATTCTAGCGTCTTATTCGTCAAGCTTTATCTAAAATATACGAAATTCATAATATAAGAAATGAAAGTCGCATTCATGCACGTAATTCCGGTCAGAAAGAAATGCTAAGGAAGGGACAATTGATGAAGATGCTTCAAATTTCAGCACAGACTTTGCCACTTTTTGTCAGCAAGCCAGGAGAAAAAGTTCCACAATTAGTTGGATGCATCCCAGCGAATGCAGAATATACAGGAAAAGCTGGAGACATGGTCGCTGCATTGACAAAAGTCGTTGATAAAGGAAGTGACGAAGAGAACTGGGTAAGAGATTTTTTGTTGACTTTAGGAAATTAATTGAATTTAATGACTTAATTTTGTTAAATTGCAGATCATGGCTGAAGTGTAAGTACTTGTATAGCAAAACATACATGCTTTTCATATCTAAATAATTACATTCTTTCCAGTATTAGCTACTCGCATCACACACAAAAGTATGAAGTACATGACATTGATGAGGAACAAAAACCAAGGCACATTCTGAGCAAACGTCGAGTTATTCCACTGCCTTTATATCGTGCTAATCCAGAAACTGACATACATGCTCTATTCCCAAAAGGAACAGTCGTTATGGCTCTATATCCTCAGACGACCTGCTTTTATAAAGGTAAGCTAAATCTTTGGATTTAAGGCATTCGTAGGATTAAAATTAACTTTATTTCCAGCAATAATTAATGATTTACCTGCGAATGCAAAGCAAGACTATGAAGTTTTGTTTGAGGACTCAACATATGCTAATGGATATTCAGATCCAATGTATGTACCTCAGAGATTCGTCATTTCAATCAAGCAACGAAAATCTTGACCACCATCAACCGAGCGACAATCATCGCAATTTGCTGGGAAGACCACTCGACCTAGCACCTTAGACGTAACAGATTAATAGTTGTAGAAAAGCTTAAGTTTAGATCAAAAAAGTTTTATTTTTTTATACAAATTCTTTTTATTTTTGCTTGTAATTTTTACTTCATTAATTTTCATTTAATTATCTCTATTTTCTTTTCATCTTTTTTTTTGTATCTTCTCCATTATTTCTTTTTTGTTTTTTTTTGGAATTTTTCTTCTTCTGTTGAAATTTTTTGTCCTTTTTTCATCTTGATTGGATTTTGGATTTTATTTTTTGTGTATAATGTCAAAAAACATTATTTCGTGTATGCTTTGCAAAAACCTTTCTCGGTTCCATTGAACTTATTTTTTTATTTAACTTTTCCATTTTTTTATCTTTACTTTCTTTTCATTGAATGCGGCAAATAATGTTTTTTGAGCAAAAAAATTTAAAATAATTTTTTTTTATCTGCAAAAATTAATATAGTTGGTTCTTAAAAATCAAATAAGGATAAATGAAACTTAAAAATATTTTTTTGAACTAAATCTCAATCTTTGTATGAAGAACCTTCGTACAAAGAATTGTTTAATGTAAATAAAACATAAAATTAAGGGATATCAGCTCTAGATGACTAATCAAACACTTCATTACTGAATTCATATTAATGTTTTAACGGTTTTTTGAAATTTGAATTTCAAACTGAGTTGAATCAAAATTAAGTTCAAATTTCTGAACAAACAATTTATTTCAGTTCAAAATTAATTTGAATTCTTAAAAATCATTAAATTTAAACTTCATCTCATTTCAGTTCATTTAACTGAGAAAATTTAAATTCGAAGAAGACGTTAAAATTCAACGAAACAATTAGCTCAAAAATATTTCTAATCAAAAATAACATTTATAACAGAACTAATATCCCCAATAATAAACAAAAACTCTTGCAATAAACTCAGAAATGATAAAAATTGTATTGCAAAAATTTAAATAAATGTTTTATTGTACTAAATGTCATTTAAGAGTTCAGTTTATGATCACACTCAAATTTATGGAATATGAAATTATGATGGCATGTAAATAAATAATTGAGTTACTCACCTTTATAAAAAATGATACAGGAAAAAGTTGACGTAGAAAAAAAAATTCTTATATACCTAGAACTGTTTTTTATTCTCATCCCCATCAAAATAGCTAAGTAGGTAATGTTGATTATGTAGATTTTTTTAATATGGTGAGTAATAGTTCACTCCACGTCCGCGATATCCCCTGTAATTAAAGATATTAGTAATCTTTTATTTGATATGGCTAGAAAATAATTAACTTACATCACTCTTGATGCTCTTCCTCTACCGTGAGTTCCGTGACAACATGCAGCTCCACGCCCACGTGGTGTGCCACGACCTCTCATTCCTCTTGGGATTCTAATGAAATACAATCAAGTTTTATGAATAATCGAAAAGTCGTGAATAAATTAGATGTGAATTACCTATTTGTTGTACATAGTCCAGGTCTGTTGGTTCGCTTTGACATGACTTTAATCTGACGACCTCTGAAGAGTGTCTCATTCATGGCTAAGGCGGTTTCAACAAAATCTTTTGATGCAAATTCTATGTATGCAAATCCTTTTGGGTGTCCATCAAGCTTATTACATAGGATTGTCACACGATTTATGCTTCCACAGCCTGCATTAATGATGTTTCTCAGTAATTTGTGATTTATTTAAGTTAAATTAGGATCTTACCATGAAAATGAGCTTCTAATTCTTCTGCCGTCGCACCATAATCAACATTTCCAACATAGATGGATCGATTATCAATTTCCATTTTCTCCTCAACTGACAATATAGGAGTTGATGATGTCGGGCTTCCAAGTGTCATTTGCTTATTAACTTCAGATTGTAATTGCTTTAATTTCTCTGCTTCTTCCTCCATCTCTTTTACTCGAGCTTTTATTGCTTCCAACTCTGGATCAATTTGCATGCCTGAGTCTTCCTGGATGATTTAATTGGTCATTGTTATTCACAAACTTAAAGTAAAAAAATAAATTATACTTACTTCTGTGAGTAAATCGCCATTAGCATCGTCCAAATTATCGAGAAGCTGATCTTCGTTTAATGAAATGTCTTCATCTGCCATGATTTTTGGTCTGTGAAAGTAATTCAATATTTCGTAAGAAAAAAAAAGCCACTTGTTCAATATTTTTTTCAAAAGCAATTTTCTCGTTAAATTCAATAATTTACAGTTAATATTCTATATCACTAGATAAAACTCTTGCTTATGATCAAATTGGTGATATTTTAAAGTGATTTAATGCATTATTTACTTACTTTAATTAACTTTTAAATTTGGTGAAAAAAAGATTCTTTTTTAACTCGTGCAATGCAATCTGTTCGCATGAAAACCTCTTTAATTTCAACAGGGTGTACTCGAAATATTTCTTGGGGTCCTTTAATGTGTCGTAGCTGAAAAAAGGTTGGCAACACTGGTATAAACAACAATAAAATCAAAATTCATGAAATAAATTATTTCACAATTTTATTCGCTAATATCCAGTGAGTTACAATGAGTAGCGATAATGTAAAGGTTATATCGCCTAATAAAGACATAAAAATTGTAAAATGGATTGTACATAAAGGATCGCAAGTATCAAACGGATCAGTTCTATTGCTATATCATGAAAATGGCGATGAAAAGACTCAAGAACGCTTAAAAAATACAACATGCGGTACAGTCAAGAGTTTATTGTATAAGGAAGGTGATAATGTGCCTAAAAGGTAGATATTTACTGTAATTTCTAAATTGAACAATTCTAACCTTTTCAATATTGTTTATAGCTCGCCGCTTCTTGAAATTAAGGAATGTTTTCATACTACAATATTACTGGATTTATGTGCGGATTGTGGAACTGATTTGCAACAAATCGACATGACAAAATCGTCAAAAGCATCCGTACCAATGATTCATTCAATTCCAGAATTAAAAGTTTCTGAAGAATTGGCAAAGAAGCTTGGGCGAGCAGATACTGACCGATTATTGAATGATCGTAAATTGGCTTTACTTGTTGACTTGGATCAGACATTAATCCACACAACAAACGACTCTGTTCCTAATAATTTAAAAGTAAGTGGTTTATTTAATTCTCCTGGATCCTTAGTTTAATGTTTACTGGATCTTTTACTTATTAGGATGTCTATCATTTTCAACTTTATGGACCAAGTTCGCCATGGTATCACACAAGGCTACGTCCTGGAACACTAGAATTTCTTAAAAAAATTGAACAGATTTATGAATTGCATATTTGCACTTTTGGCGCTAGAAATTATGCTCACATGATCTGTACCTTTTTGGACGAGAATGGACGTCTATTTTCACATCGCATCTTATCAAGGGACGAATGTCTTAATGCAACAAGCAAAAAAGATAATTTAAAGGCTCTATTCCCAGACGATTGTGCTGATTCTATGGTTTGTATTATCGATGATCGCGAAGATGTCTGGAACTATGCAAAGAACTTAATTCAAGTCAAACCATATCATTTCTTTCAAAATACTGGCGACATTAATGCTCCACCTAATCTAGCTAAAAAGGAACTAGATGGCGAAGGTGTTGATTTTAAAAAATACGTAAAACTTCAAAAGGCAAGCAAATCAAAAGGACAATCACCAAAGATTGATGAAACTGCAAACAATAACTTCTCTAATGATGAAAGCCAAGATACCTCAAAGTCTAATGATCAACATATTGAAAATGATAAGCAAAAAACTGAAAGCAATCAGATTGAAACTAAGGAAGTTAATGAAAAGAAGCCTGTGGAAACTGACATTGAAATGATAGAGAAAGAAACGGAACTAAAGCCTGCTAATAAAGAAATTGATGAGAAAAAGTTCCCCGATGTTGAAATGAATGATAAAGGAACTGAAATGAAGTCAATCAATGAGGAGAAAATTAATGATATTGATGAAAAGAAGACGACTGACGTAGAAATGAACGATAAAGGAACCGATTTGGCGCCTAAAAGTCTTGAAAATAATGAAAAAGAAGACATCAGTAAAAAGTCTGAAGATTCTGATGTGGAAATGATGGAAAAAAGTGCTGATCTCAAGTCCATCACAGAAGTAGAAAATAGAAAGGAAGATTTGAAGAAATCCGAGACTGACATTGAAATGAAGGAAAATGGCTCAGACAAAGACGACGATGAAATGGTATGGAATAACCGTAATTTTTAAAAATTTCAACCTTATTTCTTAGGGTCAAAAATTGAACTTTAGTTTCCAAAATTTATTTGACAGTTATTTTTTAAAGTTTATTTTACCTTTATTTTTCTAATGTCTGCCAGGCTCTGAAAAACAATGATGATGATAATTTAATAGAAGTTCAAGATCCAGACGATTATCTTCTCTACCTCGAGTCAATTTTACAGAAAATCCATGAGCGCTTTTACGAGCAATACGATAAAACAAAGGAAATACCCGACCTGAAATATTTGATCCCACATCTTAAATCGGAAGTTCTAATAGGCGTTAAAATTGTATTTTCGGGACTAGTTCCGAATAATGTTAAAATAGAATACAGTCGACCGTATTTGATTGCTAAGAATTTAGGAGCAACAGTCATGAATGAGATTACAGATGAAACGACGCATTTGGTCGCGGCATCAACTGGAACACAAAAAGTATTTCAAGCACAAAAGAATAAAAAAATTGCTATTGTAACTCCGGAATGGCTTTGGACGTGTGCTGAACGATGGGAGCATGTCGAAGAAAAGTTATTTCCAATAAGTTCAAATAAGACACTTAAAATGAGGCAAATTCCAGCACATTGTTCGCCCGAGAGAATAACTGGCGAACAACCAGAAAAAGTTAAATTCAATAATCCATACCTACAAATGTCTGATGATGATATTGCATCTATGGAAGCGGAAGTTGAAGACGATAGTAGCGATACAGACAGTGATGATGAGCGAGAGGATACACCTGAAGTTGATCGAGGATTAAGGAAAAGAAAAAGGTCTGAATGTGAAAGGCAGGCGTCATCAAAATTACTTCAATCAATCAACATTAGTGGAAAGGATGGAAATGAATCGGATCAATCAAGTCAGTCTGGCAAATCAAAGAGCTCATCAGAATCAGAGACTCTAGTCGCGAAATTCAGAAGAGGTAAGCTTGTTTTATCGACTTATTAAATTTCAAATATTATTGAACGAAACTGGAATGAAATAAACATTTCATTACTGAACGAATTTTAAAATGATTCAAATTTTAGAAACCCGTTAAATTAATTGAAATTTTAATTTAAGGAGAAAAAGTATCAGACATGGAGAACACAAATGACAGCACACAAAGTTCAGAGGATGATGCTGAGTGGAATGAAATGGGAGCTGAACTGGAAAAAGGTTTCCTCGATGAAGAGGATTAAAAGTGAATTAAAGCAAATAAATATGGTTTTACATAATAATTCTATCCATTTAATTCTTATTTAAACTATATCTACAGCATATTACTTATTAAACACCAAATGGTTGTTCTTCTTCGCCTTCATGATACTTAATGTAAGTGACTCCGTGTGTAAAATCTTTAGTTCCTTCAAGTTTTCCTCTTGCCGGTGCCTTATCATAATCAAATGCTGTTTCCTTCTTTCCATACAATGCATTAGCCTCATCAATTTGTTCGCGATACTTGCCAACTACACATTTCTTTCCTGTTATTGGATCTACGACATCTCCCAAAGGAAATACAACTTCCTCAACAGAATGAGTAATTAATGTTGTAAACTTTTTGTCTAATTCCTTAATCAGCACTACATCGCCGGATTTACACACCTTATTTGGATCGTGAGCAAAGTATATTTTATCCTTTCTGAAATACTGCACACAAATGGTTAAATAAGTTAAATTTATTATTGTACATTTTTTACCATATTTAAATTTGTGTCTAAAACCATCTTTCTAACACGAATTTTAGATGCGTTTTGCTTCAGGCATGGGAGACACTGTCCAAGCAGCAGAAAGTGCTTACTTTTTGATGCTATCTTGCTCATAGTCCAGTGAATTTAATTAATTAAAGTCTTTTTTTTGCAATATTTACAAAAGTTTTAACCTAAATCACGTGACAACCTCTCTAATTTAAACACAACATAATTTAAATTCTAAATTAACGGCTTTATTTGATTTATTCTAAAATACATTATTTTGCACGTCTAGCACGAGTAATGGACTCAACATCTGGAGGCACGTAATTTTCATCAAGCTTCTTTGGTTTCTTCTTTTTACCAAACCAACGTTGTGGATGGAAAACTTTCTTATCCTCAATATCAAGCTTGATATCCTCAATGTTCTCAAAGAACCAAAGCTTTTGCTCCTGTTTGTCCATCTCTTCCTGCAATTTCTCGATATCTTCTAGTCGATTAATTCTCTTGAGTCTATTCATTTCGTTATTCAATGTTTGATCACGCAATTCTATCCACTTTTGAAAGGTCTTAAAAAAGATTTTGTATTAATTAACAGTTTTGGAATGAAAATGACTAATTAGAGCTTACCTTTTTCTGTTCCTCGATATCTTTTGACTCATTTTCACTAACAGCTTTCTTGATGAAGCTCTCAATGACTTCATCTACTTTAGCTTCCTTTAGATTTGAATGGTTCTTTACATTATCAAAGAACTTTTGTCCATTTTCATCAAGATTCTCAAGCTTGCTTCCAAAAGTACTGACTTTATCTAAAACTTCTTTATAGAACGACTGTGACTTGGATTTTTCAAGGAATTTATTTCCATCCTCGTACTTTTCATGCAATGCATATCCCAATAATAAGAAGCTATTTGATAGGTCTTGATCATCTTTCTGGATCTCATCAGCAATGTAAAGGAACGTCTTTCCTACTAAATGATTCGTATTTGTTAGATCAAAATGATCATCACTGTATGGATTCCTTAAATATCCAACTCGTTTTCTAATTTCTTCCTTTTTCTTCTTAGATACTGGTTGAACAACCTTCTCAACTTCCACTGGTGGTGGTGGAATTAAGTCAGTAAATGTCTCTAAATTGTCTGAGAATTTGTAGCATGAATACAGTGATAAGTACCGAGTTATTGGATGTGTCATATCCTCTTGAAGCATTTGAAGTGTTCCGATTCTTGCTGCCAACATGAAATTATTTTGTTTAATAAAACTGTCCATTAATAGATTAGCTGTATAGTTATCTAAAAACACTCCATAATCAAGTCGGCTATTAAGGACAGAGAATAATGTCTCTGTATGATTTTGTGACAATCGAATAAATGCATGTTGGGATGAATCAAGCATTTTATGTGCTTGAGATGTCATTCTTAATTTCTGCAATAAGTCTGCAGCTTCCTCGACATTCCTCTCATCTGCCTTATTCATGTAAATATCTACATCGATTGCCGTAATTTTCTTTTTTTGCTGAAATTTTGTACTTAAATCAACATAAAGATTATCACTATTAATCTTCTGGAGAATTGATGTCGTTAGTCGTTGACTCCATTCTTGATCTAATTTATATCCATCTGACAGGTATGTACGCTTAATTATGCTATTAGAACCACGAGAAAACCTTATAATATTTCTCCACATTTTTGTTGATTATTTTTTTCTAGCACCTAGCCCGAGCCACACACTAAAGCTAATTTTGTGCAATGCAAAGTATTTAGAGGGAAGGGGTGTTCAATGGAAAATAAAGGAAATCAGTCGATAAATCCGTAGAGAATAAATCCTGTCAAATATTTATTTATTTGTAATTCTCATTACATTTCTTGTTGTTTCATAAGATAATTTTTTGTTTCTCGGATAAAAAGTAACCTGCTCGAATCAAAACCTCTTAAAACTATTTCTAGCAGATATTTTAGAATCTCATTGTAGCAGTTGTTTTAGCGCGAAACTCTATTTACCTATACTACCTGAAAAAGTTTATTTTCTAGCTTAATTATATATTTAAGACTTGTATTGTTGGCAAAACTGAATAGTGCAACAAAAATGGATGCAGAGAAGATTGTGGAAAATATGAAAGCAGTCTTAAAAAAGGCTAAAAGGAGAAAATCTTGTCATAAAAACAAAACTCAAGAAGCATCAAATAACGAAGAAGATAAACTTATTAGTGAATTGATGACAAAAAACTGGAAAATGAAGACTCCTCCAATAAATAAAAAGAAAGACGATAGTGAGTGTGATAATGAAGTTGTGAAACAGAAAGTAAATGCATTTGAGAAATTAATGTCACGAAGAAGTAATCCAGATTCTCCTAGTCAGAACCAAAAAGTAATTACAACACCAGAAACTGCGACTGATAACAGTAAAAAAGTAAAAAGAAAATACCAGAAAAAGATTAAAAATTGTCTAAACAGCAGTAGCTTTGAGGCAGATAAATCAATTTTGGAGGCAAATTCTTTTAAAGATTCTCAAAATACAGTCTGTAATGGTGATAAAGCAAGCATTCCCGAGATTCTTCCACATTTAGAAGAGATAGAAAATGTTTCAAGTAATATAATAGATTCAACAAAAAAGAGGACAAGAATAAACGATACATCATTAGAAAACAGTTCCAAGAAGCGTAAAACAAGGGATAATAGAATGCAATTAGATTCAAATGAGAACTCAATAGAAAACAGAGAAAATCATTTGACTGAAAGACCAAAAAGATCGTGTGTAAACAAAATTGATTATTCATTATTTGCTAAAAGTCCCGATAAGGAATCACCAGAAAAGAGGAGCAATCGAGCTAAATCGAGCAGTAAAACAAGCACAAAAAATTCAGATTCTATTTTAGATTTGCCTGTAATTGAACCAAAAGAGAGTATGAAACTTGCTCCACTATTTACAAAAAAGGCTCAACAAATTATACCAGAAGTAACTCCAACAAAGGAGGAATTGAAATTCACATCAGAAAGCTTAATCCTAAATTCACCAGAACAACCTGTAGATATAAATGATATTAATAAATCAGGAAGGCCAAGAAGGTCATGCGTGAGTAAGATTGATTACTCACAATTAATAAACAGTCCAGACAAGAAGTCGCCAGAAAAAAAACCTTTACGTCAAAAACTTGAAACGGAGAATACTACTCTAAATCCTGATCATATTGTGCAAATAACTTTAAAAACAGAAGAAAATCCAAGTCTTGCTCCCGTTTTTGCAAAGAGAGGTAGAAAACCGATTATTAAAAACCATGATGAGATTGATGATTCTATACTTGATAAAAAACCGGATTTAAATGAAGTTATCGAGGAAAATAATAATATGGACGAACCAGAAAATGTACAATCAGGAAGACCAAAAAGATCATGTAAAAGTAGATTTGACTATTCTCAACTTTTTGGTAGCCCAGATAAACAATCACCAGAAAAAAAGGCTAACAATTTGAAGTCGAAAAAGACAAACAACGAAGATGTTATAATTATTGATGAGAGTTCTCCGGTTAAGAAAACTAAGCAAAATGTAAAACTTGCTCCATTATTTGTGAAGAAGGTTCCAAAACCGGCAATTGATCCAGCAATTTTAGAAGCCCGAAGAAACTTCCTCTTATCAGAATTGCCTGCAAACTTACGTGCTCCTATTGAAAAACAAAGGCAATTTGAAGAGGATATTTTATCCAATGAAATGATTGCATTTCCAATAATATCTCATATTACACAATTAAAGAAAGACTATGAAGAATGTTATGATTGTAAGACTTTGTATAGTAAATCAAAAATAAGAATAATTGAAAAAGATGAAGATAGCCCAACAATTACTAAAGACATGCTGATGAAGTGTGGCTTACTGACTGATTGCAGCAATGTAGACTTTAATAACTCTGTGATAAAGCATAATGGACTGATAAAAGAAGAGAGTAAAGCAATTAACGACATCAAAGAAGCAGTAAGAAAAATAAAAGATACCAGTGGAACTTTTCCGGTTAATAGATGTTTCAAACAAATCTTAAGTAAACTAAAAAGCGCAAAAGAAAATGATGAAGGAAACGAGAATGGAATTTCTCATCTCAATTCATCGTTTGTTGAAATATTCAAACCCACAAGCTTCGAAGAAATTTTAATTGGTTTAGAACCAGCAAAAAGTTTACAAGAATTTCTTAATACATGGAATAATAAGAGCGGAAAGCACGACAATTATGAATCTGATGACAGTAGTTCACGTCAGTCTATGAAAGTTTTGAATAATTGTGTGGTTCTTTCGGGGAAGAATGGAAGTGGAAAGACGTCTAGTGTTTATGCATTAGCAAATGATCTCAATTATGAGGTCATTGAAATTAATGCTGGTTCAAAGAGAAATGGCAAGAAAATTTTGCAAGATTTATTAGAAGCAACACAGTCACATAGGGTAGAGAAAAACTTAATGGATGATGAATTAAGTTTAGATAATTTTCAAAGTGATGCGGTTGACAAAAAGACGATAATATTGATAGAAGATGCAGAGCTAACGTTCGAGAATGATGATGGCTTTATATCATCCATACAACAACTAATCAATATTAGTAAACGACCTGTTATTCTGACCACAAATGATATAAGTTGTCAACATTTGCAAAAGTTTCTACAGCATAATGAAATTATTTACGATAGTCCGAAAAATTCTGTGACCAAATATTTATCACTGATTAGTATTGCAACGGCAAATTATCAAATCGATGAAGCCGAGATAGAATATTTATACACGACTAATAGATACGATTTGCGAAAAACAATCAATGAAATTGAATTTTTCATACGAAGTGAGAGTGCTAGTGTTAACAGCGGTAGTTTAATGGGACTATTTTGCGATACGAAAAACAAAAATAGGCTTCAAAAGGGTAGTCAATTGGCTTTTCATACCCGAAGGGATTTATCAACACTGCGTTCTCAGTCATCAATTATTTCGGACTGTTCAGCATTGCTTTCGTGTTCACAGCGAGTATCGGAGAGCAGTGAAATTTCTTATCACCAACACAATTTAATGAATGAGATGGCGAATTTTTTTAAGCAAAGTAATTTACTGAAAATGGGTAATCAAAATGATTTTACTCAATGGAAAACACATCGAATAACCAGCAGGTAATTGACTATGAAAAAATTAAAGTATATAATTTAAAGGTTCAATTTTTCTGCCTTTTGATTTCATTCTTTTTTTTTGCTCAAGCACTTCATTCTGAAATCATAAAAAATAACCTAATTCATTCCTTTTTCCATTTCAACAGCTCCATATCAGATGAAATATGCTCATTGAATTCGAGCACACGAGCAAAAAATGTCGATTATTCGCCTCTATTACGTCATATTTGTAGGTCAGAGAAATCCCGTGAAATATCGAGAAGAACAAGCCGTTCGCATTATTTAAGGCTTCATCTTTTAAATACTGTAAATTCAAGCAATGATTTTTTCAACACACAGTGCTTAATATTTCAAGAACCCAATGGAGAGAATGTATAAAGTTTTATTACAAATACAGTTTGTATTTCATTGATGTAGTTTTATTTAATTTGTGTTTATTATTCCTAATTTAATTAGCGCAATCATAAAAATAAAAAAAAAAACTTTTACAAAAGCTTTTTAGCATGAATCTGAATAGTTTTTTTCTTTTCCACATAAAAGCTGAATTCCCCAGACTAGAGGTACAGTCTCCATTGTATGAATAGAAAGTATAAATTGAACTTTTCTACCTTTAAATGAACTCAAAATGAAAAATCTGCATTTATACTATACATTTCCGCAACATTACATAAAAGTACTTGATGTTTTACAAAAGTTAAGGGGAAAACAGCGTGATGGGAAAAAGTTTTGATCGACAATTCTTAAATTTGATAGTAAAATTCCAAATTTTTGATGATATATTGGTTCGTGGAAATTTTTCATCAAAACTTTTACTCATCATAATGTTACCTCCTTCACAAAGTTGAACGAAGTTTCTTCTTTTTATTATTCTACAATTTGAAAATTCTTTTACTGACTTATCATGAAGCTTCCGACTTCTCTTCTCCGTTGAATATGTATGCATTGAGCAAAAAAGACAGTGATTTATACGGTTGCATCGAAAGGGGTTAATCTTATATTGTTGATATTAACCTCTTTTAGCACTACATAAATTTTCATGCTGTCAGTTCAAGAGCATTGATTGTTGAAAGCAGATAGATTTTCTGGTTTTTCGAAACGAAGAAAGGTTTGTTTCTTTGTTATGCTACTGACACCCTTTATAGTACTTTTCCTCCTTATACAAGCATTTTCATTGCGTGATATGATTGAGATGTTCAATTTTCATGCTTTACATCAATTTCAAACATTTTCTTCGTGATTGTACTTACTGCTATGGTTCTTTTCACTTTCCTTTCCGTATTACTATTAAACTACATATATGTGCTTAACGTATTATCCATTCAGCCTTATAATAATATGAAAGGAAACATGTTCAATGCCACTCGAATGAGAGAGAAAAAAAAAAGGGAAAATGGCAAGAGTCTTGTGACGTGATACTTTCTATAATAGCAAAATGAGAGTAATTTTAATCACTCTAAAAGTCTCCGGTATTTAAAAGCAATCCTTAATTATAAATTAATTGCTCATCACATTAAAACTGTCGGATTTTGGATGAAAAACATTCTTGTTTTGGCGTTGACTCGAAAAATATCCGGTAGATAATCTCTTGAGCATTCTCTTAAAAAAAGGCAATGATATAAAATTTCATACTCATTCTCCTCATCCCTTTTTTGATTATTTGTATATGCTTGTTTGTTTGTTGTGTGATCCTTTTTTTGGTTTGTCATTAATATTATAAATGAGAGTAATTGACACTTTATAATATTTTATTTTAATTAAATTAAATACCAAACATCGTTTAGGTTAAAGATCTTTTGTTTTCGATGCTGATATGCTGTTGCTGCTATGGAAGCAAATAACCACATATTCTGCTCGATTTATGAACCGATTTTAAATTCAATTGGAAAGGTTTAATCAAATCTTCATGAATGAATTTATTTTCTTAATTTTAATGGTAAATCCATGGCATTTATCTCTTTGTTGTGAGTGTTTGAAAGTCTTTTAAGGGTATTTTTGATTTAAATAATTCAATGAGTATTAATAAGAATTACGCATGATTTCTATAGGTTTTAAATTTATATCCAAATATTAATGATTCTTTTGAATTTTGTATCACGATTTGGATATTAAGTTGATTTCTGTTATTTGAATAATAGCATCTAACAGGAATTGTTCGAATTAAGGCGTGGAAACTCAGGATTAATCCTGAAAAATCCAAAAAAATCCCTGAGCCAATAAACACGGTAATGTAAAATCCCTGATGCATTTAATGAATAATTTTGGGATTTAAAAGGAATTTCATTTTTATTGGCTGATTTTTGTGATTTTTAAGGATTAATCCAGAGTTTCCACGCCTTGATTCGAATTATTAGGCGATAATAAAAGTTGAGAATGATTTGAAGAATACTGTTGGAACCTGTTACTGGAAGATTGTTTTGACAAACTTCGTTTAAACTACCTTTTTTTCAGATAGAGTGGCTCTGTTTACTCCCTTTTAATATATTTGCTTCTTTAACTTTACCTGTCTCCATAAGACACAACCTTCCCATAAAATTCCCTTTAATTCATCTACAAAGCTGCTTATGAAATTAAGGGTGCTCATGTGTAGCAATTTATTTATCTCACAATCATCTAAACTTTGAAGTATCAATTTTATGTGTCAAAAAAACCAAGCCAAGACATGACGAGACAAGCTAATAAAAGAACGAATAAGCAATCATTTTTTAAATCTCAACATCATAAATTTTACCTTTTATTAAGTGTAATATCATGATTACAGCTTACAAGAGAATGAGATGAGATGAGAAACACTTTGAGAGGCGAAAAGGATTCATGAAAATAATTTTATGTTGTGAAGTGGGCTAAAAGCAGCAGCAGCAGATACATAAATCTCACCCTCTTCTCCTTCTTGGTTGAAGTTTATTAGTATTTGCTGTGACCTTCTGTACATGGATATATTCAGTAGATCCATATTATATTTATTTGGAAATCTAGAACCTTAAAGACAAACCAGAAATAATTTTAAGGTTTCCACTTCATTTTATTTTTTCTTTTCCTTCAAGTCCTTTTAGTTGATGAATAATTAATGATTTGATTTTTATTCAGGCTCTATGGATTGAATTCATTTTTGTTCAATTGACTTTAATTTCTAATCTCAAGAATCATGAACTTTATTAAACAATATAAAATACACTACGTCACTACATGCAATCTGGATTGATTCTCTATTAAAAAATCAACCTCAACTTGTGTTGCTCATGTTATTTTCTGCTTATCTTGCTCATTTTCTATTACAACATTTGGACATGATGGAATCATAATGAAAACGAGACCTAGGAAAGATTAAGAAACATAGTAAAATTATGTGCATATAAAATATTTTAAAAAAAAAAATCTCAAATTCTATGCTTGAAGCAGTTTAAAGAAGGAAACTGCCAACAATGCACATAAATTTGCTCCCTCCGCACCCTTCCATCTCCAAAAAAAATTCTTTTTATTTTACTTTTTAACTGTATGTACCATATGAATTCATAATGTCGAATAAGGAGACTGTTATGATTTTTTATGGGAAAATACAAGAATAAAGTCGAAGAAAAAAGAAGAAAAAAAATTTCAATTGAGCGTTAAATTTCACTTCATATTCTGTCTGCGATAGAAATATCAATTTATTGTATGGAATAAGGAACGAGTAGGAAAATTATGTTTAAATATATTTAATAGGAGCTAGTGCATTTCATGCATTTGACATTTAATAATAATATTTCACTTGTGTTTAGTGAATATTCAATAGCTTAGATTCCGTATGAAATGCAAATTGCACATTAAAATATTTTCAAATTTATCTAAAAGTTGAGAAACATTTGTTTAACAAAATATTCTGTTATTGACGGAGGAAAATCATAAGATTATATTTTTATTTAAAAAAAAATCATGTCTTCTTATTCCGCCCTAAGGTTATGTTCGAAAAATCAGGAGAAAATCCTTTTATTAGGATTTAAAAATCTTTAAGAACATTATGAAAAAAACATCCTAAATAAAGAAGATATTATCAAAATTTATTGAACAATCAAAACATGGAGTTGATTTTTAAAAAAGCTTATAGCGTTTATAGAGGATATGCAGGATTTCTATTCGATTAACCGACATGTGCTATTCGGGTTAAATTATACTAAAGATGAATTTCAAATGAATTTTTACTGTTCAAACTTTAAGATCTATATCTAGCTAATATAAGTTTAATAAACATGTTTCAAATTTATTTTCAGTTCAAACCTAGAGATACATAGTCTACATATACATAGTTGGGATTCAAACTACTGCTTTTATGACATTTCTATCTTTTATAGACCACAAAAAAACCTTCCATTTTGTCATCAAGCTAACTTAGCTCTTTTAACAAAACAAAGAAAACTAAATCTCAAGGATAATCCAAATATTTAAACCCAATGAGCCAGTTTCTAATGCTACTCGCAAAACATATTTTTTATATCCTCAGGTAGCTTAATTTAGCTATTGGTACCCTATTACATAAAATTTTATACAACTTAGAACAGCACTGAGTTCAAACGAATCCTTCATATTATCATGATACCATAAAGTACAGAAGTTGCTGACTAGAAAACCGCTATTAATTTCTCCCAAATCTCAATTTATCTTATTTTGCAATAAACACAAGATTTGAAAAGTATCCGCACAATAATAACATTTAATAATGAAAAATCTCTAAAGATGAACAGACATGCAAATTGAGACTATACATCTATTATTTTGCTACAGTTGCCGCTAAAAAAAAATAAAGTATTTTTTTTCAGAACGATGTGAATACAAATAATATTTTTCAATATCGTTTCTCTTATTCAATACGTATTGTGTGTATGCATGTTTGTGTTTAGAGTGGAGGTTAATGTGGTTGAGTAAATATTTTCTCTGCTTTTATAGAAACACTTTAGTGAAAGCTCTTTCTCTTTTTTTTTGGTAAATTGTGTACATGAAGGAAAAAGCACATAACATTATTTTAAAATATAGCCCTCAATCTCTTCTTTTCCTCGTTCACAATGCAACATAAAAATTAAATTCGTTTTCCTTCTTCTCCGTTTTGCCTTTAAATCTTCACATCTTCTCTATTCTTTCTTTTTTTTTAAATTTTACCGAATCAGGAGGAATATAAAAAAAAAATATTTGAAAGGATAACTCACTTGAAAGCAATTATGGAATATAATAAATTTTCAGCCTCAATATGTTTATGTGCGCTTTATAGTTCCACTCAGTCGATTTCTTTTCTCTCACCCCATCCGTTTTTCTCTCTGTTTACCCCGAATCTTATGCGAGTATACAAAATAAATTTTTTTCTTGGCGAGACATCAAAAAACTCAAGAAAAAGCCAAAGAAATAAGGAAGATTGTGAGTGTGTAACATAAAACAATTACACTGAAAAGAATATTCTTCTTTCTGTATCATACTTTATTTAACCGCTATAGTGCAATCAT